CGAACCAGGAGATAACTAGAAGATAGCTTAGGGTAATATCACGTGCTAAGTCACGCGATGGGTGGCCGGTATAGTATGCACCCGTATAGGGAACCTATTAGCATAGGGGGATTACTAGGATTACCAGGGGTCACTTAGTCTGGGAAGTGATCCGGCATAATCCCGAACCAGGAGATTACCAGGGCACCTATAATCCCGTAGATATATAAACCAGAGTATCCTAGGTCTTACTTCTATTAGAGAATAAGACATCGATCAATCTAAGTCTTCACCTGGACTATTAGTCTACGCCTGACTCTACCTTATGAAGAAGACGCCTAGTCTTTACGACGCAACTACGACCAGACACTACGAACAACAGTTACTGCTCTTTAGTTAACATCCTCTTCTTATCTTGAACTAAAACCTCGACGCCAGTCCCCTATCGTCTGCTATACTATAGAGGACCGGAAGCCGTCGTAACAGGAATTTTCTCTTTATTCTCTTCTCCTAAAAATATCCTCTAGTACTACTATTTAAGGTTAGAATATATTTTAAGCCTTTAGCTCCACCGTTACTTAACGGTGGATTATCTACGGCTTTATTTTCTTTAAGCTCCGATCTATATATCACCGATAGTACTATTAACCTACTCGCCTCACCCGATAATCACTACCCACCCTACGGATACTCCGTAACTAGTTATAGCCTAAGGACAGGCCTTATTCCAGGAAGGGGTAGTCTATTAGGTATAGGATATAAGGAAGACTTAGGAGGTACTAGGATATAGTAGTGGACTACGTAGTAGACTACCGGCTAACTAATAAATGGATATTTATTATATAAGACGGGGAGCTAGACTATTCTAGAAGGAAGGGGTCAGCGATTATCTCTCCTCTACACTACCACCTACCTTTAAGATACTCTTCCTATTAACCACCACTTAACCTGTAGTTAGCCTCCCCTTATATAAGACTACGATCCTTATCTATCACTCCCTATTACCCTCTGGTCCTTATCCCTTCGGGGTAGACCTATATCTCCTTCTTGATAATAAGTTAGGATAACGCTATTAGTATTCCCTTAGATTCGGGTAGCGAGTATAACTTAAATAATACCACGGATAAATCGGGCCGTAATCTGCCTAAGAGCGATACTAGGGGAGATTCGGATAATAGCTTTTTAAGCTTTAACCTACGACTAGTACGTAGGCTACTATATAACCAGCGTGATATATCGACTATGTATATACACCACACACACGAGGTACTAAATAAGACGCCCGAGCCCGATACTCCCCTAGACTATTCCTAGCGCCGCTAATAAAAGTAAGCCCCTAGCCCTATATAAGGTATTAAATAACGGCGTAGCTTAACACTCGTATTACTATCTATAAGAGCAGCTAGAATACGGAAGTAAAATCACACTACGCGTGTAGAGCGTATAGGGGTAGTATATACCAAGTATAGGTATAAGCTAGAACTCCGCTTATAGGAACTATAGAATAAGAAGGAGGTATAGGAACTAAAGAGGCAGATACGGGAGCTTAAAAGAGAGGAAGAGCAGGAATAGTAATCATAATCGTTATTTATATAGAGTAACGTATATACGAAGTATATACGGTGTTGAAGTATTAGCTATACATATAGTGAAAAAAATTAAACGCCCGTCTTAGCCTTATTATCGGTATCTACGGGAACCAAAATAGGCGTAAGATTCTTATTCCCTATCTATAATTAGTATAAGTTATATAAATACGGCGTATATACGTAGTATATATAAGGGTAACTACTTACTATTAGAATAACGGGTAGGCTAAGCAGCGGGCCTTACTAACCTTTTTAGTGGCGGGCCTCTTAGTCTTCTTAGCCGCGGTTTCTAGGAAGTATTAGTAAATTTAGGTATATACAGGGTATATACCGAGTAGATATAGGTAACTTACTTACTCGCTTATTAGGCGTTAGCTACTACTCGATATCGTCGATATTATACTAGGCTGGTTAGTATATACATCGTATATATAAGGCTTAGGGGGAGTTATAGATCGTTTAGAGGTAGTAGAAGAAGGTATAACCTAGAAAGCTACGTTAGTAAAGTCGATAGTATATACGACGTATATACATAGGCTAGAATAGCACTATATTTCATCGCTTACTAAGCTTCTAGCGAGCAGAGCGCCGTGGCTTTAGTATCGAAAAAGACACCTTTTTACGGGGTCTTTTAGCTTTCGGAGGGCCTAGGACAGGGCTTAGAACTGCTAAAAGCGGAGGATTAAGGGGCGTCGCGTTATCGAGGTTATCGCATATACCAGGTATATACTTAGTCGTATCTAGGGCGTCGGGTATATCGTCGGGGATATCGGAGAGATCTAATAAGGGGGGCTCTCCGTATATACTTAGTATACACGGGGTTTAAAATATTAAATTCGACGCTCGCTCGTAAACTAAATTAGACTCGGGGGCGGGGGGGGTTTAGTCCTAGGTAGGACTATAGATTCGAACCGAATATCGTATATACTAAGCATATACGCTATTTCTAGAGGCACCGTGGCTTTAGAATTACCCGAAACCGCTTACTTATAGGGAGTTAATAGCAGGGATATAATAACGGTATATACGGCGTATATACCACTAAAGAAACAGGGAAAAAGAAAAAGGAAAATAATAAGGCTATATAGGGTAAGGGAGTATATACGGGGTATATACTAAATATATATAGGAGGAAAATAGGAAAATAGGAAAATAGCAAGGCTATATAGGGTAAGGGAGTATATACGGGGTATATACTAGATATATATAGGAGGAAAATAGGAAAATAGGAAAATAGTAAGGCTATATAGGGTAAGAGAGTATATCCGGGGTATATACTAGAGAGGAAAAGTCACTAACCTCGCGATAGAAACGATTACTAAACTTCTCTCGGAATTCGGGATATTTAGCCCTATATAATATTAGCATATACGATACCTATACTAAGGATATAGGTCACTTACGCCAACTCCTTAAAGCGATCGGTATATTTATCTATAAAGCTATTAACAGGACCACGACTCTATTATATTAGTATATACGTAGCGTATATAAGGTATAGGATCGCTTACCCTGGCTTAAAAGTATACTCGGTATTCCGCTATCCTTTAGACTAAACCTAGAGTTTAATTACGCTAAGAATATTAGCGCTATATATACTTCGTATATATATAGGTTATACGGGGTTAATCACTTACTTTATACTAGTAACCTACTCGGCCTGGCTAATATTAGTTTAAGTCGTACCCCGTAGTGCTTTAGGGTAGTAATTACGAATATAACGATAAAACTAAAAGATATATTAGGTATATACGTAGTATATACTATAGGTATACTTATAGCGGGTTAATCCTTAAAACTCTTTCTATATATTATAGTATTACCGTTAATAATAATATCATACCTATTATAAGTTAGTACTTAGTATATATTAGGCATATACAGAGTCACTCACACGCCAGTATTAACCTTTAATATCTTAACTATACTGTAAGGGGCTAAGATAAGTGTTAGTATATATAAGGTATATACCTAATCGACGACTTACTAGAACTATCGATTTCTTCCTAGCTAATATTAGGATAAGCTAAACTATATAAGTATATACGACGTATATAGTATACCTATATAACTTACCGCCGCCTTTAAAGCCCTTAAGCGTATCCGGGACCCAGCTAGTATTATTATTAGGAATCGGTCCTATTATATTAGTTAAGTCCTAGGCATATACCCTGTATATGCTTACTATAGTGGTACTCTAGTCCTACGACGGATTCATCGCGTTATTAACCCCATTACCAGTAAAGGTATCTATATTAGCGGCTATCTGTATATAATCAGTATATACCTATTATATACTAGGGTTATTCGAACTTATTATTGGTTTCGGCGGTTACGGCGGCTACGGCGGTTAACTTAGTGATCTTTTTAGAAGTATATAGTTAGTATATATATAGTATATAGCTCGAGGATAACTTATTTATAGAAATATCGAAAAAAGAAACTAACGATTATCAGTTCTCGAGATAGAATCTAATAAATAATATAAGCAGGGTATATACTAGTAAAAACAGAATAGCTAGGGTAACTAGCTTACCTATAAATAAAGTTATTATAGAAAGGAACAATTTTTACCTATAGCGTAAGGGTAGAATCTAATTAGGTAAAGTAGGCTATAAGTTATACCTAGACCCACTATAGTTTAAATAGCTAATAGTATTCTATTATTCTATAGCTAATAGTCTTATAGTACTATAGTACTATTATACGTATAGTAGCTCGCTGTTTTCTAACTATATAAATATACTATATATAAATTCGGGTAGCTCTATAGCTAGCATATGCTAAGCATATGCTAGCCGAGGCCTATACAAACTCTAAAGTGGGTCATTTTCGAGGCCTATACAAACTAGCCCGAGGCCTAGGCAAACTATACACTCCAGACGTGAATTAAAGAAGTTTAAAGTCCAATCATTGAGCTTCTGAGCTCCAGAGAATACTGGGTTTCTGAGATAACTGGGAAGGCATTGATGATCATGGATTGGCAGAGAAGGAAGCGTCATATGAAGTACCTGGGTACAGTAGCCTCATAAAAGAATCAAAGCACTTTACATGAATATAACGTGGAGATTGCTTTGGGCGTTTTGCTCACTACCTTAGGTAAGGTACCTTAGGGTAGCTGTACTCTTCTTCTGCTCGAAGTACCTGATACGTGGGGCCAGTATTATGGGTACATTAGTAATAGAGAGAACTCTGGTTGGTCAGATTATTCCGCTGCTCCTCGGGAAACGGTGGGTGGGCTGAAGGAGCACAGTGTAAGAATGTGGAAACCGTCGGGTTGTTGAGATATTAAGAGGAAGGCTCAAACGATAATAATAGGCGGACCGTTCTAGGCTCAACGATGGGTGCCTTGTGGTGGGGCGCAGCGCTTAAAAGCAGACAGTACGGAGTACCTAGCTACTACATTGTACGCACAACATCTCAACAGGTCATGAAACGTTCGCCTCGGTTTCTTTTACAGCCGACCTGAACATGAGGCCATGAGCAATGATCTCCAACAACCAACATATATCACAGTGCCGCGGGTCAGGAGTCTGGACCTGATAGACTGGTTGCCTTATGGCTCAAGATGGCAGTGTAATCAGGCTTCCTAAGCTCCGCACTGCCTCCCCCTACACGTCGTTTAAGGGCAAAGGGGAAATCTCCGACCATTCAGAGGGAGATAAATAGTGACTTGCCCAGAGAGCTGCTAATAACTGATTGAACTCCAAATCCATCCTCTCACATTGCGCACGCATATTATTTCACCACTTCTCCTTTCGTTTGCTCCCCTTCGCTACTCTTACTGCCTATCCCATCTTGTTCATCTATCACATTTAAAAAAGCCTCTCAGAACACTGCAAATACACGAAGCTACAATGGCAGTTCGGTCTGAGCAAGTCGATTGGGCCAGGCTCAAAGCCTACATTGCAGCAAAGGAGGCCTACGAACAGCAGCACGGCTACCCAGCGCCCCTCTCCGAGTCGGAACAAGAAGCTATCAAGATTCTTATCCCGCCGCCACGCCCTCGCATAGAAGATGCCGTGTCGGACAAGACCAATTGGTTGGGTCTTCTCAATCGTTTGTCCCCTTTTCTTTATTCTTTTCTATGGTCAATATATATATATATATATATATATATATGGTCGATGAAGACTTCTTTTTCGATTTGTATTCAGGATCACCAGAAAATACCCAGACTAACGCGCTCAACAAGACTATGCCCAGACCAAATACGTATCCACCGCGGGTCTTGAATTCACTTACGGTTCTGTTCACCTGCCCAAGGCCAAAGGCTTCGACGTTGCCTGGAGTTGTCTTTGCACTGTTCCTGACATCGAGGGCTCTTTTCCTTCTCCCGGGTATGGCATGGAGTCGGATGAGACCGAAGCCCCTGTCTTCATGAAAAAGCAGGTCAGTAACATATCCCTCTTGCCTCCACTGTTCTCCTCCTTCCTTTCACTAGAGTGGTGGCTAAGGATGGCGACAATAGGATGCTAAGCAACATGCTGCAAAATGGGCCTGCGACTACCTCATCAAGAACAACTTGATGCCCTCCAGCGGCTCGCTCAGCCCGCCATCCCTTCTCAGTCCGGCAACGACCCCGTCCAAGAGGCCGGCGTCGCCCCCTAGTCTGCGGACCCCGTCACCAAACCCCTCGACTGCCCAGGCCAACGCTACCCAATCACTCGCTTTGGGAAAGAAGAGGCATGCGACCCCGGTCAACATCGCCAGCAGCAGCAGCAGCAGCAGCAGCAGCAACGGCGGCGCAACCAGCACGGCCGGCGCCAGCCCGCCCAATTGCCGAGAAGAAGACCAGTCGACGGCTGTGGCAGAAGTGGCGGCCCTAGCCAAGGCTCTTCGCCTCCCCGTTCCTCGGTATCAATTCGTCGGGGTCCTCGAGAAGGCCGACTTCTGGAGTGTCCGCGTTGACTTCCACGACAGCCCTATGTTCCCCATTGATCTCGGCTCCGTGGACGAAGTGTATACCAAGAAAGCGGCCAAGGAGAAGAGCGCTGAATTGATAAAAGACTGGATGGAGAGCATGCGTTTCCGGAAGGACCAGACTGTGCGCGAGATGCTGCAGAGGGGGAAGACAAGACGTGAAGTGGAAGTGGGGGTGAACTAAACAGGGTTTCATCTCTCTTTCCTTTTCCCATTCTACTTTATTTCATATTTTGGCATCTCTCCGTCTTTTCTTCCACGTAGAGGGGTGCAATTTGGATTCTCCTCGATGAATCATATGTGCGTATGACCGAGGCGAGAGAAGGGATAGTAAGCGGGTGTCTAGATTAGGAGAGCAAAAAAAGAAAAAAAAAATTCAATCAAGATAACATCATGAACTCTTTTTTTTTTCTTTAATTTTTTTTTCTTTAATTTTTTTTTCTTTCTTTTTCTTTTCCGGAGATATGATGTGACTCTCTCTCCCAGATAATAAATTTTTGATGGATCATTTTCTCGGTCCACTAACACCATACGCAGTATCAGTCCAGAAATGTGTGGCTCTCAGGATATATCTCTAGACACGCCGTATCATCATGCCCTTCCCCTTCCCCGACCTTTCCCTCTCCCACCTCCTCCTCCCCGTCCACCTCCCCTAGACCCCGGCGGCACCCTGCCTTTCACACCGGCAGGGATCTCCCCAACTTTAACCCCGTCCTGCCACAACACAGGCACACCAGCCACCCTAGGCACCACCTCCTTAAAAAACCGACAGGGGACGAACCCTTCCGCATCACCCTCGGTCAAGACAACCCCGTTCTCACTAATCCACCAACTAATCCCCCCTTCCCTGAGCGACGCCTCGATGTCAACGTAGACCAGGAGCTCGCTGTCCCTCCGCATGCCGCTGACCTCCCGCGCCGCGTCCTCGGGCAGCGCGGTGGCGAAGTGGACGTGGTTGCGGCCCATGCGCTTCAGGCCGCCCGAGGCCTCGATGGCGGGCCACACGGCGAGGTAGGTCCCGTGGAAGACGCTGGGCGGGATGTTCCCTTCCTCGAGCGTGATGGGGCGGAGGAGTGCCGCCGAGTCGACAGTCTTGATGCTGTGGCCTTGGTTGGCGCGGATGAGCCAGTCCGCAGGATCGGCGGAAGGGTCGGGCATCCGCATCGACGTCGCCGTAGAGTCCTCGCTCGGTGGCGCCGGTGAAGAGGAAGGCGACGATGCAGAGGGGTTGGCGGTCTTCATGGCAAAACGCGTCTTGTCGGACGTGGTGATGACGTTGACGATGTCTTCCACCGTGACTTTCAGGGAGCGGATAGGTCCGTGAGCTAGCTGTAGTTCGTTTGTCTTTACTTTAGTCTTTGTGTTTCGGTCCATAACTTACGTGACCTTTTCGAATTTTATCTTCCGTTTGGGCCTGCTAGGGGGACGGGAGGAAAGAGACAAGTCACTCACCACCTTGTCTAGAGGAGCCCAACCCCCGGCGTCCAGCTTGATCCCCGCGTTATCCGCCTGATGCCGTAAAAGACGTGACAGCGCCTTGGATACCAGGACATTCCGATTTTGCGGCCTCCCGCTTCCCCCTTTCCCTCCACGTCCTCCTCGGTGTCCTCCAGCGCCCTTCCCACTTCGCCCCATACTTAGTTGGTCCTCCAGCTTCAGATGGTCCAGGCCCGCAGCGCTGTCTTGAACGAGAAGATCATCGCTTGCCATCTTGTGTCTGCGTCTGTGTCTTGTTGATGAGAACGAAGTGGTAGTACTGAAAGCTGCAGCAAGAATGGCGGTACCGAAAGCTGTGGCCGTAGCAGTATAACCCTCAAGTTGCAATATTTTCTGGCAGATAATCAAGCCGACTGCTGCTGGCTGTGGTACTAAAGAAAGAGTCGGTTCAGGTGTTTCTGTGCTTCTCCTTCTTCTTGATCTGCCCGTCGGCGCAAGATATGTTCGACGGATGGTGACGGGAGCAGACTTCGATATAGCGAAAATATTGCGCAAGGCTTGCACTGTGAGACTCAGCGCCAGCATATATCACATATTATCCCTGGCTGAGATGATATGAACGACAGCTAAGTGTCTGTGAAAAGAAGCTGGTAGGGAAAAAGATAAGAGCGAGGCACGGAGTCTTGCGGACGAGTGATTGAATTCCCTTCATCAATTGCTGGTACTGGCTTCCCGTACGAAGTACACAGTACGGATACCGCTCCAGACTGTGTTTGGGAAGGTGGGTCTTTGGGAGGAGTGGCTTCACTGAATCACAGCGGACCAGCCAATGAGATCTAAGCTTCCGTTTTCCTCCGAGAACATCAAAAAGTCTTCATTCCCAGCCAACTCGCCGTCTCTCTTGTTTACTACCTTGATCGCTTCCTGAAGAAACATACCGACCCCCATGTTCTCCTTCAAGGGACCCAACATGATGTCAAAAGCCTATCTCTACTCCCCTGTCATCTTCGTCTTCCTCCCTCGAGCTTCCAGGCCCTGCCTCTCCCAACTCACATCTCGTCTCTCCACGTGGTATGTGGCTATTGGTATATAAACATTCCGCCACCGAGCACTATAGTCCGAGACCATGGCCCCTATAAAGAGAATAAGCACAAGGCCGTCCGTCCGTCCGTCATGGCTCGTCGTGGGAAGTCCAAGTGCAATGCGGTGACCATGAGGAAGCATTAGAAGAAGAAAGAAAAAGAAAAACGAAGGAAGAAGAACAAAAGATCGGCAGTAACAATGTCCAAAAAAAAAAAAAAAAAAAAAAGAGGAAACGAAAAGAAAAGAAATATGCATACGAAACAGAACATGCCAGGCAATGACAACGAAATCATAGACGCCCTACGCAAGAAAAGACAATGCTATTGATACATTTCAGTCATGCCGTATGTGGTCGATGTTCATAAGACCCCATCGTTATCTGTAGCCACCGGCTTGTGCCGAGGCTGACGTGCTCGTCGAGTGGCTTTCGCGGTTCGGTCGGCGCAACAGGCTTGCCGTCCGTGTGAGTAATGAGCCTTGTCGTTGTCCCCGGTCCTCTGGTAGTTTATCCGCGACGTTGTTGTTGGTGTCGCGGTCGGCGGTAGATCGTTCCAGGTAGCGCCGCCCACCGAGTGCGGAAGGTGTTGAGGGTGTGGCCAACCGCGACGAGTTCAGCATTGTCGACCCCACCCTTCTTCGAGGGAGCGCCGAAGACGCGAGAGTAATGGTCTCCGTCGAGCTCGGGGATATGTAGCTGTGGGACACGGCCCGAGAGGATGCTAATTCCGTGCCCGCCCGGGATGGCGCGCGAAACCGATGCTCCTCTTCGTCCCCTTCGTTGGTATTTCGTCGCTCGCGCAGCAGAGACGTCTTGCGACCATCTTCCGGCTCCTCTGTTCCGGCCCGCCGCGTCCTGAGGAGCATCGAGGATCGACGTCCTTCCTCAGGCTCCTCGGTTGCGGCTCGTCGTGTGCGACCAATGAGTAAAGACGACTTTCGCGCAACAGTGGACGGTGGCTCCGCCGCCGCCGCCGTTGTCACCACTGCCGAAGAACCCGCGGTACTCGCGAGACGAAGCGTGGGAAGGTTGCTCGCATTTAGCAGCGAGTTTCTTCTCTCCTCGAGCTTGGATAGCGCACGCGGACTAGGCATGCTATTCTGTCCAGACGCACTGCTTTCGTTGGTCAAACTGTCCCTGCGCTGATGCGTCACGACACTAGGGAAATTCTTCGTTATTGTCGGTGTCGTCGGACCGTCTCTCAGAGGCGTGTTGTTAGCCTGGACAGTCACTGTTCGAGTCTGCGACGGCGCAGCCTCTTCGGTGAGCGCTAGCGCAAGTTCGGTCAGGCTCCGGCAGATAGCCTCTGCCCGGCGCCGTAGCTGCCGATCTGTCACCGTAGCTCCCGTACCGATGGCGCTCGCCCCGCTCGAAATCGGCCCAGGCTGCCCCGCCGTTCCCATCATGGCCACCAAAGCAGTCGCATCCGATGCTGCCGTCTCGAGTGCCTTGGACACCTCCGGGCTCAACAGCAGTTTACTCCGATTTACAGCAGACTGCAGCACTGGTTGTTGCTGCGAGTCGCGTTGCGAGGACGTGGTGCTACTCGCGTCCCCGTACGCTGTCGCGGCATGACCCGAAACGCGCTTGGGTGACGTGGATACGGTCGTGTTTGTGGCCGTCGGTGGTCGCTCGTCCAGTACTTTGTGGATGGCAGCGCTTGACGTTGAAGGCAACTTACCCGTCAGCTCCAGCCGATGGATTCGTGACTTCAAGTCGTCCAACTCGTCCCACACGGTTGATGGCGCGGTAGTTGACGCTGTCGACTCCGTTCCTTCGAGTCCATGGTTATTGTCATGGTGCAGATCTTGACGATGCGGTTCCGCTGTGCGAGTCGCAAGAGGCGACGAGTTGTAGGTGCGGGAGTGGCCGTAGGGCAGGTGAGTCTGCTTGTAAGTAGAGCTGCGGTAACCGCCACTGCTCTCTGTTACGGAAGTTCTTCTCCGAGAATAAGAGGAATTTTCCGTTGTTGCATCCTGGTGGGTGAAAGACCTGGGCGTGATGGGAGATGCCCGGTAGCCCGTGGTTGACACCCTTGACACGCGGCTCTCTTCAGCAGGATGACTTGAAGCCGCCTTCTCTCTCAACAAGCCACGGTAAGGTGCGCCCCGTACCACGATTTCACTTGCAACGTCATCTTCAGCCGGTCGAGATGGTGCGTGCGACGCCTCTTGCTGATCCGATAGGCGACGGGTAACGCGAGGTGGGGAGGCGGGCTGGCGAGAGGAGGGCACGGCTGCAGAGAGGGGTCGGCGATGAGATGATTGGGTGATCCGAGACTGGTCATGCGTCAGTTCCAGGCCACGCATAACGGGAAGTCAAGAGGATGCTTCATCAAGGCAGTGATAGAAAGTATGAGATGAGGTAAAAACAAACGGCAAAAGTCGCGGGGGACTGAGAGATTGATGGCTTGAAGAAAATAATACTGGGAGCAAGCGACGAGCGACCGAGTCGCGATGGAAACTTATGATCGGGAGACGGGAACCAAGGGCGCAAACAGACAAATGATTGACCGGGTGGGCACGGTCGTCATAACAAGCGCTAAATCAACTTGAAACATACCAAAAAGAGAAAAAGGATGGTCCAGGGTTCGAGAAGAACGACGGAGGGAGCGGGAGAAAGGAAGAAGAGAAAAGGACGAAAGAGAAAACACGCTCCACTTACGATTGCAGGAGCATCGTCCGCAGCAGAACCACGGGAAGCAAAACCGCGGTCCGTTCGTCGTCGGGGGGCTTCCTCTCTAGCAATCTTCATAAAAACGTCGCCGGATGTATCATCGCCATCCATGGAAGTGTCCCGTTTTGCCGAGTCTGGCGGACTCCTCTGCGAGACGTCATCGTCCGGTCTGCCCTCGAGGGCTCGCAACGTGCGGTCGCGCTGATTGAAATCGGCATAAGAGTAATCGTCGCCGGAGGAATCCCCGGCATGGATCGAGGGAGAAATCATCTCAAAACTGGAGCTGCGGCGGGATCCAGAAGAGCGAAATGATCGGATTGGCGCCACGCGGACGGATCCCGTTGGCACACTGGCTCCGGGTGGTCGGAAAGAGAGGGGCGGCCTTGAGCGGACGGGTTGGCGCCTTTCATCGGTCGGGCTTTGGTGTTGCAGGGACTTGGGCAGGATGAGCTCGCGTTGGCCCTGAGTCCACTCCTTCGTTTTGTGTTCGCCAGCAGACAGCCGCGTCGCTTGCACCGCCTCAATACGGTGCGAGCCAAACGTTCCTGGGGTCCGTCTATACTGAGGCTTGGTGCCGGTGGAGGGGCTCTCGCCGTCGAGCGATTTGTGTGCCGCGTGTGACCTGGAAACACCGACAACGGGCGAATCGGGAAACGATGCAGGTCGTGTGGTGGTGACGGCCGCAAATTTCGACTCGGCAGCAGGCGTGGGTCTCGTGGAGGATGTATCGGAGGTCGATGCTCGAGATGGAGGGCTCTCGCGGGCCGGTGGAGGCAGTTCCGTCCGATCGTCAGGATCCGAAAGGTTTCCAGTAGGTGATCGAGGATTGGGTGAGGAATGCGGGAGATGATCAGGGTGAGACGTCGGCGGGGGTTGATGATGCGTTGTCGTGGTTGCTGGGCGGGGTGGACTCGGCCTTCCCGCTTTTGTTGTCGCAGTCGTGGTGCGAATCGACTCGTTATTTTCGCGTGGGTCAGACGGGTAGGTGTCCTCGTTTTCGGGGCTTCCATCACCTAATATGTCATCCGCAAAGTGGCTGGACCTGGTGTTGTTGCAAGTGTGGCTTGAGGCGCTGTCACGAGTGCCCGGACCACCAATAGGAGCAATACCATGACCCACTGCGACCGACATGGAGCGCTGCACACACTCCAGCGAGTCAACGCTCACTGGCTGCTGCTGCTCCTGCTGCTGCGAGTTCGGGTTGACCATACCGTATGCACTGCTTCCACTTGGTTCTGATGATGCTAGCTCAGAGACACTGGTAGGATCGCTGGGGTCTATTGATCCCAACTCGGGTGAGATGGGGGACGGGGGGAACTGTAGTTGTCGAGGGTGATTATGCAGAGATGGCAGCGATAGCGCCTGTTGCTTGTGTAGGTCGGCGAAACGAAAGGCAGGAAGCTTGGACGAGTTGTGGTTCTGCCGATGCGCATGGTAAAGCTCCGGTTCGGAGGAGCGAGAAGATACGGACGAGGCAGATGGAGTAATATCGGCGTATGAAGATGGCTCGCTTACGCCTCCCCCAGTTGGCAGCGACGAAGAGAACGGCACGGTCGGTAGAGGGTCTCGTGAACTGAAAGCCAGGTCGGTGCTGCCGTGGGTGTGTCTCGCTTCCAAGGTGGTGACGGTAGTTGGCATTGTCTCCCAGCAGCGCCCGAATGAGGTGGTCTTCTACTCCGACTGGTTCGTCCGGCTCACTTGGACGGCAGTTCAGTTCGCTGGTCAGGGATGTCTGTCGCCAATCTCGAATCGAATCCGGAGATGTCTCGCGGTTTGTCTCCCGGGCGTCCCTATCCAAGAATCTCCCTGCCTCGTCGCACCACAGGATCACTCATCCGTGTTTGTTCTGCTACGCTATGCAAAAGCGCAGAAAGCCAGAGCAGTAGCTAGAACCCGTGTAACAATAATCAATGCGCTTTTTCAACGCAATCACTGCCGGGCAGGGAAGCCGTCTTCGTCACAGTGATGTCGTTTTGCACCGGAACCTGACTGGGAGGGGACGACCCCCGCAAAATCCTTCCCGTTTTCGGTGACTTGAGACAACTGCGTGCAGATGCGCCGGTGACTGAGTCTTTATTCTTCACGCTTCCGGTAAAGAATAGGTGAAACACGTCAAAGGGCGTATGGAGAATTAAATGGTAGATGGGACAGAGGAGATTCTGGTCGGTGGCGATGGATGGGGTCGTGCTTCGGAGGAAAGTACGGAAGTACTCGAGGTTGTATTAGTTCGTGAGGGTAGAATCGGACGCGAATTCAAGGGTGAGGCGGCCGCGGGGTGTCAGAAAGAAGGGCGCGGAGGCAAGAGAGAGTAGAGCGCGTGCGTGTGTGTGGGAGTGCTGCGTCTGTAGTGAGTGAAAGAGAGCACAGAGATAGAGAGCGTCGAATTGCCGTCGTCGGTTGAATGCGAATGGGGAAAAATGTCGTCAAAAGAGGGACTCAAAGTGGTATCATGACTGAACCGACGCCATAAAAGGTAAACCCAGGTTCTGGACGAAGGAGATAGCAGGAATGGGACTCGTAAAGGCGACCGAGGCAGCCTGGAGAAGAAAGGGAAAGACGACAAATTCTGCGCGAGTTTGGCAATAGAGGAAAGGAAGGAGAAGGGCCCGGGAGGAGGAGGAGAAGTCGGACCAACCAACATGCCCTGGGCGTCCTAGAGAGTCGTAACTGGCGAGGTAACTTGGTCTGATTCGCTTCGCTATTAGGTAGGTAGGTCCGTGACATTCTTCCGCTGGTGGTCTTTCCTCAGGGGCGCGTCCTAAAGCGGAAGAGGGGGTTGTATGGAGTACCTTGAGGTACAAGATAGGGAAAAAGTGACTTATCCCACCCCACCTTACTAATCTCCACTCTATGAAAAAGTGTCTAAACCGTGGTTGAGAAAGTACACTAGCCGTTTGATAGGTATGCTTAAGTACTCCATACACCGTCCACACCAAAGACCACAAAGACCTCGAGCTTTCCGGTAGAAAGGAACCGACAAGCCCACCCGTACGAATAACGTACATACCTTAGAAATACACGTACATATTCGTAAACCAACCCTGTTCTGGGATCCCCTACCAGTCGTACGAAGTACAATAATACTTCCATTATTACCTTAGGTATTCATTTAAGGTACGGATAAGGTACGGATAAAGTACTGTATCTCAGAAATCAGATCTCACCAAGTGGCAGCCAGCGTTAAGGTAGCATCATGAATGGATATGGATACTCTATCTCCAGTAAGTTGGTACCAAGCCATAACATCCCCAGCCCCTACTTATTCGCCTTCATGCCCGGCCATCATTGCAAGACCAGCACCGGATCAGTCCATGAGACCAGTGAATTGTAGGTAACCGTGCCATAGAGATCACGGTCTGCGGGTGTACATATTAGCGTATGTGCCTTATGTATGCTCCACATGCAGAAGCAAGCACACAGCACGCGTGTGCGCATAATTCGACTTGGATCCCCAAAGAATCTGGCCCACTGCCACTGGATAATAACTAAGGTACCTTACCTTACATAATACGGATGCTATGTACAACCAGAAACCGTCCCGCCAACCACCAACGGCATAGGTGGGAGTCTCTTCACTCATCTCAACTCCGAAGACTTCGAAGACTTCGTACGTTGTACTCCATACGAAGTACCTACTGGACCCACTACCCCGACCCCTCGTGGCTGGCGTTGCACCCGCTGGTCGGATATTTTGCCCATGGCGTAGTTGCACTATCGATCCGCCGAGATCTAGCGATGTAATCGTACGAATTATCAATACTCCGTAATTTTCGTCCACATGGAGTCCGAATTGAACTTTACGGTTCGACGAACACGGTTCGACGAACACGGTTCTGCCAATTGCCCATCCCCATCCAGGTGCCGCTGCAATTCACCGAGACGTGCAGGAAGGCTCCGTACGTTGTATGTGCAAAAACGGAGAGCATGGAGAACATGATATGCAAGGCATTCACCCCAACATTGAACAAAACAACAAGGCTTTGTTTGGGGTGCGAATACATAGTCCATACAACGTACGTAAAAATTCAGAATTGTCCCTCCTCGGCTATTGCATCAATAGCCAGTCTTTCTCGAACAACAGGGTTCCTTGTCCGCTGCCAACATCCTAAGCGGGAAGTTCCCTCGTTCTCGATCCAAGCTCCCCAGCCTCCCTTCGATGTTTCGATGTTTCGACGTTTCCTCGGCTGCGGGTGGATTCGTGACAGGGTCTCCTGTGGCCTTAATCTGGAGTACTCCCTTAATCTGCACGTCCTTCAGCGGACCGTCTCAGAAATGGAGCCTTGCAGGGCCTGCACGGCCGCCAACTATCCAAGCACTTGCACTTGCAGCTCGCAACTTCCTTCAGGAGGCGGGCTCTGTTGTCAGGACAAACAGTGGAGATGGGGGTGCCAAGCCAGAAACAATCGAAAACAGACGAAGAAAAAAATGGAAAGGGAAACAAGCCAAACATCGAGCCGACAGATGCCTAGGAGAGTCATGGTTGCCGTACCGGCATGAACGTTCGCCTGCCAACTTCCCGATGATGTCTGCTGTGCTGTGACTTTTCCCTCAAGGGCTCCTCTGCAGAATCTGTGGCGCACGCATCAGAATGATGGGCAACCTCGTCAGCCGAACACCCACATTGAGTTCTACTTCGTACATAATACTTCTCAGGCGATCAGTTTGTGGTGTTTCATTCTCACCTTTTCCATATGATTGGGCCTGTCATTCAAGGAAGCTTCTGTAACAGCCCGCAGCGACATGCACCAGAAAGGGGCATGCATGTGTGCCTGCATACACGCATGCAATCCTTTGGTGGGGATGTCCTGGGCGCTGCGACGGCTCGTGGCAACCGTACAGACTTCGAAATGGATCCAGCTTAACTTCCACTACCTACCTACATCGTACTCTCTATCGTTGTTCCTGTCCATTTCGAAATCCTCCCTTCTCTGAGCTCAGTCATCAAATCCTGGCCTGGCAAATTTGCAGTCTCCCAACTCTCGCACATTCCCCTGTGAAACACCTAGCCAATATACGTAGATCAACCAACAATCCCAGAGTAGTATCAAGGTCCTGGTCTGGGTTATTATGGACCAGCACTGGGCGCTCTGAAGGGTATCTTAATGAGTCTTAATCCGCACAACGACCCGAACAAGCATATGACTGGTAACTGCAAAGGGGCTCTATAGGTATCTCATGCGAGCTCTACCTACGAATCCGAAGGCCCGTCCAGCATACGAGGCTCTCTCGCGCGTCCCGTCACCATCAGAACAGTTCTTGTACTGAGACCCGGTTACAACCCGCGGGAACGGTTTCCAATAAGTGCGATTTGGTGGTAGGGTGTGCGCAGAAACTGGCGGCCCGTCCCGCACCGCAAGTCTCACAGGTCCAATGAAGGGCGTTTGAGAATAGACACAATGAACCGGCCTATGTTGTCAAGTTAAAGGCCACAGTTCGATCTTCGTGGGCTATCTGCTATCTGGAAACCACAAGAGAGATACACTTCCGAGTTACGTGCCCATGTCTAGGGCTTACTATGAACTCAGGGGACAACCCGAGGTGACCTTACTGCCAGATGCCGTGAAAAGCTCAGAGTGAGGCTATCGCCAGCGAAGGGTCGAAGTCCCATGCAGACAGCGAGGATATCAATTTTCGCAGACACCCCCAAAGACCGGGGCTGGCCAGACTAGATGGAGGCTTCCTAAAAGACTAACCCCCTAGGGCAGTACACGTGAAATGCACAGAAAGTCTGTGTGTCAATATGGCACACTTCCCTGAACATGCCGCGAAACTCCAGTTTGGAGATGGATGAGGGGCACCAACTCGATCTTTGTTGGAAGACATTTTGTGACCGACCACCGTCTTCAAAAGACTGCGTTCTTTGAGACTCCGCGGTATCCAGATAGTAATGTTTCCCTCCCTCTACCGTAAGTACAGCAGAGTCGCCATGCGGTAAATATCTCTACAACTTGCTTTGAACGCTTCATAGAGACGAAATATAGTCACGACAAGCCCAATTCTCTACCTGTTACAGGCCAGCTTTCTCGAAGAACCCTACCTTGAGATTTATGTCACTTGCTCGGTCATTGTCTGTGCTGGTCGAGGATGACCTACTGTTCAGCAGCTGAAGAGGCTCGGGTATCCTTAGTCGTGTCCATTGTGCCGGTACCAAAACTGGCCGCCTCATCCTGTTATCCCTACTGAGCGCCTTCGTTATTTAGTAAGGGTCCATAGATCGAGAGTATATCAAGATCGAGAGCATCTCACCAGCGAGAGCCATGAGTCGCCGCTGAATAGCCGCAGACGCCTAGCATAAAACGGACAAGCCCAAGTACAGCCGTTTGAAATGCCCTGTGAGGCCATAATGTAAACACGGGGGTCGAACGCGGTGCTTTAGCACTGGTTCGGCGTTCCGTATCTGTTGTAACCCGCACGGTGGCCATTATCCTTTTCTCACCAAGCGGTCCTCGGCACGTTGAATCAGAAACTCCTGATGGACTTGGGTAGGTGATGATATGGACCCCATACGTTCAACGTGGGCCGTCAGAGCGCGGAATTTAAACTCACCTGTGTGTAGAATTGCTTGAGATTTGGTCTTTTTTGTTTTAATTTTTTTTTCCAGAGCACTAGACAGTCATGACTTCTGGTCCGAGTTAACACGCCTGGAGCCTTGGGGACTACCTAGATATTGGGCACGGGGTTAGCATCTTGAACCCGCAATATGGACTGGAGTTACGAGGACAGAGGGGGGACAATGCCTGCCGGTGAGATAGCGGCGCCATGGCATCTTTCTCTGGCGACGCTTTGGGGCATACTCTGCTTAGCAAGATACAGCATTGATTTACTTGAAATAAGTAGTCATCGCGTACTCAGCTAGGTTGTCATATCCGTAGAGCCAGTCTAAGGCAGCACAACGGGATAGGGGTAGAGCGGCTGGATCCACGCGTTTCTTGACGTAGGATCAAGCAGTTCTACAGACTACGGGTACCAGTGACTGCTTGGAGTTAGTACCACGCAGCAAGTACATGTGTCCATGAGGCGTGTCAAAGCTGAAGTTGACTGAACGTACTGCCTGGGTCCGAGACTGACACGACGGATGACGCTAAGCTGAATGGACCCCGAGTCTTTGACGAAGGCTGGACTTTAAAAGTAACCCACCACTAAGTAGGTGATCGCAGCGTAGGTATCTCATATCTTCCTGAAAAGGGCACGGCGAGGAGAAGACCAACGGAGCTTTACACAGAGATCCGTAAATTCAGGACCCCGTTAATTTGGGGATGTATTCGGACGCACGACGGGCTTTCCTAAACGGGCACCCCACAAGGAACATATCGCGTCCGTTTCCCAGCCGTGATCCGTATATTCGGAGGGCCAAGTGATAATTACCTGAAGCAGAAGTGTGAACGACCTTAGACGACCACGTTACCCGTTAGTCACGGAACATATAGATGAGGTGATATTGGACATGGGAACAGCCACCAAAGCCTTTGAGAAGATTGTGCCTAATTGAGGTTCTTAGGAAGTACAGTCCGAGCAAGCCGGGGATACAACAAATCACGTTTATTGTCTTCAGCCGGCGACTCTCGATCGAAAGTTGGAGATTTGTTCGTCCTGTTTAGCATGTGAGTTCATCAAGAAGACAGCTCGGAAAACTTTTGGTTAAGTACCTTAAGGTACCTTAATTAGCTGTTGGTTGGCTTGGTCATGAAGGTGCCTGTACTCTTGACACCAGTCCAACAGGAGGGGTTGGTGTGGATGAGACCTTTGCTATGTACTCTATACACGGAAGGAGACGAAGCCCCGTACGAACAACGAAGGATGATAAAAGCAGAAATACGAGTAGCTCATTATTACTTGGTACTCATTTTGAGACCCGAGGGTTTGGTTGATTCAGGACCATTTGCGAGAGAGCATGGAGTTCTGAAGGGAAGAGAATAATAGATGTATGGAGAACCTCCGTACGATATAAGAAGCGCGAATAATACTACACAACAACCCCTGTTTAATTATATTTGAGGTACATTCGAAATTTACCCTTTATAGGAAATTTAAGAAGGTTCGAGGAACGTACCTCCACTATACGTAGTTCAGGACTACCTTAGCTATGGCACGAAGTACAATAGCTCCAACAGTTTCAGCAGTCAGTTTAGCCCGGTGTTTCACAATTTGCCAAGATGACGAAACCCCAGTTGGAGCACTCTATTACCTGCTAATTTCCAGACTTGCCATGAGGTTCGAGGAAGATCCTCGGAGCTTGGGGCCCGTGCGGACTGGGTATCGCACGAGTGATAGGACGGTCAAGCGTTGCGTCTGCTTGGGTTCTCCCAAAAGCACAAAACCCACAAGCGCGAAGTCGATAGGACGTTGACTTCCGGAGTATTGCTTCTTCGAATATCGAAAGGCTGCCTGTCAACGAGTTGTCGCGAGGAATCTTGGTTAGGGTGCCAACGATCGTCAGCCATATTACTAGGAAAACCTGTCCCAGACTACACCAGGACCAATAACAAGCAGGTTATTTCGGATGATATCTATGGGGGACGATAGGTAGGTAGCCTTGACGCTGATCTCATTTCGGTCCCTACCCTTTGCCGAGCTCGCACCCCCCGAGGTTTGGACCCGTTTTGGGGGAACGCATTCAATATTCCGCTTTGAAGCCGCCCGACTCACCGCAGGCTGGAATACATACAGAAGAGCCACGCCCAATCGAGTACACGGTCAACTGTAGCGAAGACTGCGTAGGGGAGTTAGGAAGGTGAGCGGAAGAGGACGAAAGTAATCATGGAGTGACGTTCCAGGCCGCAAGTCAGCCCGTCCAGTCAACCTCGCTTCGTTCCCCGACCCTGAATTAGTCAATCGGCCGGGCGACAAAGGGCGACTGCTGTGACTATTAAGGGCGAGAAGCGCTTATCCGTCTTACGCAGCACAGGAAGAAAGGTCATTTAGAAGAGGGATGTGGCGATTTTAACAATCCGCACCGTCGTACCCGTCGCCTCGCAATCTCGTAAAATTTCAAGACAGATTTGATCCGACAGCTCCGTGGAGAATGCACATCAAGATAGGTGTTATTGCGCTGGGAAGTTAGCGACAGCGACCCGCATTCTTCCGTCCTGACATTTAAATTAGCACGGAGATCATCCTGCATCTCATACCCCTTCTTTATGACGACGCACTGAGATCCTGAAAACACTCGGTGAGGGTTCGTGCCCTGTTTGGACACTGACCAGTGAGCGTATAAGAAACAAAGTGGTTGGACGATGTACCGTTGTACAGACCCATGTTCCACTCAGCGGCTGGAGAGGGTCAGGTAATTATCCGTACTTCATAAGGTACCTACCTAGGTACTTCGAACAAAGTAGGTACCTTAGACAAAGGCAGGAGGAAGGACCTCGGGGCTGACTGGACTTGACCAGGAGTAGGTACCTAGGTAGGTAAGGACAATGAACCCCCCTTGTACCCCTGTCGTCCAAATTTGTCACACGCGCTCTGATTGGCCCGTTCTTGGCGCCTGTTATGACCATGTTTGGGGACCTGAACTCTATTAATAGCCCCTGGCTCATGCTTTGCATCTGCTGTCCGTCCACTCACAGAGCGCGGCAGGGCCGCACTAAACTCCACAGACGCCCCACCTAGAGAGGGGTGCTGGCCACTCACCGTTACAGAACTCTGTAGCTCCCGCTCTGCGACCCGCCGCTGTCTGTGGTCGCAGCAACGCTTGACCATCTTCAGGCCCTTCCTGTAAGAGAAAGGACGAAGGAGTATCCGTGCTTCGTAATTAGTACCTTGTATGTCGATAATATTCACGGAACGAACACCTTCATTACCAACTATGGAGAACGAAGCGGACGAGCCAAAGGCGCTTAGTGATGTAGCGTGCGACTCGGCCAGTATTCACTCTGAAGAAGCGGTCTTGCTGTGGCTCGCTTGTTGAAGCAGACATCCGTGTGTACGTGCTTTGTAACCGCCTAGGGCAACCGACCCTCGTCTGAGGAAAATTACGACCGGCATTCGTACCCTATTCGTGTCGCCTGCCACTTGAGGCGGCAAATCCTACATTGGACAATCTTAGGGTCGGTGGTACACAGCAACGACCCTGGGACCCGATATGCATGGGGTACGAATACAACGTGCGTATGTACTTCGTATGAACGAATAGGTATCTGTCTTTCGCCGTCGAAACAACCCCCTCGCCACTTCAACCCCTTCGTAGCCCCGAGATTCAAGCCCCAAATCTCAAGACCCACGGCCCAGCCCACATCCCTCGTCCACTCAGCACTCTACGGGTAAACCCCCCTTAGCCCTGACCGGGGTAGTCTTGCATGTATGAAGTACGGATACATGCGGTACGTACTACTGGTGAGTCGGAATACCCGTACCCAGGTACCAATTGTTGGCTGTCTTCCAGGTTCACTCGCTGTCACCGTCGCTAACGGCACTTCGCCGGCTGCCACTTTCTCTTCTCTCTTCCTCCTCCTTCGCCCTCTCTTTCCTCTCTTCTTTGCAATCCGCCAACTCTATCGCCGACCATAATCAACTTTCCCTTTTCCATCACCCTCCTTCCCTTCTTACCTCCTCCTTAATCACCCAGCTAAACAACCACACTTCTACCTAGCCATTCTTTTCCTTCTCCAGTCATGTGTCTGTCATTGTAGCGACGCAACGGCTGCTCATTACATACACACCGTCCTCCGTCCTCCGCCCTCCAAATGCTAGTCGTTGTTGGGTCGATCTAATTCATCTATTTCAAAACTTATTTCCTTCTCGCGTCTTGATCTTTTCTTTCCTCTTTTATATCTTCACTGGTCTACCTCTCCACTCGGCCTAATCAATCGCGGACGAAGCCACCTGACCTCACCACGAAACGTCTACTGCAACCGGAAACGACACATCCATCGAACGTGTTCCTACTGGGCGGTGTTTTGCTTCTCTCATCGCTTTTCGACGTCATAAAAGGGCGCCAAAGGATAGACGGGGGTGCTTAGGAAGGAGGAAAACAAGTCCAAGACCATAAGGGGCATAGAAGGAAACGGTGGCCTAGAAGAGGAACGGGTATCGGGCGACGCTGGGACAAAAGAACCTACACCTACCGAGCGCGCGACAGGATTCAGCAGCGCTGCCCACCCTGCAACTGAGGATCAGACTCGCCACTTCGCACTTATTTTCTTCACATTCACGACCGTTACACTTACAACATCTTCCCTGAACTCACGCCCGCTATCGCGACGATTTCTATATCATTCCTTTCCCACTCGACCGACGTACGAACCAGCCAGCCGCAGGCAGACAGACACGCATAGAGAAGATGCCGTCCGCAGCAGCAAGACGGCTCTATGAAGATCAGATCCCGTCTTTCATGGCAGTATTTGATCTTGATGCTGAAACTATGGCCGATCAAGACACAGTCACCTTGGTGAACCCTAAGCTGGCCGAGCTGGACGCTTCATATCCCTCCCTGCAGAAGCCGCTCTCAGCGCAGCACTTTCGGGCGGCCACGATTACTCCTGATTCTCTACACAAACATAACGACAGCACATCCACGCAAGCGTCAGAATCCGCCGAGTCTTCACCTACCACTACCCTCTCCACAACGGACTCTTCTCCTTTGACCGACCCTTCACCATCGTCCTCCCCGGATTCGCCAATCAATCTCATACCGCTCTCATCCTTCCCGGGCACGTCTTTCGGCGCCCTTCCGCCAATGAATGCCCTCACGATCCCTGAAAACTCGTCTCTCATGAGCAATGGTCGACCCATGACTTCGCCGGCGCCGCGGCGTCCCAAGAATATGAAGGGCCTATCGATACAACCGCCCTGCCTGAATACGACGGTTGTGAATACAAATATCATGGCATCAGAGCCCGCATCTCCGGCTTTCATCAAGCCGACAATCCCGGCCATGAAGCGGAAACCGAGCCAATTGAGTCTCAAGACAAGCTCCTCTGACCTAATGGCGAAGACCACTTTGGAGGTTCCAAGCACACCTGCTCTGCCTCCTATTCTCCAGCGGCGGGCACTTAAGCACTCGACATCGTCTCCACATATGCTCTCGGGTCTGAAGTCGGCCACCCATGGCCCGCCCGGCGGCATGACCTTTCCCAAGGTTCTGGAGCGCAACGAGTCTGGTCTGTCCGAGGTTCTGCGGCCAACTAAGACTGTTATCCCCACTTCCTTTGGACCAGCCATCACCGAAGAGGATTCGCCAATCCGAACACAACTCGCTGATCGTGGTGTCATGGATTCCGAGCCGTTCCACGAGCAGGAGAAGAACGAGGACCAGAAGTCGCCTGGCTATCCGGAGGGCCCGCTTGCCATTTACGACGACGACGTCTTTCTCTACTCAGAGCCCACGGCTGAGGAGGCAGCTAGGTTTGATGTGGTGATCAATGTGGCTCGCGAGGTCAACAATCCGTTCAGCCGCTTCCGCCCCACTGAGCAGGTGGCTTCCGACAACAGCCCCATTCCGGATACAGCCGTCACAGCCGCCAGCTTTGCAACTGCATTTGAATATCCACCAACAGAGGAGCAAGCAGCCGAGACACCAACGACACCAAGAGCCGCCCCCTCATTGCCATTGAAGCAGCCCGAGTACATCCACATACCCTGGGACCATAACACAGACATCGCGCCAGATCTAATGCGCCTCTGCGAGACCATCGATTCACGAACGAGGGAAGGCAAGAAGGTCCTGGTCCACTGCCAACAAGGCGCAAGCCGATCGGCCAGTCTGATTATTGCCTACGGCTTGTATCGAAACCCCGCCCTCGGCGTCAACGACGCATACTACGCGGCGCAAGCGAAAAGCAGATGGATCAGCCCCAACATGAAGCTGATGTACTGCTTGCAAGACTTTCAGAAGGAGGTGGCTAAGCGGAAATCTCTTTCGTCTTCCTACCGGCCACGTTCAGGACGCAGTCCGGCAAAGCACCGCTTGACTCTTTCAGCGGATGCCATTGAGCTGCCAATGAAGGAACCCCGAACTGCCCCTCTCCCGGACAACGGTGAGGGTGCATCGAGGAACGGCAGTCCTGCTGCCAATGACAGCCCAGGCCGAGCAAGAGGGTACTCGACCCCTGGTGGCCAGTCCATTTCACCTGGGCCATCGTCGGCCCCGTCAAGCTTTGCGTGGTCAGAAAAGGAGTCCGACCAAAAACCGAGCATGCCTCCCCAGTTTGACCTAGATCGGCTACTCCCGCGGAACGTATCGCAGCCGTCCGATTCGAGACCGCCCGATTCAAGCCCATGTGAAGCTCTGGGCTTCACCTTTGTTTTCCCCGACGTCAAGTCCACGCCTAGTGGACTGAGTGTTCCAGGACCAAGCTACTCGATGAAGCCACCGCCGTCGCCAGGCTTTGGCGCCCACCGATTTGGCTCCCCTGCGGGGTTCGGATTCTCCAGCCTCAACCTCGGGCCGTCTCCCGGTTCCGGATTCCGCCGAGGGAGCGAACAGGCCAAAGTGGTTGAGCGTGAGATATCAGTGGTGGGTGCATCGCCAGATGACGCCGCTTTGATGTCACCAAGAGCCGAGACGATGACCCGCAACCCGTTGCGTGATCCATGTAGTGAGGTGGCCGGCATGCACTTCGTCGAGATACCGCCAACGCCTGGCGACAGCCTGTTCTCGCCTCGCGAGACCATGTTCCCACGAGATCCATTCGCCCCCTTTGGACGGCCACCGCAGTTTGCGGATCCCCGGAGTCCCCCAACCACGGGCGAAACGCCCATTGTTCGATCCATCGACGAAATTCTATAATTTACCCTGAATCTAGGAGCAGCAACAAAAAGCTCGCTCTCGAGGATATCGATGTCCCCCTTAACGATGGACTCCCTTTATCCTCCTCCATATCGTTGGAATTTTTTCTTTGTCAAAAATTTCCGTGCTTCTTCACTCGGCATTTTCGGCGCCATGTTTGGCACATCGGAAGCACAGCGAGTGGCGAAATATGGGCGGCTTGGTAGTCGGTTGACCCGGCGGCCTATTACAACAACAACAAAAAACGCACACTATACATTCTGTTCAAATGTATAATTCCACAGTGCATGCATCAAGAATATCATCATATGAGGAACAGGTGGAAGGTATATCTATCTTTTTTGGAGTAAGGCAGTCACGGAGCAAGGAGAGGGCACCCACAGAGGGCAGAAACGGCGATTCTTGAAAGCTCGGGCCTTGGTTTCGCAGCAAGCCTCGGCCTTTTAGCCCTGACTATTCTCTTTTACAATCGTTCACGATTCCTTTGTTTGCTTTGTGACGAGAGGGGGAGGGGCAGGGAAGCGACTGCCGCACTTTGCGGGAGTGATACCCCTAGAATCATGCACGGGATGGAGTAGGGGTCTGACGACGGAAGGTTTTGACACCATGTCTGTCTTCTGTCCACGCTGCAAGGGACGAATAAGACGAATAATTCCCACTGTTATTTGCAAAGGGCCAGAGGAAGGGACAAGAAGTTGTGATATAGGAGCAGGGAGTTGACAATAGTGGATAGCCAGCTGTAGATTTGAGCGACGAAAGAAATTCCACGAGCTTCCGAGTAGCTCGGCCTCTTTTTATTGATTTGCTCCCGAGTGTGACAAGATTCATGTGCCGGGTTTGGGATGCTGCCACACCGTTTCTTCCCTCCTTGAGGCTATGGACCAGACAGAGATTGAACGCCGGCGTCCTCTCTCGAAGGTAGGCACAGCTCACAGAGACTCACTCTTCTTCTTATCCTGTTGACATGAGTGACAGGTTGAGAAAAATACAACCAAACTGGACGTTATGTTGAACTGTGCATGTAGCTGTGCAATCCGGTTGTATGTACCATCTATTTTGCAAGGGTTAAGCCCCTTATATGAAATGTACCGAGTAGATATCTGTTTCTATGTCAAGTCTCTAATAAGACCACTCTAACGTTGCCCATGATAAACACCCCAACGCCATTCGATGCTGTACTCAAGGCAGTGGATTGGGAGACGAAAACCCGGCCCCCCTTCTCCCAGCCTGCACCCCGCCTCGTCCACATGCTGTATACTCTACACTCTACTACTGTGTCTTTTCTAACTTGGACTTGGCGGCGGCAACCTTCTTCTGTTTCTCGACTGTAGCGATGCGGGCCTCGGCGCCGATGGCACCAAAGACGAGGCCGACGCCAAGCCATTGCATGCCCGTGAGGCGGTGGCCGAAGGCGAAAACAGAGAGGGCCATGGTGACCATCTTGCGGGTCACGGTGACTGTGACCAGGACAACCGAAGAGAAGGTCGAGAGCGTGTAGACTGCGATGGGAGGGTGGGGGTTAGCGCAATTCCATCTCAGAGAAGAAGGGGGGGCAGACAGACGGGAAGAAAAATAAATCGGCATGAAATAAATAAAAGAAAGGGGAAAAAGGTGACGGGACAAACGTACAGATGAACACCTGGCCGATGGCACCGCACGTCGCGAAGCCGAGAACGTCAAACCAGACCTCGGGATTGCGGCCCATGAAAGCGAGGGCGCCGACCAACTCGCCCGTGCTACTGGCGACATCCATCCCGAGCCACTCTCCAACGCGCATGCGGACGAGCCAGGGGCTCAGGAGCAAGTAGAGCGTGGTGACAGCGCTGCTGACCAAGTTGTTCGCGCACATCATCTGGGGTCCCGTGTAGCCCTTGAAGGTGGAGAAGATGTAGTCCTGGGTCGTGTTGGTCAGGCCGTCGAACAGCAGGTTAATACCAAGCAAGAGAAGACCCCAGGGCAGGTTCGCGTCCGGGTTGGCGGCCGTCCTGCGGCTCTTCTTGGCCGAGCCGGTGTGCAGGGTGAAGATGGCGACGCCGAGCGTCACCGCCGCGACGACGAGGTACTTGTACAGCGGGTAGCGGCGCCCGAAGAGGGTCGTGTGCAAGAACATGACGGGGAGGAGCTTGCACGACTTGGCCAGCAGGTAGGTGATGTAGTCGATGTGCGCGAGGGACGCGTAGCCAAATGGCGAAGCGAGCGACGAGGTCACGGAGACTAGGATGAGCGGCAGCACCATGCGCCGAGAGGGGAAGATGGGCGGTAGCGATCGTGGCGTGGTGCTGTCGGTAGCAGTGGTGCGCGAGGCGCTCCAGCAGAGGTATAGAAAGCCCGTGACGGCAGCGAAGAGGGACTGAATCGTGTTCAGGAAGACGGGATATTGGAAGACTTCCGGGTCGTCGACGGGTCCGTACCGTGTCGTGGTGAGCTTCTCTTGGAGGTAGCCCCAGGTGATGCTATGAGCCGGGTTTTCCCGTGTTAGATTTCTTTCCATTGTAGGGCGTTACTCGAATAGATGGGGAGGGACGGTCATACAAGGATACGTAAATTCCCGTCACCGCGACCAGAAGCTTGAATGCGACCGCATGGTGGGACTCGATCTGGGCAGAAGTGCTCTCAGCTGTGACGGGAGCTGCGACAATCTTGCCATTCGCCACTGGCTTGGTGATAACAGCGTCCTTTTTGCGCGCAGCACCATCATATTTACTGAAGTACTCGGACGACGCCTCCCGTCGGATAGGGGTCGCTTGTTTAGAACGCGCCATGGTTCGTCGCGAAGAGGTGCAAAGCCGAGTGTCAAGAGAAAGAAACTGAGCAGTAGCAGAAGAACATCAATTGAGGTTTAACTTGTTCCCATGACTGAAACCAATGTATTTCAGTAAAATAAGAAAAGGAAGAAACTGCAGTACGAGTCAACAAGAGTGATAAGGACACGCAACATCAATCAAAGTTTTAGGTGATTCAAGAAGACGTATTGGGAAGTCGCAAAAACAACCCCCCCCCCCCCCCCCCCCCCCCCCCCCCCCCCCCCCCACCCCCGCACCACCCCCCCCCCCCCCCCCCCCCGGCGGATGCTCGCGAGATGACAGTTGGCTTCATCCCGCCACTAATCTGACCTTGGGGCGCAGAGTTCCCCCGGAGCCAGCATTCCGTCTCCAAAAGCCACAATGTAAGGTACCTAAGTACATAGGTACGTCGTAGACTTGCCGATGTGGGGTCCTCTCCACAAGCTCCGGCGCCGGACATAACCATATCGCAATAACGGCAACTCTCTAAGGTACGAGCTCCTGTTACGTTACGTACGTACCTTACTTTGTGCTGAGTAATTACTTTCTTACCCGATTCACATACTGTACAGAGGCAGATTTAGGGTACTAGTCCTGTTATGAGGCGACTACTATGGTTTGAGCGTTTATGGCAGTTGATCTGACATTGATATGGCGGTTTGGGAAGGGATGATTGTATATGTGTAACACGCAAAAACCGGTAAAAGGTTGTGAAATGCTTCGTTCCTTTCGCAGGCCTACTATAGCTTACTTTTTTTGCCAGCGAAGTGAAAGCCTATCGCGGAGTTCGTAAAAGAAGCAAACCGGCCAAGTGACCTAAAGACGGAGGACGAAAGAAAATGACATCCTTGGATCGTCCTCCTCGGTACATTTGTGGCGTATTGGCATTAACATCAGGCATGATTTCGACACTCATAGCAACAGTGTCTATCCACATCACTAATCAGTTTCCGTTTACTACGCTCGATTAATTTGCATTTTTTCCTCGCCTAATAGCTAGATACCTCAATCTAGAGACCACTGTCGGGGAAAAGTTGGAAAATGTTTCGACCCACTGGCAATCCACCGCAGGAAATCCTTGCTGAATTGGGTGTATTGAACCGAGCCCTTCACAAAACTTCTTCTGCTGACTTGGAACTTGAGAGCTTTTTAGGGTGTCTTGGAGCCGCAGTTGGTTGCAATGGTGGTGTGGAATTGAGAGGAGAAGCGGACTGAAGATGGAGGGCGTGTCAAGAGCTAGAGAATGTGTGTGATAAGTGTTCAAGTTGGGGTGAGACTAAAGATGCATCGGGCTGGCGGGTTCCAAGGGTGTCGATTATCGGTGTAGAAGCAAGGTACGGTTTTGAGTGACGGTGTCCCAGACACATGAGGCAAGGTAGGAGGGATGTGGGGGAGGAGGATTCTGCATCACATCGTAAGAGCAAACTGCCTGCTGCCCGACCTGGAGACACAAGCGGGGTAAACGATGGCGGCCAATCTGATATGGATTCGTGCCGTAGTACCGTGCTGCCTTCGCGCGCATCGGGTGATAGGAACAATGCCGCATTGGTCGTCGTCGCGGTGACTGCCATGACGATGATCGAGAGGGTACAATTTCGTCGTGAAACCGCCTGCCCAGTGCGCCAACGGGGAAAACGGGGGGGAAAGTGGAATAAGGAATAGAAGACAAAGAGAAAAATGAGAGCCTCGGTGGGATGGAGAAGTGAGAGTTCGGCTTAAGGATATCATATGAGTTTTGTTTTTCTTGCGACGAGGGGCACCAAAGCATCGTGACGTTGTGTGGTTCCCCTACTCCCATTCAGCCGAACATGGCGGCCTCGCGGCAGATGAAGTCTGTGTGATGTCCCAGCAAAGGGTTACCAGAACCCGATCCGAAACGAAGAATCCAGAGGAATACAGATTCGTGGCCGAGGTCAAGTGCGCGCGCGTGGGGCAAGGGAAGCAGTCGTCGGCAACGGGTTGCCTACTCGGGAGACTGCGCCTGGCTTCGGCGCATCTTCTCGGCCTCTAGGTTCTCGTACAGGAGAAACAGAGCCGTCTCATTCGCCTTGGCTGTTCCCATGATGGTAAACATCCTCTCTCCGGTTTCATCGTGCGGGGCCTGACGTGGGAGTTAGCCATGTTTGTGATTCGCTTAATGGGACCACAAGCAGAGATAATTGACTGACCTTAGCGATGGAGATGCGGGCGCCCGACGTCTTGCGGATCTCACTGATCTTGCTCCCGCCACGACCAATGATGCAGCCAACCATGTCGGCGGGAATACTGATGTTCTGGGTCTGAATCTCCTCACCATTCTCGTCGTGCGTGGGAGGGCCACGGGTGGCTGCGTCAGAATCTGAGCGGCGGTTGTAGGTGCGTGAACCACCGTTGCTGAAATCGGCGCCATTGCCTGTTCGTAGCACGCGAGGGCTGCCGTAGTCCTGATTCCTGCCGCCTGCAGTGCCGTACCCGGAGCTAGCACCGCCCAGAGTCGAGCCACCCGTCTGCGTGCGGACAACGGGGTTGTACAGCACAGTGCCAGTACCGCGCTGCCAATCGTCGACGAGGCACTTACAGATCTCCCAAATAGCGGCCCTAATGCCCTCCGGCGAACCCTGTACCTCGACAATCCTCTCCGTTGACTGGGGTAGCATCTCCTTCTGCGCAACCATACGGACGCCTGACACATCTTGGATATGCTTGATCTTCAGGCCCTGGCGACCAATAATGGTGCCCATCTGGTTGTGGGAGATAAGAAGTTTGATCGCTGCATCTGAGTTAGCAAGAACCGGTTTATTGAGGTCCCGGGATATTCGGAGACATACGGTGAGTTCCCGTGTTTTGAACGACGCCTCCCATGCCCACGGCCGGAGCGCCCTCGAGAAGAGCCTGCGCAACGATGGCGTAGGCGCGGGAGATTCCCTCGCAGCCACCTGTGATAGTCAAGACACGGTCATGAACGCCCTGGACGACCTTGCTGACGCCGGCCTTGACGCCAGTCTCGTCTCTGAGGTCGGCGACGTTCTTGCCCGATTTGCCGATGATGACACCAGCCTCCTTGGAGGAAACGAGGGCTCGAAGGGTGAGTTGCGTTTGAGCATATTCCTCGTCGGTCTTGGGAGCGGGCTCCCCATCAGGCCCAAGTCTAGGCTCGTTTTCGTCGAGTTTGAGCTGATCCATGCTGTTGATCACGTCAACACCATTCGGTGACATAGTATCCTGAGAAGCGGACATGATGTCGGTTGGGGAAAGTATAGTGGAGGGAAATTGTCTAGGATAAAGCGCAGGTGAGGACGAGGTCGTTAAACGAGACGGTCGCAAACGGATGAATGCTGTGACTGGCCGCCGGGGTCAATCAGTCAGAGCAGTCGCGTAGGCTTCCAAGATACGTTAGCAGGGTGACGTTAGAGCCAGCAGTACGGTCAATGGAGGGATCCGTGTCGCTGGGGCGCAATTGAAGAAACGGCGAGAAGATTATGAAGAAGTTCACATTGAAGCTTCAAAATGCAACAAGGGCAGGTGGGGGGGAAGAAGGATGCATTGATAGCAGGAGTAGGAGTAAATTGCATGGAACAGAGACAACCAATGACACCACACGACGGGAGCGACAAAGAAAAGTCAAGGTGATGAGATGGAAATGACCTGGATGGGAAAAACAATGTGGGACTCGCTTAGAATGGTCATACATACAGTTGTTGTTGGTATTGGGCGTGGCAGCGTGGCAAAACCAGTTAGTTGCTGGAGCTGCGGTGAAGGGAAGCGGGGGTGAGAGAACTCGGGGTTGTCTTCTATTTTCTTTTTGTCCTCTTTTTTTTTTTTTTTGTAATGGCGCACCGATGTGGTTGTGGAGGTGATTTTTTTTCTTTTCCTTTTGGCGAGTCGGGTTGTCGCACTTTGGTGTATGCGGGGTTGGGAGGGGCGTGGTGCTAGATCCCCAAGGTGGGAGAGTTTTTGGTGTCACGGGTGGGTTTCGTCGTGGTCAAGCGACGAGGTGTAAGGACGGTTCCTATTTGGGTTGGAACACCAACCAAGGTAGGCAAGTAGGTCGTTCGGGGTAGCTTGGGGGGCCTGGGCTGGAAAGGAAGCGTTGGCTGCAGGATCTGCCAGCCAAGGTCTCGGGCTCGGTAGATGCAGATTGGTGCCAAAGATTTTGGACGAGGGACGTCCAAACGACACGTCGTTAGGAGGACAGGTGAAATCCCTTGAAAGGTAGATATCTGAGGCTCTAGAAGAGCGTCTGGAAGAGCACGGAGACAAGGTGGAAGGGGAGTGTGAAATACGCAGAGTGGATGGAAAGGAGAACGAGAGGAGACGATACGTGGGGGGGAATAGAGCGGTCGCGAAGACGCGGTGGAGGATGCGTGTGGGTTGAAGTCGGTAAATGTGGGTGGGTGGTAAGGAGAGGTACGAGATAAGGGTGAGAGTGAGATCGGGAAGATGATGATGGGAGATGGTGGCGGGTTGTAAAGGTATAAAGGTAGAGGGAGAGGGGGGAGGAGAGGAGAAGAGAGGAGAAGAGAGGAGAGAATGGAAGGTTGAAAGAGGTGCGTGCTAGAGTGGGTGGTTGTTGATGGAATGGATCAAAAATGGAAGCTGTGCTCTGGCTTGTCCTGGCTTGTAAGTAAGGTAGGTATCGGCGAACCGGCAAAGGACGGACCCTGGGGTCAGAGGTCCTGGGTGGCTTAGTGTGGGTCTGAAACTATGACCTCCGTGGAAAGTACAGATTGAGTATCAATACTGGGAGACGAAGTCATCGGTGCGTAACTCCGTGGCCCTCTATCTAGCTTTATACACATTAGAGATACTTACGTATGAAGGTACCTATGCAAACGAAACTTTGCCGTGATACCTACCTCACCGTTCCTTTAAGAACCTTACCGTCGGAGAATTGGGCGCCGGGCGTTGTTCATCAATGATGATGTCGTACGAAGTATCCGTACTGCGTCCGTACCTACCTACCTTAGGTAATAGTCCTCGCCCCAAGGTACAGTTCTTACCATATGCTTTTCAGGCACAGCAGTCAGGCCAGGGAAGGGGTTGCCCGGGGGTGAGCTAGAAAGGGTAAAACGGCAGACGATGGAGGGAGGGGCAAACTCGTAGCTTGGTTGCACCTGCTTTACACTCACTACCTTAAGGTAACTTACGCATTTGAGTCGCGGAAAGACTCCAGAGAAAACTACGTATTGTACTGTACAACAGAGGGATGGGAATGGGGTTTCGAAGTAATTACCTTATGTCCGACTTGCTTGTACGGAGTGTCTGGTAGGGTCATCTCGCGCGAACTCACACAACCACCCCTAGATTTCCCATTATCCACACAACCAACACAGCAAACAAATGCGCTCCCCATCCTTCTTCTCTCTCACTCCTCTAGACTAGAACATTCATCCTGTTCTTCTGGGACAGAACAAGTGCAATCGTGATAACTGTACGCTTAATTCGTCTCGAGGACCTAAGTTCAATGTCGGTGACTCAGGTGATCCTGGGTTGTTTGCGTAGTTTGCGTACAGCTTCAGGAAGGATGGTCATTATCACGACCATGATATCTTTGTCCCAATCTTACTTGCCCGATACTGTCATCCGGCTCGGCTGCATTCCCATGGAGGCGAACCCAACAAATGTTCCGTTTTGCTCTTTGTTTTCTCACCTCTGCCGCAACTCCTTTTCATGCTGTAGCCAAAAGTTTTTGCAAACCCTGTGACCCCAGTGGTCAACCCACCACTCACCAAAACTGTCCTCGACTTCGAAATCCACCTTGCTGACACGCTCGTCCCGCTTCAGCCCACACACGAGGCACGCCTTGGGCGCGGTGGGAACCACCTTGGCCGTGGTCACCGCCATGGTCTCGGCTAATTCGGGCACTGGGAGCGGGCGCCGCCCTGTAGAGCCGCCCTTGCCGCCGGATGCCGCCGCGCTGGCCGCCGCCACCGCTGACCTGAGCCGACCGACGTTCTCGCGCCAGGCTGCCACTACATCGGCGGCCTCGCGGTCCTCACGGGCTGCCTGGGCACGGTCGACGCCGGCGAGCTTCATGCCCTTGGCACCCGCGGCGGAGATGGCCATGCCCTGGGAGAGGAACTTGTCGCGGTGCCAACGGAGCTTGCGGCCGGCGATTATATGGCCGGCGACTGTTGCTAGGAGCAGGAACGCACGGAGGAACGCGACTGTGCTCGGGTCAGAAGTGACACGGGTTTTGATGGAGGCGGTCTGCGTGGCAAGGGGCTTGAAGAGGGAGGTGTTGGCCATATTGAAGAGTTCGGGGAATATGGAGAGGAGGATAGAAGGAGGAGGAATGTTGGTGGGGGGCGGGGTATTGTCGTCGATGTCCTGCAGGGGAGGCGCTGAAGGGGCGGCTGAGGGCTGCGGTGAAGGGACGGCATCCCAGTCCCAGTTCTCTGGGGGTTTCGCTGAGTCGACTTCGCCTGATTCACCAAGGCCGTTCTCCGGTGGCAAGTCCTCGAAGGGGGGCCAGCCGTCATCGAATCCGGCATCATCCTTCTCCCGGCGTTTTTGCCCAGGTGTCTTAGTAGAGGACTGGCCGAAGGCCGGCCACGCCGTAGCAGGGGTGGGCGTCTTTGCCCCCTTTCCCGCCTCCCCCTTGGCGGGGAACTTGGGAGACGAGGGCGTCTTGAGCGCCAAACCCGGGTAAGGATTTCGTTCTGAAAACGATGGGGACTTGGGTGCGGAAGGGTAGGGCGTAGTGGAGGAGGCTGAAGAAAACGAGGAAGAAGTGATAGCGAGGGATGAGAGGCGAGCGCTGCCTTTCTTGGGTTGGGTTGGCTGTGGTGTGGGCGTCTCGTCTAAAGACAGGAGGTCTAGAGAGGGCAGAGACGAAGTAGGAGCTTGCTGATTTTGTTGGACTGTCTGAGGTTGCGGTGGAAGTTCCGGTCCGGATTCCCTGATCGGGTTATCGTCGCCCGTCTCAAAATCACCAAACTCATCGTCGTCGCCCACATCTTGGGCAAATTCATCTGCATCAAAGAGAACATTAGGGTCTGATTGACGTGGGCGCTTGGGCTGGGTCTCCCGAGAAGGCTGAGAAAGGGCACGAGGAACCGAAGACCCTGAAACTGATTCCTGCTTCTTGAGCACGCTAGTGTCGACTAGATTGTTGGTCATGAGATCTATGGTCGACGCACGCATGATACGTGTTGGTGGATTCGACGTGCTTGTTATTGGACCTTTCGGAGTGGTGGTTTCCAGTGTCGGTTTGGGCGCCGGTTCAGCTGCCTCGAAATCTCCCCATCCATCGTCACCATCCTCTCCTTCAACGTCTATAATCGGACGAGCGGCTTGTGGATTCTCTCCGCCTGAGGCTCCAGCAAAGGATGTGAATCCACCCCAGGCATCATCATCGCTGGGATTCTGTTGTGTTGTCGATATTCCAGACTGTGTTGGCTGAGGCACGGGATTGGCTGTAGTAGGTAAACTCGAGTCCCAGATGCTGCTCGACAACGGATGTTGTTGAGTGGCAGACCGCTGCTGAGCAGGCTGAGATTGGGATTGGGATGCGGGCTTCTTGTAGAAGCTGTCCAACTCGGCTAGGAGATCCGCACTCATGACCTCTGGACTTGGAGGGGCAGCATACTACTACTTGGGTACGATGGTGAATCTTTCGGCAAGCTGCAGGGTCGGCCACCCGTGTTTAGAGGGTCGAAGCGACACGACGTTTCATGGGTGAGGGGATGGGCAACTTGGAAGTGAATTGAGGACGGCGAAGGATCGCAGAAGTACAAAGTAATTACTCTGTACCTACCTTAGGTAAGGTATGTAGGTACCTAGGTAGTCACCTCCGGGTTCGGGCCCGATTGGGTATGGGCATGAAGGGGTACAAAGGTACTTGTGTACTTCGTACTAACGGCTTTGCCGCCTTGGTACATGCCAGAGGTACTCTGTCAGGTACCTTAATTACGGTACCTTACCTTACTTCTCGAGCGGCAACGGAAATTTTCAAGGCTCAACCACCTACTCCGTACTTCGTACGGACCTTCTTATTGCCATCCCATTCTAGTCGTTCTTTCTCCTTCTCTTTCAATCATCGCGGCACGCGAGCATGGCGCCCCGAACTATGGGATTGTTATGCCCATTCTGTCGACTGGCTACGAGACCTTTGGGGCTGGGTACGTCGCCGACCTCTCTACAACCCATCACCCAGCGATTCATATCACAATATGCGCGGGCCAAGCCATCGCGTATGGTTCTGTCCGATCGCAAACACGTTGCACGGCCTTCGAAAGATGGGAGTCCAAAACCACCTCGACGACTCGTCGAGGGACCTTTCGGCGGCATGAATCAGACCCAGTTCAGAGGGGGACCCGAACCTTCGCGGCGATCCACCACCAACTCAAGGTCGTCGACGGCCAGGTCCTCCAAGGCGGATAGTACCGATAGGTCCCGTAGGGGCGAACGTGCCGGATTCAAGGCCTTAAAGATGCAACGCTCTTTGACAGACATTTCATACCACAAGAGGTCGCAAATCAAGGACGAGATGCTATCCTACGAGTCCTTTGACCAGTTCGACTTGCTCCCGGCGGTCAAAGCGGGCCTTTACGACGACGTCTTGGAGGGCATGGTGAATGTCAAGCCCACTCCGGTCCAGAGACTGGCTATCCCTGCGCTTTTGGGGCAGCCAAGTCGCTTTACACCTCGGTCTGACGGTAGACATGAGTTCCTTCTCGCCGCCGAGACGGGATCGGGAAAAACACTGGCGTACCTGCTCCCCGCTGTCCATGCGCTCAAGCTCGCCGAGGCCGAGGACCCTGATATTCAAGCGTACAAGAAGCGGTTTGAGGAGGAAAGAGCAAAAGAGAAGGACGGCAAGGTCAAGTCGAAGTTTGACGAGCCGCACCCCACCATGGCGCGGCCCAAGGTCGTCATCCTTGTTCCTTCTGCCGAGCTGGTGGATCAGATCGGTACGGTTGCCAAGCGACTGTCGCACGCCGTGAAGTTCAGGTCCGAGAAGCTCTCCAGCAAGCTGAACGCAGAAGTCATCGAGCGCAATCTCTATTCCCCGCGCGGCGTGGATGTGATCATCTCGACGCCTCAGCTACTGGCTTCCATCGCCGACTCGGACCCCAATGTGCTTTCGCGCGTCAGCCATCTCATCATCGACGAGGCCGACTCACTTTTCGACCGCAGCTTTGTGCCATTGACCACCAGCATCGTCGACAAAGCCCTCCCCTCGGTCAAGAAGTTTGTCTGCTGCTCGGCCACCATCCCGCGGGGGCTGGATAAGTTCCTGGCGAGCCAGTTTCCCAATATGGTCCGCATCACCACGCCGAATCTCCACGCCGTCCCGCGACGCGTTCAGCTGGGCGTCATCGACGTGTCGAAGGATCCGTACCGCAACAATAAAGACCTGGCCGCGGCAGATGCCATCTACACGATTGGTCGGGAATCTTCGAAGCACGAAGGACTCGAGGACGGGGAGGTCGACGTTCGGCGTGTGCTCGTGTTTGTCAACGAACGCGAGAGCGTGCAGCCGCTGGCCGAATACCTCCAGTCGAAGGGCATCGACGCGATCGCGCTCCACCGCGATACCGCTGCCGAGCGACAGGCGGCCATGCTTGCCTCCTTCACCACGGCCGAGCCTATGACTATGCCTAAGCAAGAGGAGCCTGCCGTCAAGGGACGGCGCCGGCTTCCCAACGTCAAAGTCATCGTGGCCACGGATCTGGCTTCGAGAGGCATTGACACGCTTGCCGTTCGTCATGTCATTTTGTATGACGTCCCCCACACCACCATCGACTTCATCCACCGGCTGGGCCGCGCGGGTCGCATGGGCAGGCGTGGCCGGGGCATTGTTCTCGCTGGGAGAAAGGATCGAAAGGATGTAATTGCCGAGGTGAAGCGGGCTATGTTCATGGGACAGGCGCTGATCTGAGTTTTGACGGCCTGGAATGCAATATCCTACGAGTCCTATTTAGTGTAAGATTTGGAGGTTACACATTGTCAAAGACGCTCTGTACATTATATAGGTAATACATAGAACTAATAGGCAGGATACCCAACTTCATTGCCAACATATGAGATAGCTACAAGTTACCATCTGAGAAGGGATTGCTACCTAGTATATTGAACATGTCACTGATGTTATTATCGGTGGTCTGTGAGTTTGCCTCGTCTACGCTTACAAAATACTCGGACTACGAATATGTATACACAGGCAAAAATAAAAATAAAACAAAACATACAACACCGGGTATTCGCTGGTCGTCACCGACCCAACTACTAATCCGGCCCTCACTGGCTTATCTAGGGGAGAGCGGACGGGATCCCGAGTTTTCCAGTGGGTATGGTCGTATGTGCTATAACATTGTTACGAGGGTTCTTATAAAGGTAGTGCGGGACACAATAATCCGGTCCTATATCTGTGAGGATCGATGCCATCCAGCTCTCAAGGGCAAAAAGGGTAAAATATATCAGGGTGAGTGAACTTGGTCTAATGATACCTCGAATAATCCATAATCTATTAATGGTGAAATGATGACACGATAAAACACCTGAATCCCAGCAGTTGCGTGAAATTATGGACTCATAGATGCCTCCAATATCTTAACAGTCCATTAACCAACCCATTAACCTGTCATAGATTTCATATCCACCAAAAGAAAACGTTGTACCGAAACTATGCAATTCCCGCCATTTACAACACTTCAATTTCCCCATCCTAGACGTCGAACGTTTCCGCCGACGAGGCTCTTGCCGTTAGAGAAGACCCTAGGCTTATGTGCTTTGAGCCTACGCGGCATCCTTTTCCCCAAACTCCATGCATGTTTTGTTTCTCCCCATTATAAAATACCCAATCCGACATTTTTGCTGCTCCCATGCATGGTAATATGTGGGTTTGGCTCTCCTCGACGCTGGGCAAACAACGAGTCGGTTCCGTCGGTTGGCTGAAGGCGCCCTGATGTTGTTCTCCCCCTGTTGCTTTTCCTTTCCGAGCTGACTGCACGGGACAAGGAACTGTCCCTGAAGGGTTTCCAAATGCTGGAACGGCTTGGAGAGCGCTCATCTGCTTGCGAGTGGGGATCCCAGGTAGCGAGATGATGGTTATTGCAGATTGTCTGGCGACACCGACTCCGGGGACCATTTGCGTTCGACAAGCGGATGACGCGCGGGGCCTCCTGGAGCCCATTCACAAAGGGTCTCGGACACGTTCCGGTAGCCAGACGCGTCGCGGTTCTGGAATTTGCACATGCCCGAGTGGGTGGCCTCTATGCCGTAGCGAGTTACTCTCAGCAGCGGAGGACAAGCCGAGTTACCGTCGACGACAATGACACTGGCGCCTCTGATATTGGTCTTCTGGTTCTCGTGACCATGCGGACCCTGAAGCGTCCATGATAAAGGTTGGCAAAGTCGCAGGTAGTATTGCTGAGGGTCTCGCCGTCTCTCTGGAGCGTGTTGATCAAGACGGACTCGAGCTCCAAGAGCTTCCTGGGAATGGCGGCACCGGCCATCCGCTGCAGCATTGCGGCCCCAGGCGGCGGGATCGGATCCTGTGTGCAGGGTCCCTAGGAAGATAATGCCGTAGGTCGAGACGTACATACATGGAACGGGCTGGAGGAGGGCCGCCTTGAGGAGAATGCCGCCGAGGCTGTGGGCGACTCAGATGATAGGCTTGCGTAGAGAGCGACGGCTGTTGCCATGGGTTTTGCGATAGGTAGTTAACGAGTTCGTCTGGGCGTGTCGGGATATGTAGTTCTTGCTGGCGGTGCCGTTCTTTTGAAATGTCAAGACATCGGCATTATAGCCATATACCAGGATGTGGGCGCGGGCGTCGTTGGCCTCAAGAGTGCCAGGCAACAAACAGGTCGGTGGGCCAATAGACCTCTTCGGATGATGCCCACGTACTGTCAGGCGCGCCATCGAGACCGTGAAGAAGTATCAGCCACGCCACACACAAACCCTCAACTCAGCCTCGGACTTCGACATCAGTTTATATATAACCACAAAAACCAGAGATTTAACCAAAGACTATAATTAACCCTCTACTCCGGCGTCTATATGATCAACGAATGTCAGTGTATCCGCATTACTTTCCGAGTCGTGCTCTCCAGGTAAAGTGCTTCTTCGGGTCCCTTGCCAAGACACGCATTGCCTCCACATCCGGGGCCGCGGGCCCGTCCTCTATCATGCCAGCTTCGATCGCCAGCCGTGCATATTTAACAGCTAGCCCGCTCTTCCCGAGCAGGTTGTAGTTCAGCGCCGCCGTCGTGTACGCCCCGGCCAGTTTGGCCTCGAGCTTTTCCTCGGCAAACAACCGGACGTACCGATCCACCGTATCGAGCGTCACCTCGGACTTGACGTCCGACAGCCGCCCCTCGAGCTCAGCAATCTCCGCAAGCCGCCCGTCCGACGCTGCGACCGCCGTCTCATCGGTTAAGCCGCACTGTGCGCACGTGCACTCGAAACCCCAAGCCACGCGGGCCCTGTGCTGCCGCTCGGCACGTGGTGCCATCGAGTCGAGGTAGGAGATGGTCAGCTCCTCGCCCGGTGCGACGTCGCGCACGACGGTGGTACGGTGCACGAGGTCGGCGTCGACGAAGAAGACCGCGTTGGGGCGGCAGTCGTGGTTGAACCGCGACACCTCGGGGAAGTTGGCGTAGTGGTGCCCCGCCGACGAACCCGTCCCGTCCCCGCCGAGATCGACCTGGAACGAGTTGGTGGTGACGATGTCTGCGACCTCGTGTCCGCCAAAGCGCCCGGCCTGGCGCACGAAGCTGCGACGTGTTGCTGCTGGTAGGAGACTTAGAACTAGGCCTAACAAACGCTCCCGTTCCTCCCGCGGCGTGCGCTCCATGAAGTTTCGATGCGCGAGCAGGGCGGGCACTCGTGTTAGGACGACGTCTCCGCGGCGAAGGGCCCGGCTGGCCAGCATGCCAAGGCCTTTGCCGCTCACCTCCTCGACGTAGAAGGGGGACGGACCGGACGGTAGGGATGAGTGAGAGTCCCCCTCGTCTTCCAATGTCTTCGCAGCCGCCCGCCCGGCAATAGCTTTCACCTTTTCCAGGCCGTGAGCGGTGGTGATAACAACGATGCCGCGTTCCCCGCCAAAGGCCCTATTCGCGTATAGACAATATTCGCCCGCGCATCGGGAGCCTCCTGTCCACTCATCCTTGCTTGGTGGGGTTTTCGGTGGCTCGCGGCTGGATATCGGCTCACTTTGGTTTCTCTGGACATCTGGTAGCCGAGAGGATGACCATGGGTCGTAGCATGAAATCTGGCTAAGTAATGGCGTCGACGGGCAAGTGGGAGCGCTCAGTGAAGTGCGCCAGTCTGACATTGATTCTGAGCCCGTTGTCGCCATAACAAACCGAGCCGTTGTGAGGAGTCCGAAGATCATCAGAAAATCTATCATGATGGCGGAACTGGCATTGGACTCTCAGGATGTAGGATGTAAGAGGAGGTGACTGAAGTTGAACTTTGCATGATGCGATTCCCAAGACATCTCGAATTTCGCAACACAGCAGAGTCCTGGCATCAGTCTAACGGGAAACGGACAGGGGGTGTTTCGTCGTTTCATCCGTCCTCCCCCTGAGACACTGGAAAGTCGATAAATTGCGAGGTTCGAGTTTCAGGGGTTGATGGTGTTTGGTTTTGGGTTTGGTCCTCCTCTAGTCGCTTACTAAGCCATCCCGTAACTGACAACTTGATGACAAAGGCTTCGACTTCCCCGCGAAATATGTAAGCACACGTCTACCCCATATCTGCCCACGTCCCCTCCTCTCTAGAATACCTAGGTAGTTTCTCTGTATTTCGGACGACTCCCTTCTCTATCACGAGCCATGGTTGGACATCCGGAGGCGACATACCGTTGCGGTACATCCAAAGCCGCGAAAGCTCCTTGACCTTGACGACCCCCTTCGACTTACGCCTAGAAACTCCGTGAACCGCAACCTCGGCGGGGACGTCTCCACTACCGAACCCCCCGGAACCGAGCCAGGATATCTCGAATGCCTCCCGGGCGTGGTGCCCGACCGTGTCCTCAGATCCGACGAGAATCTCGCTCTCCATGAACTCGTTGTCCTCGGCACACCCCACGAGCCTGCCGGTGTTCGGATCGCGCTCGAGCGGGAACATGCCGTTGAGGTAGTGTTGGCAGAACTGATGCCCGCCGCGGTCCGAGGCGCGAGCGAAGAGCCGTCCGATGAAGCGCGGTATCGTGCGCTGCGCCGTCTGGGACGTGCAGAAATGCAGGACGCCCCAGAGGGCCACGAAGTCGGTGGTGTGCGCGTAGTGTTCCACGTGGCCGAGCGCGCGGTCGCGCGCGGCACTCGAGGTGCGTGTTGAAGAGAGCGAGGAAGTCGTTTCGCGGAGGCTGGGTGTACCAGGCAGTCCGCTTCTGCTTTCGGATCCGTTTTGGCCTCCTTTGACGTCCTCTTCGGGGAGTTCCCGGGTCTGAAAAGAATCGCCTGGGGCCAGCGATGATATAGGAGACGTGGTCCGAGTCTTTTGGGTAATCTCCGTCGTGGTCGTGGTGAGGGCAGCGAGAGGGTCGTCCTGGGCGAGGGCCTGTGAGATGACATGACGGTGAGGGTTGTTAAAGTGGTTTGCCGCGTTGCCAAAGGTATAAACCTCCAGCTTGGAGAGGAGATCTTGAGGGAGTTCCTGGAGCAACCAGTCGAGGACTAGGCCGCCCACAATACCACCTTGCGAATGCAGGATGAAGATGACCCTCGAAAATCTGGGCTCATAGAGCTTCTGCTTGACGATACGATAAGCCAGTCGGACGTCGGAGGTGGCGTAACTGAGATTGCGTTGAATCAGGCATTCTACTACGTCGAAGACGATGCCTGAGGTGCGGTTATGAATGCCAAGTACGGGACGCTTAAAGGTGAGCGCCAGCCTGTTTAAGTTGTTTCTCATCCAGTGGTCTCTGTGAGTTTTGGGGAGGAGAGCAGGAGGTTCAAGAGTTAGCACATGGTTTTTCAAGAAAAAGCCTGGATGAGCAGAAGAGAGAAATCTTCTTTCTTCTTGTCATTTTTTTCTTCTCCTTTTCCCTACTTACCCCACGGCAACACCATTGATAAAGATCCATTGCTCATCGGCATGCTCGGGCAAGGCCGGCGCGTAATGAGGATCGGAGTGATACTCGATGCTCGGACCGTTGAGCAGCAGACAAAGCGCCCAGTTGACAGTGAAGAAGACGGCGAAACCGATGGCAGCGGTCCAAATGGGGAGCACGACAACGAAGGGTAGCCACAGCAGGAAGAGCATCTGCAGAACAACGAGGACGGCATGGACAACGATGCAGAAGGCGTTCTGCCATGTCCAGGCCAGTTCGTCGAGGTGGCCTGAGTTGGGCCAGTCGTCTCCTGTGCCAATGGGCATCAGGATCCAGGGCAGAGCCCAAGCGTAGTAGAAGAAATAGTAAATATCCCACATCAGGAGGCGTGAGGGAAGGTCGGTATAGGCGTAGTTGATGACGGCCTGGCCGCCGACCTGGGAGCCAAAGAAGCGAGTAGCGCCCATGTTCGCATGCTCGGGGAGTGGTGAGCCCGGAAAGACTAGATTGTTTGATGCTCTATCCCCTGATCAAGGTTTGGATTGAGAAGACTGGTCCTAGAGCTGATTTAGCCCTTCGGGTACCTAGATGAAGACGAGTCTGGAGAGGTCGTTGGAGAAAATGCAACCATGAGGAAACGGGGAAAAGCCTTCCGACGCCGCCATTTCATACGACCACGTACTTATAAGTTGTGGCGTAGAATCAGGAGGGCTATACAGGATAGGCAGCCACCTGCTGCAAGCGGAGAGAGGGAACACTTGACTCCTGCACGAGTCCTCCTCTTGCATACCTAAGATTTGAAGATGGGGAGTACTGTGGTTGAGAAAACGGGATGACCACGTCGTTTTTCAGGGCCGAAAAGCTATATTATCCCGGGCAACAGTCTCGTGATGTCTCATGCTTTGGCTCTTTTCCACTTGGTGTCCGCTGATCTCACGTCACTCAAAAGTCGACACCCGCATTCATTGGCTGCAGTGGCTGCACCGAGATCAAATGACCAGCCACCTGGCCCTAATACTTTATCTCCTAACCGACTTGGGTTGGTTTTTTGCCGCCGCCGTCCACCAAGGCCGCTCCTGAGCGTCTCTATGTCTGATCTTTTCACTCAACGAGTAAGATAGCTTGTTGGTAAGTGATCGGAGGAGGCCATGAAGGCGACGGTTGCAAATCGCAATGACGCACGACGCCCATAGACGTCGTAAAACATGAAGGTCGCTAATTATCCTGAGGGCTTTACACTGCACGCTCTAGTTGTTTATAGAGATAGGATCCGCCCAGATCTCGGGGAGACCTGCATTCGGAGTTCATCTTACTTCTTTCAGGGGGGCATGAATGTGTCTAAGGATCAGCTTCGCGGAGTGGTGAGAGCTGAAGGGGCTTCTCTGAGGGATATGTCTGCAATATGCAGAACTTGGTAAAACTCTTTCTATTTAACACATTCGGGCTTCTGCACAAAAGATATGAGACCATCAGAGGACCTGGGGATTCTGAAATCCGCAACCAGTAGGGGCGTGTTCACGAGTAGAATCTCTAGGTGATACTCCTTGCTGCGGCTAGACAGACCACAAGACTGCTGTTCGGAATCGTAAGAGCTACGGAATGACAGAACTCTGTCAGGTTATATGTCTCCTTCAAAGTCCAAACATCTATCAGAGTTGTTGGTTCTTTTGTATTATCATGCGTCGGGCCAGAAACAGACCTGGGTGACGATATATCATTTCATCTGAGCGTTGCTCGGCATTCACAGGAACTAGAAGAGTCTTTGATACATCCGTAAAAGGATCCTCGCCAGGTCAAGGCAGAACCCTGGACTAGAGTCGTGGTCAAGAGTCCGTGTTCAGTTCCCAAGCCTATTGATTACTAATTAATCAGTGCTCTTCAGATGAAATAAAAACCCAATGAAAATTCACCGGGGAATGGAATAAAAGCCGAGGTAGCTCACAAACATTGCTTGGATCCCATTGGAAGCTGCGTGCAGCTGGTTGAAAAAAAATAAAAATTGGCTTACTGCGGAGGTCTCGGTAATCAGGATTCCTAATCAAGGAGCTTGTCATTCAGGTTTATTAGAGTTGGGCCGACGGTGTCTCCCACTCGAATGCGGAGTTGTTGAAACTCCGAACGCAGCTCTCAACTGTTGATGGGGATGCCATGGTTGGAGTTAGCTAAGTGGGACCCATTGGGCTGATGTGGCTTTGATGCCACAGTGACGTCACCCGAATTTCAATGTCCGCTTCCGTCGCACCTGCTTAATCCGTAATATCGAAATCCCATGTCCAAAGCATGGGTAAATTGTTCGCAATTGTGGTGTTCACGACGAGTGGAGACTCTGACGACAGGGCAATGTCATTTTGCTCCTCGATGCTTGCTGCCAATCTCTGTGAGGCATGCTGAGGCGGCATGGGAGTGAAAGCTCCAAGGAGGTGGCGGCGCCCACAACAATGTGTGTTCTAGACCACTCCCGCGTAAATTTGACCTTAGGTCCAAGCCACAGAGGCCGTGCTTTGAGGGGTATAGTGGCTGATACACCAGGTTTTGGAGTGGTGGCGGCGGGTGATTGGCCGACGGCGCTTCCAGCGAAATGTTAGAACCCTTTGTATCGCGAAGTACTTCCAGGGCGGCACTGGATACAGTGTACTGAAAAGGTGGAGCGAAGGGATACGACGGTCGGATCCTTTGCTCCGCCTGGCCGCGTCGCAATAGCTTACGAAACAAGCCGGTAGCTTTGCGACGGAGATTTCGGTGCCAAACATGCTGGAAGGAGGTGATCCCGTTCATCGGATCCATCACTGACTGGCTTGTCAAACTGCCCACTCTTTGCCGATCTATCACCAAACCAAGAATGACGTCAACCTTCCCTCACATGAAAGGAAAGACATCCACATCGACGGGTTCTGTCACAGGCACAGACACGACTGGTCGTGGTACGCTGGCTGATATGCTGCAATATTATACTCGTAGACTCGGTCCAGGCCAGGCGGGGTAGTAATGGCATCCCAACGCGGGGATATGGCCGGCAAAACCATGCCACCCTCCCTGATAGTATGGTCGTTTTCAATCGTTGAACCATTTTCACCGACGCCGATGTTTGTTGGATAATGCAAGACGCTAGAGGCTGGTTCATCCGGTCGAAAGTATGGCCGACAGGGAGGGAAGGACGCGGGTGTTCGAACGAGGGTCGTGGAGGATTCTGTTCCTAGCCATGCAAAAGCTGCCAGCCTTGGTATTTGCCCCTCTTGCTTCGATAGACTCGGTCTGACGCTTCGGGTGTATAGCGGAGGCGTCCTGGTGTCTAGTGGGAACGGGATCTTCGGCCAAGAATCGACCCGAAAGACAGGGCCCGCCTTGGCATCAAATAGGTTGAACGGATGCCTCCGTTCATCACCTGCCAACGTCGATCCGTCGTTATGGTTGAAGTCGAAGAGAACATGGTGAAGCTCACTCACACTCCTTAAGGTGCACAAAAGATAACCGATTGGGGCCGTGGTAAACGGGTGCTCCTGGTTTTGAGTACGAAGTACGAAGTAATTACACTGAGTTCCCTCGTCCACTTGCTTGTTCGTACAGATAGGCCCACCTCGATTGGATGCGAAGACAACCCCGCCGCTTGCCGGGAGGACGATGCTGGCGAGTGGACAACGTGAGAACAAGGTTAGGGATGGACAAGGTAAGCTGGAAGGTGTTGTTCTCGGTCTGGACCTGAGGGCTTACACGAAGCACGGAGTACGGAGTAGTAATGCACTTTACTGGCTGCAAGCGGAATGGTCCAGGATAAGAGCCGCGCTACCTCGGCTTGGCTGCAGATAGCGCAAGTTCACCGGATTCATTCTTAGTGGGTAGCTTGCCAAACTCCACTATTTGATTCGCTGGCTGGTTACTTCGTTGATTAAGAAGTCGGGCCACACAAGGTTTTGACGGGCGGTCTCCTCGCGGGTGCAAACTCTTCTTTGTCTACCTACCTTAGTACGCTGTCGGCAAGGAAAGGGAAACAGAATGAGGGGTCTAAATAGGCCGGGTTGTGGGGTCGTGCGGGTGCCCGCAGGTTGACGAAGAGCAAGTGCCTGAGATGAGGATAGGTGAATACTTGGGTAAGTTAAAGAACCGGGTTCATTGGCGGTCAGGAAAGAGAAACGGAGTAACTTTTCCAAGCTCGTCAAATTGGAATGGGAGGTTGGTACTCAAAAGTATCGTGGCCTGGAAGGTGGCGGGGGTTTGATTCGGACCATGTTCTTAGCGGAGGTAAATTTGCTCCGTAATGTTGTAGGTAATTACGTACAGCCCCCATGGGCAATTCCACCGCATTGCTGGGACTGAAGGGTTGGGAACCCCGGATTGGAGAGTGGAGTGTGCTCGGTAGCAATTCTGCGTTTCTCAAGCGAAGACCCCCGCTCCTTCTCTTCCGTTCTTGCCCCGCTCCTTCTCTTCCGTTCTTGAGTTTTCACTTCTCCCACCCAAGCCCCCTGATTTGCTGGGCACCTACTCCCTGTATCTGTACAGCTAGCTGCCCCTGCCCAGTTCCTTCATCATGTACGTTGTAACCCAATGCGGCACGCACCAGACATGATAGGAGCAAGCAAAGGTTTGTGGGTATGAAGACGTGCGTAGCCACCACTCCACCCATGCTGCCTTCCCCACTTTCAATAGCTTGGGGCTGAGGTACCGAGCGAGTACTTCCTTCTGTGTCCGCACTAACAGTTGGGACCCAAACTTCGCCGGCATCGAGATCAATCGTCACAAGTAAAAATGATCAAACGGTCTGCGATCGGCCAACCGATCGAAACCATCGCGGGTCTCTCCTGCCTTTGCCTTATTGCAGCAAAAGGCAGGAGATGCCGGCAGACATGGGCCCTTGCTCTCCGTACGACCCGTTTCCTCTTATTCCATCTCTGGTTTCCCCGACGTATGTATATAGGTGTTTCCCACCTTGCTGCCTCCCCCGTCATTCCCACAGCACCTTTGAGTTGCCGTTATTCCTCGCAACTTTCTTTTACGCCCTTACCACACTCGATACATTAGGTCTTTACGGAGTAAGCTGGCGCTGGCCGTCCATCTTCAGCCACCTTTTTTTTACAACAGTCAGCTTACAGGACCGGAGCTCTATTGGAGCTTATCTGGTTGGAAGCATATTTTGTACCCAGCCCCTTCCTGCCGTCTCGAACCAGACCTACTTGGTTACGAAGTACACACATCCAGCCGTCGTCCAGGAACACCGAGAGGAGTTCATAACCCGGTCCGCTTCCGGACCTTCCGGAAATATTCCGCTTATACCTAGCGAGACTATATATTGGCACGACCAGCTCCGTAGTTCTTGACTTGCGTCTTCTTCACTATGCCAAAGCGGTCCATCGATGCTAGTAGCGTGTCGGACGAAATCGCACCGGATAGGGCTACTCAACGCAAGGTACGGCCCGCCAGACCCTCCTTTCCGTTTTGGTATATGTGTTGGCCGTGCGGAACGTGACACGTCGACTTCCCAGATGCTCAATAACCAGAAATCTGGGGGGGGGGGGGGGGGGGGGGGGGGGTGTTGTGTGCTTGACTGCAACTAACAAGTGACTTCACATAGACGGAGAGATCTCATGAGGAAAACCAGGAAAGGGCTTACATCGCAGCGTCGAGGCGCGCGGACCGCAGCATTGAGGCCAGGGTGAAGTCGGCTCAAATGGCTAGCGATATCCACAAACGCCGAACAGGGAAGGGCTTCAAGATTTCGGAGCAGATCGTCCGGGCCGAGGAAATGTATGAGGAAGAAGACGATGACATGCCCCGGTCCTACAGAATGCTCGCCTCACACCTCCAGACCAACTCCCCCGAGCTGAATTATAGGGTGAACGCCTTCATCGCAAACCGCGTGGCCTTGGCAAGTATGGTGGCGGGTCTTCGTAACGAGGATTGGCAGCAGAATCCCATCAACAAGATGTTTGCCGAGCAATTCCCCAACGCAGACAAGCATGCTCAGGCCATGAACCGGAACCTGGCGGCGAACTCTGCGTACTACGGCCCGGTGGTCGGCCATGGCTCGCCTCCTCCGCAACGCGAAGGCTCCGCATCCAGCCCTATGTCTCCATCTTTCGGTCCGGCCAACTACCACCCACGAGGTCATCCATCTCACGAAAGGTCCCACTCCAGAGAGCTATCCGACAGGCGGGACAGTGGCATGTCTCCCCTCTCCATGGCGCACGGCTCCGTGGCCCCCTTCTCGCCGCCTCAATCCGTCCCGGCATATCCTCAGGATGTGTTGGATCAGTCTTACTTGCCTGTGGAGATGCATCCCGACAACTCTTGCTTTACGGCCGAATTGTCACAGGAAGTCAAGATGATGGCTGGCCCTGGTATGGACATGAACGACCCTTTGGCTCCTATCTTGATGGGAGGAGAGCCAATCCCGCCCTATTATACCGATTCCCATGGATTCTCAGTCAAGTCCGAGATGCCAGTGGAACCCAGAGTGCCTATGTCTCAGGACTATCCGAACTTTGGAATGCATGAGACGGCACCAGATTGCCTCAACAACATGGGCTCATCTGGACCCTCGGACGCCTGGGACTCGTGCATCAATTGGGACTGCGATCCGACTCAAGCCACCCGATAATCATTGCTCGAAAATCCCCGAGGTACGATAACGCGACATGACGAGGTGACCAGGTGACGAGGCGGCGAAATGGCGCTCTGGTATTATTATGTTCGGCGTTTTAGGGGCTCATGGGAGTAACATGCGATATCCAAAATATGTTTTAAGATACCACGGAAAGCGGGCAGGGGAAACAAAAGAGAAAACGAAGAAAAAACCCAAAAAAAGGACCTGGGTCTCATTACTACGGGTTGACGCCGATGGGATCATGAAGCTGGCCGCGGCGGTTGAACACCCTGGAGGAGCTCAAAGGGGGCCAGGGGCTTTGCGAAGCACACTAACGTCTTGTTTCGGGGGCAGAGGCATGCCAGTGGGAGATCACCAGGGACCAAGCAATGTACAGTAAAAAAGAAAATTTAAACAACATCGTATATGAACCAGTCCCATTCCATCAGCTCATTTCTGGTCCCACCTGTGTTGCACGATCAATAATTGTGTTGGAAGGGCACAGCACTGCAGTGCATTCAGCAGCAAGGCATTCCCAATTGTTCATGTAAGAATTCCACGAACAAGAGCATCAAAGACTAAATATTGACAGGACCAGCCCGAGGACGGGATTCCCCGAGCATGCCAAGTATCTGTTGTCGGTATTTGACGGAGATGGCAAGATGGAATGCCATAGCTCTCAGAGATGAATCCATCAAGAGGGGGTATCAAAATATACAAAAGCCACCATCCAGAGTCCCATCTCACTTCTCTTTCTGCTGCTGCTTCTGCTGTTTCTCCCTCAACAGCTCCCAAGGCTTAGGTTTCGCCTCAACCTCACCATCCACCTCCTTCGCCCACCTAGCCCAGTCCGCCGGTCTCGTCTTCCACATGTCACCTTTCCACGTCCGCCACACGTTCCGCCCGGTCCACGACTCGCGTAGCTGCCACTCCCGCTCCGCAAGCTTGCCCATGATATTCTGCTTCATGTGGAAAGGGACCGCGCGGTCTTTGCCCCGCGAGGGCACGGCCACGATGGCGTTGACGACGGTGTGGCCCGGTTGGCTGTCCGCCAGTTCGCCGATACGGGGGATGAGGTTCGCGACGAGGGCTTTGTGGAAGATGGGGTTTTGGGGAGACGGGTGCGCGAGCGCGGCCGTGAGGATCCCCGCCGAGGCCGGGGAGCGTGTTGCGAGGTCGAAGAGCTGCTCGGGAGATAGGGCGAGGAGAGAGGCCTGGGCTGCCTTGGCCGGCGCTACGGGGGTAGCCAGCATGGTGGCCACGAGGTGTGCCCCGTGCGAAGCCATGGCTTGCTTGTTCTGCCGGTCCTGCTGGAACGGGGGCTTCCCGTTCTCCTTGGCGTCCTGGTCCGACCCGGTGCTTAGGTAGCAGAGCTTGGGAATCATTTCCTTGGTATCGGCTTCGAGGGCGTTGATCAAAGCCGTGGTGATGGGCCGCATCTGGTCCTCGGCGCCGCGGGCCTTGCTGCGCTCGTAGAGGGTTCTGATGACGTTGAAGCGGCCCTTGGCCACGAGGGCCGGAATGACGGGGATGACTTTCTGGATGGAGTCGACGAGGTCGTCTTTGCTGAAGCGGTTCAGGGCGCGAATGGCAGGGTACGAAGCGATATCATTGCGGACGTAGGTCCCTATCCTAGGCGCAAAGAAGTTGAGATGCAGCGCCTTGAAGATCTTGCCTGGAGCGTGCGTGATGAGGGTTTCCAGGAGACGGGAGCCGATCTGATCATACATCATGCTGTTCACAAAGTCGGAGGCTTCAGAGTCGGCGTCGTTAAGGGAGGCGGGGGCTCCCGGGAGTAGACGATATAGGAGTGTGTCTTTAGGGGGTTCGACGCCCTTTTGTGTTTTGTGGTTGAGTGAAATGTCGAACTCAAGGAGGAGTTGGAGGAGCGGATTTCCAGTGGGATGCTTGACGAGCACTCGCAACGCGGTGAAGTCCATGCCTGCTGTGGCATCGGCGATGATCTTCTTCACCGCCATGGTGAAGGAACTTGGCACCGCTCGGAGTTGTGTGTGAAGTTCATCTCCATCGACTGGCGTCAATCCTTGGACGGAAATGTACTCCTTATTCTTGCTCTTCATGAGCGACTTCGTAGACCGGTCTTCAAGGGGTCTCCCGGAGAGAACCACAAGGAGCACCCGAAGGGTATGCGAGGCGAACTTGTCCGTCATCAAGAAGCCCAAATGCTCCTCAAACTCGTCGAGGGTAAGTAGGAACAGGTTCTCCATGGGCTGCTGAGGTTCGTCCCCCCCTTCGCCATCCTTGGTACCGGTGCCTTTAGTATCGACGACAATTCTCGTGTCTTTCCCTAGTTCTTGTGTCACCACGGGGGCACTCTGCAGGAACAATGTCTCGCAGCAGTGGCTCGCAAACCGATGCTGCACGAGCGACAGGAAATGGCCCGCAAAGGCGCTGAAAATGTGCTTCTTTTGAGCCGTGTTGCTCAGAAGAATCAGCCTTTCCATCAACCTTGACAAGCTCTGACTGCTGGCGAGCTTTAACTCCTTGCCGACAGCCTCGCGGTAGATGTTTTGCAAGAAGACGTCCCGCTCCTCATCCGAGGGAAACTGGTTCAGCTCAAGCAGCTCGTCGGCGCGGCGGAAATACTCCTGCTCCTCGTCGGAGAGCATACCAAAGAACTCCTTCTCCGGGGCCTGGTACCCATGGTAGCTGCCGTCATCGTGTCGTTTCGCGTCGGGTTCGTCGGCATGGGAATATTCTTCGTCGTCGGGGCGGCGTCGTTTGGATTCACGCTTGCCTTCAGTATTGGCGGTCTCGGCAGCCTCAGCGGCCTTCCTCTTCTGCTTACGCTCTTCGCGAACGAGCTGACGTTTTGTTCGAGGTTTTCCCATGTTTGCAGTTGTAGCAATTGAGAGTCCGGAGGGTGAGGAATTTTGCGCGTCGATCAAAGAGGGACGACGGCTCTTGTCTTGCCTCTGTGCACCACGGGAAATTTTTCTGGATCGCAACTGCTCGTATCTTATCTTGAATCATTACCTTATCTTACCTTATCTATAACCCCACATCCGATCTTAACGCCGATCCCATCAACAAACACATTTGCAGTCAACGACGGTTATTATGGCTCTGGAAGTTGCATGTCGATTTATGGCGCGCCAGAAACAAAGGTCTAGTCATTATTTTTATCTTCTGTCTGTTTATTCTAGTGAGTTTCTAGTTTTACTCTACTCTATGCCTCTTCTCGGCCAACGTCCTCCAGCGCCTTGGCCAGACCCTCGACGGTGCCGCGCAAGGTTTGGCAGTTCACCACCACGCGGAAGAAGCTTCCTTTCTCACCTGGGGCATAGTCGACCATAAATCCCCTTGGAATGAGCTTCTCGACCATGGTCCGCGTCGTCCGGGTGTTATCCTCGGGCGAGTCGGCCAGTTTGCCGCCGGGTGCGTAGTAGAAGCAGACCTGCAGGGACGGCGGGGGGTTGGAAGACACCAAGACGAAGTTCTCGTTCTGTTGTATGAGCGAGGCGAGGTGCGCCGCCAGGTCGAATGCGTTGTCAAGTTGGCGCTCGAAGCCGGCGGCACCGTAGTAGATCCACGCCAGTGCGAGCTTGAGGCTGTCGCCGCGCCGGCCGCACTGCAACGTCAAATCGGCCAGGTCCCAGGTGTCGCCGGGCTCGGCCCTCTCAGCCGCGTGGAAGAGGTAGCCGGCCGGCAGGGTGTTAGCCTTGTGGAAAATTCCCATGTCGCCGGTGAGAAGGAATGAGCAGGTGACGGGCACGTTCATCATCTTGTGGGGGTTGATGGTCAAGGAGTCAGCCAGATGGGCCCCCGCGAGTTTGCCTCGCTGCTTGGCGGAGAAGACCACGGGCCCGCCCCAGCTGGCATCGATGTGCATCCATAGGTTGAACTCCTTGCAGATGCTCGAGATCTCTTCAAAGGGGTCAAAAGACCCCATGACCGTCGTTCCCGCTGTTGCGTTCACGTAGAGTGGGGTCTTGCCATCTGCCTTGGCTCGGAGAATCAGGCTGCGCAACTCCTTGGGGATCATGCGGCCCTCAGAATCAACCGGCACCGGCCAGACGTTGGAGGCGCCGATGCCACATGCAAGTGCGCTTTTCTCGACCGAGTAGTGGCCGTGCGCGCTGGTGAAGAGAATGAAAGTATGCGAACCATTCCCCTCTGTCCTAGTTTCGGGGTAGAGGGAGTTGCGCGCGACGACGAGAGAGGTCAGGTTCGAAGCGCTGCCCCCTTGGCACGAGATTCCACCGGCCCTGGGGCCTGTGAAGCCAAACAAATTGGCAAGCCGCTGGGCTGTAAGTTTTTCGATTACGCTCAGGGCCGGAGATACTTGATAGACGTGCAGCTGGCATCAAATTAGTCCGAGACCCAAGTGGTGCTTACCGGATGGTTCTATTGACACTCATCTCCGAAGTGTCTATGGCGGGGCCGACTCACATTGGTATTTAGAACAGACAGCAAAAGATCTGCCACCAAGCCAACCTGTAATATAGCCAGTCAGAAAACAAGGGTGCGCTTTTAACCAAAGGAACACAGGGCCAAAGAGGGAGGAGAATAGGACAAAAAAAAGGGGGTTGGGGGGGGGGTGGACGTGCGGGTGTATTGCTGGCATAGAGCTTATCCAAAAACCCCTGATCCCAAGTATTCACGCTGTACCGCAGGATCTTCGAGACAACGTCAAGCAAACCCTCCTTGCCAGTGCCCTCGTTTTCTGGGAGGGAGAGCTGCATCTGTTTGACCAGAGCTTCCGGCTTGAGAGACTCGACAAGGACATTGCGAGGGATGCCTTCCGACTTGACGCAAGATGGAACGCCATGCGCTCTGTCGGGGACGGCTTCATCGGCCGCCTTAATGAAGGGAATAATTAACCCCTTGACAGCATCCAGCAGCTGTGAGAGAGCGTATGTATCAGCTAGACGGAACTCAATACCATACCACAATCTTACTGGGGAGTAAAGAAATCCCCAAAACCTACCTCTTCGGCCTCGCCGGCTCGGTTCAAGCCAGAGGAGGCGGGGCCGTTTCCGTTCACTCGGGCCATGACCGTGTAATGATCCGTTCCCGATCGACCTAGTGGAGTGACCGGACAAGGCTATCTCGAAATAACCAAGTTCTTGGCCTCCGTTCCGGTTGTTATCTGCGATCAGGGATATTTGAGGCGGCCCCAGCGTAATCCAGCGTTAATACTCTAGAGGGAGAATGATGGTTAAAGACCCGGCACTGGGGAAAAAGACAAGACTTGCCACTCGGTCAAAACACCTTGGCGAATTTGAAAGAATTGACGCTTTCCTTCATCTTAACAGAAGAATATGGATATAATTTGTAATCTACCGAGTCTTTGCCGATGCCGGCACTAGCTCGAATGATGCGATTCTGCCGAGGACATGTGCCATAATCCCCAGTATTTCCGTGCTCCATCGATCAGACTTGGTTAAGTTCATGCCGCGAGTAAGACCATTAACCTAACGCGCTCTTATATGAACAACGTTGAGTTGTGATGAATTGTAGGTGAGCTCTTCTCAAGACGTGGACAACATAAGGCTGGCTACGTGTATGTGTATTCATGGAACTGACCCGATGCCATTTCATTTTTATTTATTTATTTCAAAAAAGAAGGGGGGGGGGGGGGGGGGGGGGGCGAACAAGGAGGAATTAAAATTTTCACTTTACCAAGGTCCAACGTCGTATTTTGGAGGATTTCCAGCCATGAGGGAAATTTCGTAGTCGGAGAATGGAAAGTACTCCGGTAGGCGGCTCCAGCTGTCACCTGTAGAGTTCTAGTCCCGGACGTTGGTAAAGGATGCTGCGGCTAAGGCTAGCGTACCAGAGTGCACGTGCAGCTGCAGCTCTGGGGGTTCAAGTGACGACAATGGAGGCGGGGATTGGTCGGGGACGTACCTTAATTACGCCTACATAAGGTACCTTATGAAATACGGTAGGAACTCGAGTGTTGTGGGGTATTTCGTGCTTGCAGTAAGTGCTCCGCTTTTTGTATCTCCATAATATGAATGTTCACCTTACCTTTGACAATGCAATGTGGAAGGCGATGTTAAGCTGTCTGTCTGGTGTGTTACCTTACCTACCTTACCTTAATTCCACGTGGGCCTGGGAGAAGTGTCTCTTGTGGCGTACCTGTTCAACATACCATAGATGTTAAGGTACCTTAGTAAACATTGATAAGAAGAAACTGGTACTTTGTAGAATTTAGAAGGGAAGAAGATGTACTCCGCCAAGGCAAAACGAAACCCCACCCCAAAAAAGAAAAGAGGCAAGGAGAAAGAGGGGGGGAAAAGAAAGAAAAAAGGAAACAAATGAGGATCAAACGGCATGAACAATGCAAAAGCCCCTACTTCTCCGAGCAAATGAAAACCAGGCGGCTGGCTGGGCGGGCTAGAAGTCTGACGGAGGAAGCGATAGAAAGTGGAAAGAAACGACAAGCAATAATAAAGCAAGGAACAAAGGAATTATTAGGGCTGTTCCTGGCTAATAAGATAGGGTACCTTAGGTTGTATTAGATGCTACGGAGTGATATGTGTGAATACTCCGTACCCTACCATTCGCGCATTGACATAATGGTATTGTGGGATTGAGCAAGTGCCAGGGAAGAGTACCTGCTCCAGTACCGGAGGTACGAATTACCACGTAGGTACGGATAATTATGAGGTGTCATTTTCAGGGTAAAACCGTCAAGCCACAGTAATATGCAAATGCCGTGCCGCTGATGATGATGGATGTCGATTTCGATTTTCCCTTCCTCTGCCGCCCTACTTGCAGCTTCTCATTTAACCCAGACCACCTGCCCCAAACATACCCAGTCATCCCTTGCTTTCCATTATTTTCGTTTCTTACCCACAGACGGTACCACGAAGCCTCTCTTATCACCTATCTCTGGCTGTCGCCGCCGCTGCCTCTCGTGCCGGCCATTTTGTCCTTCCAGTCCCCCCCCCCTTCTTTCCACGACGCGCACGTTGACAGCCGTAACAAACCCACGCGTTATGACATAGGCGCCCATCGATACTCGTCGCACGTCTCCCTATCGGGCTTGTCTACTACCCATATGCGAACCAGAGGGACCGAAAGAAGACTCGCGACGAAACATCTACTCACCCGATCGACTCGTTGAACCTCCCAAGATGGGCTCGCCCCCTCCACGCCAACAGCAGCCCCCGACACCGATATCCATCACCATCTGCGGCGATGGCGGCTGCGGAAAATCCTCCATAACTCTGCGTCTCGTCCGCTCTCAGTGGACCTCCGAGTATGACCCCACCATAGAGGACTCCTACTCGGTGACCCGCCGTATCGACGGCCAAACATACCATCTCTCCATCACCGATACCGCCGGCCAGGAGGAATACCGGGGCATGTGGGCCTCGTCCAACCTCTCCGCCGACGCCTTCCTCCTAGTCTACGACATAACCTCCAAGGACTCCTTCGACGCGCTCAATTACTTCCACCACCTCATCGATATGGAGACCGAGACCCGCATCGACAACGCCGAACGCGCCCGACGCGCCGGTCTTGCCCCGGGCCCCGGCGGCGGCAGCGGCGCTAAGACCGTCCCCCCCGTCAAGATGGTCGCGGGTAACAAGTGCGACCTGCAAGAGTCGCGCCAGGTCTCCGCGGCCGACGGTCTCGAGTGGGCCCACCGCCGCGGCTGCGGATTCATGGAGACGTCGGCTCGCATCGAGGTCAACATCGAGGAGACCTTCGCCCTCATCGTTCGCCGCGTCGTCGAGGCCCGCCGGCTCGCCGAGGCCGGCATGCTACCAGACCACCTGGCCATGGACCGCCGCGGCGTCACCAGGCCTTTGAGCCCGCTTGACCCTCACGCTGAGGGAGGGGCCGAAGAGGACGCAGAGAAGAGGGCCCCGGGCCTTAGGGGTCCGAACCTGCATGGACAGCGGTTGGGTAGAGGAAATGGGTCACTCTGGAAAAAGTTGCGCTGTTGGTAGGGGGTTTTTTCTTCTTCTTTTTCTTCTTTCTTTTTTTCCTCTTTTCCCCCGCCTTCCCTTTTATTTCCTCCCTCCTCTTAGGCAAGCGAGCGAGCAAGCTGGTCCATTCGCGATATAACATCGTGCCTACCCAGCAAGGTGTGATGATTTTTCGCGCCGCGCTTCGACTCTCTGCTGTTTGTTTGCATTTCTTTTCCTTATCCTCTTTTAATTTTTGTTGATTTGTTATTCGAGATACCACCAGGAGCCGGCGTTTGGGCCAAAAGCAGGGAGCCAAGGAAACCAAAGCATGTCTCAGAGAAAGGTCTTATGCGAGTTTTTCGATGGATGGATTAATTGGGTCGGAACGAATGAATGAGTAGGAAGCCATGAATGAAAGGAAGAGAGGCGAGCGCGTTGTTATTGCTCACGGAAAGAACGCGGGCTTGAGATTCAGCCCTTCATCATCCACATTCTCTTGGCCTTTTTCACCCCCTTCGACAGTGTTGGGATCACACGCATTCGTATCACAATGCTCGCGCTACTACGACCACCATGCCGAAAGCTGATGACCCCTGGGAGGTGCAGGACGGCTGCAGGGATGCAATGCAAGCCTTGCCTTTGCATGCCTCCCACCCACGCAAGGGAATCTCGGCCGTCATGTCTTGCTCCCTTTTTTTTTTGTTAAATTTTTTTTCTTTTCTTTCCTGCAACATATCACCGATATCAGGGTGAAACAGCTCAGGGTGCGAGCTCACATCGACCGACCTGGATGAGTAAGTCAAGGTCACCTCCCGGGAGACGAAGACAACAGGACGAAGAAGGCAGGCTGGTATGATAAAGGATTGGGTACTCTTCAGATCGAAATCCCCATAACGACGCGTAACATCATGTCAAGACTATCTTACCCCCTAGGCCCAACTCCCCTCACTCTGCGCCGGCACAGCCGTTTTACCCTCGAGACCCAAAGAAATCCGAGATTGCTGTCCGGATGCAGTATCCCCACCATCCACTCGAATGCGCCCACGACTAGGTGCTCTACTTCTTAAATCCACGGTCCCACATCCACTCGGTGAGGGAATGAGGATCCTGCCCGGTCTCGAAGGCAACATTTCTCGCCCGAATCTGCTCGTTCCGAAGGGACTCGCGGGCGGCGGCGCGGGAGTTGCCCAGATGAGGTATACGGTCCAGGGCGTCGATGGCAAGGCTGAAGCGGTCCGTCTGGTTCCGAATGGCGAGCTCGAGCGGGGTGTCGATGTTCCCCTTCTCCTTATACCCGCGGACGTGGAGGTTTTGCGAGGCGCCCGGGCGACGGTATGTGAGGCGGTGGACGAGCCAAGGGTACGAGTGGAAGTTGAAGATGATGGGACGGTTGCTGGTGAAAGCGGCGCACCATTCGCGATCGGTGAGTCCGTGGGGGTGGTCGATATGCGAGATCAGCTTGAAGAGGTCGACGACGTTGACGCAGCGGATGCGCAGCTCGGGGAAGTGGCGCAGGAGGAGGTCGATGGCGGCAATGGACTCGTGGGTGCTGACGTCGCCGCACGACGCCATGACGACGTCCGGGTCGGCGCCGGCGTCGGTGCTGAACTGGGGCCAGATGCCGATGCCTTTGGTGCAGTGCTCAATGGCCTCCTCCATGGTGAGGTACTGTAGGTGCTCCTGCTTGTCGGCGACGATGACGTTGACGTAGTTGGAGCTAGCAAAGCAGTGGTGCATGACGGAGAGGAGGCAGTTGCCGTCGGGGGGGAGGTAGACGCGGACGACCTCGGGGCTCTTGTTGACCACGACGTCGAGAAAGCCAGGGTCCTGGTGGGTGAAACCGTTATGGTCCTGGCGCCAGACGACGGCAGTGAGGAGGATGTTGAGGGAGCAGACCCTGTGACGCCACTCGACCTCGAGGCACTTCTCGATCCACTTGCAGTGCTGGTTGACCATGGAGCTGACGATGGGGATGAAAGGCTCGTAGCTGTTGAAGAGGCCGTGCCGGCCGGTGAGGACGTAGCCTTCGAGCCAACCCTCGCAGGTGTGCTCGGAGAGTATCTCCATGACGCGGCCTTCGGGGGAGAGGTTGCCGCCGTTCTTGTCCTCCTCGAAGTACTCGCCCATCCAGACCTTTTTGCCGACCTCGTAGACCTTGTCAAGCTTGTTGGACTGGGTTTCGTCCGGGCCGAAGAGGCGGAAAGTATGCGGGTTCGTGCCCATGACGTCGCGAAGGTATCCGGCCATGTTCAGCATGCTCGAGACCCTGACGCCAGCGGAGCGCTCGACAGGGATGGCGTACTCCCTAAAATCCGGTAAGCGGAGATGCTGGCGGATGATGCCACCGTTGGCGACGGGGTTGGCGCTCATGCGGCGGTTGCCCTTGGGGCACATGTCGCGCAATTCGGGCACGAGGTGGCCGTCGGGGAAAAGCCGCTGGGGCTCGTAGGAGCGCATCCATTTCTCGAGGATGGCCAGGTGTTCCGAGTTGGTGGCAACGTCGGTGATGGGAACCTGGTGGGCGCGCCAGAAACCTTCGAGGTAGTTGCCGTCGATCTTACGAGGGGCAGTCCAGCCCTTGGGGGTGCGGAGGATGATCATGGGCCATCGGGGTCGGGCCGGAAAGGAAGGGGATGGATAGGAAGACGACGACGGGCGCGGTGAGGAAGAAGCGTGGCGGGCCTCCTTCTGAAAACGGCGGATCTCGATGACGCAGTGTTCGAGGGTGGCGGCCATGGCCTGCTGCATGGAGTCGAGGTCGTCGCCTTCGACGAAGTGGGGCGCCCAACCGTAGCCGTTGAAGAGGTCCTCGAGCTCCTTGCGGGAGATACGGGCGAGCACGGTGGGGTTGTTGATTTTGTACCCGTTGAGGTGAAGGACGGGGAGGACGGCACCGTCGACCTTGGGGTTGAGAAACTTGTTGCTGTGCCAGGAGGTGGCCATGGGACCCGTCTCGGCTTCACCATCACCGACCACGGTCAAGGCGATGAGGTCGGGCTGATCGAAGACTGCGCCGAAGGCGTGGGAAATGGCGTAGCCCAGCTCGCCGCCCTCGTGGATGGAGCCTGGGGTCTCCGGGGTCGCATGGGAGCCGATACCGCCGGGGAAGGAGAACTGCTTGAAGAACCTACGGAGCCCCTCGGTGTCCTGGGAGCAGTCCGGGTAGATGTCGGAGTAGACTCCCTCGAGGTAGGACTGGGCGAGGACGGCTGGTGCTCCGTGGCCCGGACCGGAAATGTATATGGCATTGAGGTCGTACTTCTTGATGAGACGGTTGAAGTGCATGTAGGCGAGGGTCTGTCCCGGTGTGGAACCGAAGTGGCCGAGGAGGCGTAGCTTGAGGTGGTCCTTGACCAGCGGCTCACGCAATAAGGGGTTGGCACGAAGATATATCATGCCGAGACAGAGATACAGGCTGGCCTTGAAGAAATCATTATAACGGTCCAGCTCTTGCTGGGACAACGGCTTGCCCTGGATGGTGGCTCGCGCAACGCCGAAGGGGCTGAGGGACTCGTTCGAGGAGTCATTACGTGTGGATTCGGCCATGGCGATACGACGGTATTAAGGTACCTTGGATTAGATATATTACTTCGTAGAGAAACGTCAAGGTGAAAGGGGAAAAGGGGGTGACGGGGCTCGTCTCGCCAATACGATCCTGGCAGTACTCCGCAGAGAAGGAAGCAACTTTGTTGGTTTTGATTTCTTCGAAAGCCCCTTAGTTGGTGCCAGTAAAAGGAGAACGCATGGAGACGGAGCCAGATACACAGGGAAAGGGAAGAGGCTCGGAGGATAAGGTACACGTCTATCACTATCCGTTACAGTTTTGCAGCGAGTGATCAATGTGGGTTGAGCGTAGTGACGGTACGCGGCATCTCGTCATCATGATGAAAACGAGTCGATGATTCCGAATATTCTTTTGTTTAGGCCTTGGGCCAGAAGCTGCCCAAGGGGACGAAAAGGGGGTCCGTCCCAGGGGAGTAAGCAAGCGCTTGGAACATAGAAACATAGTATCTAGTCCTGAACAGTCGATCGATGTACGGTCCTGTTACTTTGCAATTTGGAATCGAGCCATGTCGCAAGTCGATGATGAAGGCCTCGAGTTGTTTGAGTTCTGGGGTTACGGAGTAGAGTATGGAGTAGTGTTGCCTGATACCTCAAGTATCGGAGGTGGGTAAAGTCATACCGAGCACGGACGTACCTACCTTAGGTACCTTACCTTATGCAACACGGAGTACCTCCTTCGTATCATACTCCGTACCTTCAGGTACCTTAGGTACCTTACAGTAAGGTATCACTGAATCACGCCGGAAGTGGGCAGGTTATCGGGTGAGGATGAGCGGACGACCCAATAGTAACAACCTTAAAAGAGGATCGTCCAACATATGGGAGGGTACGGCCGACTCGCTCCAGGAGAAGTAGCTCGTTGACCACCTTGTGCCCTACCTTACCTTATGTACTTGCATGACATGTCGTCCAAACACTCTACACGTACTAACATCTCTCCCGGTCACTTTGTCCCCGATCATCGGCTCACATGATGCACTTTCCGGTGTTGCCGGTTACCTACCCAAGCTCCCATCACCTGACGTCACACCACCCACCCCATGCCGCCAAGATATAGTCCCGACTCGTCTACAGATCTCTCTAGAACTCTGTATTTGTTGGGCATTATAATAAACCGATAAACTCGATCATCGATCACACTTTGATTCCAGCCTCTACATCCATATCAACATCCAGAGGTAAGCAACACTTGCCGGTATGAATAGGGGGAGAGGATTGAATAGTGTACGAGAAAAAGCGGGGCAACATCTACATGACAACATGCTAACATATGAGAGTCGTCCATACTTAGACCAAGCTCCTTTACTTCCTCAATATCCATTCTTACTTCCCCGCCTAAACCAACAAAGCGAGACCATCATCATGTCCTCGGAACCAACGCCAGACCCCTCGAGCCAGCCAATCCACAAACCTTCCACCCCGCAGCCGCCTCCCCCAATTCCTATCCACGACGACGACGACGGTGGTGGTGACGAGGGTGAGGGCGAGGGATCCCGCGACTACTGAAAAGAAAAAAAAGAAAAAAGGAATTGTCAGTCATTCAGGTCTTGTTTCGAGGCTATAGAGGACAGTGGCATGTCAAGAGATACCGAGATCCTAGTCCATTTACGCAGAACGCATAAAATTTCACTTTCGGACTTACCTGACCCTTGGAACATGCACACAAGGTCTCGTATGGTCCTATGTTTACGCGTTCTGCCATTCTCATCGGGATAAGACACAACAGTAGGAGGGCAACAGGAGGATTCCTTCGACCCTCAATGATGCTATGTTTGGGCTTCATGTCCTATCCGGCGCTAAACTATCGTGTTTGCAAGGAAGAATCGACAAATAAGTAGACATGCCTCTGAATGCCGTCTGTGTTGATTTCCTCATCCTCCGTACAACTCTCTTCTTTATCTTCTCTCCCTGTGGACTTTTAGCCATGTTTGCTTCGCAATGCATTCCCGCTCTTATGCTCTGCAAGCTTGGGTAATCATCGGTGGAAAAACATGAAAAGGGGGGGGGGGGGAGGGACTGAAACTGAATAACGAGGCAAGAAAGAAAGGAAGCAAGGGGCTCCGCAAATCCTGACCGACAGAACTCAAGTTTCCCTTGTCCACGAACTTAGAACTTGTCACTGCCCCTATCCATCGCTCGATGCGCGTGGCACATTGTTTTCATGACGAAGATCGTCAGGTTCTGGAGTGACATGACCCGGAGCGTCAGCTCCAGCTGTTGACGCCAGTGGATGAGTTCCCTTAGAGGAAGCCGCCGGGTTCGCCGAAGACCAAAACCGCGTGGTTCCGCTCTCCTTCGTCCGCATTTGTGCACGCAAGACTTTTTTCTAAGCCACACTCTCTTCGTATGAGGGGGGCGGTCCGTCGGGCTCGGTAGGGGCAGTCGTGGGCGTGTTCGGATGGCCGACCATAGGAAGAGACTCCTCTTCGCCAACTTGAATCTCCACCGTCGACGTCGACTTCTTACTGTCGGGACTGTCATCCATGGGAGTCGTCAGGTCGATGTTCAAAGTCGCTGCCGAGGCATCGCGCTTTGGTGGTTCGCGGACAAGCTCGTGTTTCTGATCTTCGCGCACGTAGCAGAGGTAGTATGGATCGCCGGACTTGTTCAGAATCGCCAGCACCTCCTCTTCATCGGTATACTCCGTCACCATCTCGTCGTTGTACTTCCGCCACACCCCCGCCTCGAAATCATGGATCCACACCCAGTAATGCCCCGCGTTAAGGTGACCGCTGTGACAGATAGCCGCGTGAAGCCGGTATGCGTATGTTTTCAGGTCATCGCCAGAGAACAGTGTCTCGACAGCATCCAGGTAGGACTTTGCCTTTCCCTCTGCCATCGCCTCGATTTCCTCCATAGGCGGGATGTCGACGGGAAAGAGGCTGGAGGCATCGCCGGCCTCGCCAGCGTCCAGGGGGGACTGGTCCTCATCAAATGGTTTGAAATCGAACGTTTTGCCACCAAAACTCATCTTCACTGGCGGCTGGCCTGCGAGGAGTGAAGGCTGCTCCCTCCCTGCCGCCTCCTGCGGGGGAGCGTTGACCTGGGTATCTACGAACCGGCCGAGAAGCTCCGCTTCGTCATCGCTCAGCGACTTGGGACAAGCAGAAACCTGCTCGAGTCGTTTCCGTACAAACCAGCTCATCTTGCGCAGCTTGTATAGGGTAGAGTCGGGCTCGGCGTCCATATACCGGTCGAGGTAGAGCAGGCTTTCAACAGCGACAGGGTTACTGTTCTTCTGGCCCGTCTGCTTGGTGCGCTGGACCAGCACATGTAGGATGGGGGGAGGTGGCTTCTTTATGGAGCTGTACCGAACAATGTCGCTGCCTTCGATAGTCTGGCGATCAAAGTTGCGACTGAGGGCCTCATATATCGTGCAGTCCCCGTTCTCGGCTGGGTAGGCCGTAATAGATCGATCAAGTGTCGTCTCTGATCGGTAACCTGTGTCTTGGCCTAGCTTCGTATGGTTGACTACCTCGAAGAAGAACGTCTTCATGATCGTCTCAATCTGAACTCCGTCAGCCCGTACAGATTCGGCTTTGATAGCGGCTTGAAGACGGTTGAGAATAGAACCCATAACTTCTTCGACGTCTTGCTGGTCTGTTCCAGAGGAACGCTTCTGTCTGGTCAGTGCAGCCAAGATCTTCTCGTCGTCCGATGGTGTGTGATCTTCGCCTGATTTATCGTCCGTGTGACTAACGCCGGGTTCCAGGTCCATGGCTCCATCGACCAGTGTCTTCGAACTATCCTGACTACCAGTCTCGGACATGGACTCGACGGAGACGCTGACCATGTTGGCATCTTCAACATGCTCGACATGCTGGGCAGTGGTAGCAGCCGCCCCCGCCCCCGGCCCCGTCCCCGGCCCCACCTCGGCCAAGGGAGGAGCCGGAGAAGGGCGAGCCGGTAGAGGAGGCGCGGCCTGCATGTCCAATTGTTCAAAGGGAAGCAGCTCCTTCTGTTCTTGAGGCTGTAAAATCCCCTCCTGCTTCGATGCCAGTGTAAGCTGTTCATCGGAGATCAGGACAGCGTTGGCGAGACGTTGGGTCGGGCGCACCGATGGCGTCGACGTCGTTTCCATTTCGTTGAAAAGATTGCGAAGTTCCTCGACGACTAGGCGACGCACGCAAGTAGTGGTTAGTCAGACGAAAAAGAGAAGAAGAGCGCTAAAGAGAAGAGCCCGACTCACAAACATGGGCGACGACAGCCTCGGGCCTGCTAATAGGGAGCTGACTGCCACCAAGGCGACGCGCAGATATGGCATGGTCGTCAAGCGGTAGCTGAACGTCTTCGAAATTCGTCAACAGCTCTCGGATGGGGACAACACGCTCCAGGACTTGCAACAAGCTGTTGAGGTAGCAGGTGTTACCAATGTTCGTCAGGCCAACTTGGCCCACAGCGCGTCGGTCTCCATTCCCATACCACATGCCAGTGTTGCCGTTGCCGATTCCGTTGGTGTTGGTTGTTGTCGTCGTGCACTCCAAGGCCTTCTCTGTAATCGTTCCGATGTTCCTATCAGAGCCGATCACAAGAAGAGCCTCGGAAACTTCCTCGCGCATAGCCACGTCTCCAGGATACTGGGTTAACTAGAAGGATATGCAGTGCAATCAGCAAACTAGGTATCCCCTTCCGGCAGTTGCTACCCAAGCAGTACCTTAGGGGGGGAAATGGGCGTAATGGGGTGTTGCTCCGGCTCAACTTTACGTACCTTGTCATCCGCCTGCCGCATGATCATGTAAGCGCCATCATTCTGGCTCGCCCCCAAGAAATCATACGCCGTGGTCAGAGACATCTGTCCATGGCTGTTATCGGCAAGTTCTCGCAATCGCCGACTGTTTCTGTGTCGACCTAGAATGCGGATGAACTCTCGGGCCGCACTGCTTTGATCTTCGCCCTGGTTCATCTTGTTCCTGAAAGCACGTGCGATTTCATAGTCCCCCACGGGGCCTGACGCGTCGACGCCAAAGTACGTGAAGGCTTGCCAAACCAGATCCTCATCTTGGCTACTTTGGGCCGATTGCGGTTCTTCCAGCATGGAGATCTCCAGGGCAGCCTGCTGCTGGAGATCATCGTCGCCTATACGAGTTGATACTTGGACCAAAGAATGCGCGAGAAGGTGCTTGTTGGCGGGCCAAGTGTGGACTTGGCGATAGTACGCGTACATAATGAGCGATGGGACCATGTTGGGTAGAATCCCGAGCAGAGTGAACTCGGCCGCGGCCGGGTCGCCTCGCTCCTGAATAGTCCGAGGCCAATAGCAGCAATGGAGCATGCGTTCCAGTGGTCCCCAAGCATATAGGTCGTTGGTGCTGTCATAAGGAAGGCCCTTAGTGCGGATTAGCAAGTTCTCTGCCTCAGCTTGCATCTGTTCAATGTAGAATCTGAGAGATCCTTCCTCAGTAGGATGTCCTTCTCTCACGGGCTCTAGAGGTCGGGGCACAAAGTATTCTTCTTCTTCTTCGTCATCTTCACTGATGGTCACTTCATCGTATCCAAGCATGATGAACAGAGGCCACACGTCGCTCCCGAAAACGACTTGAAAGCGCTTGTTGCGCTTGGATATTCTCCGCTCATCGTTGTCAAGTCGATTTCGAAGATATGTATTCAACAGGGACGGGGCTGTGTCAATCCACTCCTCATGCGACTGTGTATATCTTTCGGGTTCGGCCTGACGGGCATCCGTGAGACGATTTCGTACTCGGTCCTTGTCTAGAAGGATCTCCAGCCACTTGAGAGTCAGACGCGGCTCGTGAATCTCAAGGAAGAGGACGAAGGAGCAGCTAGGGGCCGAGCATTTGTAAGATTTCCGGCTCAGGAGAGGACAGCGCAGGGCAGCACCGTGCTTTTCGCACTCATCTTCGCTCCAGCTGCCATCGTGGACGAGATGATGCATAAGGTAGTCATCCTGGGGGGGAGGGAACGACTTGGTGTCGTCAGAGACATCCTTTCCGCCATTACAGAGCAGATGCTGAACTGTCGCATCCCAGGACGTTCTAAGGATGAAGTGATGATCACACCATCGACAAAGCAAGGAAAGGGTACGGGGATTTGCATCGGCCACTGTACATTGCTTCGGCATAATGACCAGGTCATGGCAATGCGCAGTGGGACTATGGATACCGTAGTAGTTTATGCGCGTGGCCACACTTTCTGACATCTTTTGGCCCAGTTCAGGCATGGTCCCATGAAACAAGTCATGAATCCAGCGAGGGGCGAGACGACCACCCCTTTGCGACGACGACATGTTGACTGAGTGATCTATTCAAGAGCTGTCAGATTGCACGGTAGACCCGAGAAGAAGTGTCCCAAGCCAGAGACGTGGATACTGGGCTACCGAGGGGCGATCTTCCACTATTCCACCAAAATTTGAAGAATATGTCGGTGTTCCACTTACCGAGATCCACTTGCTAGCCGCTTATCGATTGTGCCTCACTTAAAAATCTTCTTGCTGTCCTTGTTTCAAGACAGCAAAAAAAAAAAAGGCCTTGCACAGCCCTACCAGGCTGGGCGGCGAGGGCTATAGAAAACACTGAAGAGCCGAAAGAGAGGGCGGGCGGTTTTCTTCTGTCTTTCTTTTCTTTTGTTGCCAGAAAGGTGCGCGTATGAGCTGAAGGCGTGGGCCAAAGGCCTGGTAGCAAGGGCTTGTCACAGGCCACTTCTGATTTATTGTGATCTAGGTTGAAGACTGGCCCAGATAGGAAGGATGCGAGCCTGGCGCCCAGGCTCTGGTGTACACTTGTTCCAGTCTTGCATCCGACTGAAGCAAGCTTAGCGGGCAAGTAACTGGCCAAGGATGATTCCAACCTGTCTCTGGGTGTATATAACGCCAGTCCGATCTGTGCAGGCCGCTCAAACCCCGTCCAGATATTACTGTTATTTGTGTATTGTGTTTCGGTTTCGAAATTCGGAACGTCCAGGACGAAGTAGCCGAGGAACGAGGGAATGATGGATTCGTCTGTCTCCTAATCGAGAGAAAGAGTGCGAAAAACTAAGGTTGTTGGACAAGAAGAGGCGGCGGAGCGATAGATATATGCTGCCTAAGCCGCAGTTAGCGGCCAGAGCCCCGAGAGTATGTATTCGTTGTCTGGCTTCGAAGGTGAAATATAAGCATACGTTACGGGCATAAAGAGCATAGTGCATCGGATGGACAGAACTAGGGTTTACGTTAACAGTCGTTTCTAAGCACATACTTCAGCACGGATAATGGCAAGTGACAAGAAGAAGGGATGGGAGAAGTACAACGTGGGTCGAATGAAAGTCGTGCAGTCATCAGCCATAGCCTGGGATCAAAGCCCCCTTCCCCTCTTGCTGGACAGAATGTCGCGCAGAACGAAGAGGCAAATACGAGATCTGAACAAAGAGAGAGGTATAAATACTATGGCAGAATGGCGAGCAAGCAAGGCCCCAGCATCAGGGAGGGGTTGAGAGGCGGAAGAGCTTGGTGATAGAGGTTAGAAGACGAGCAAGTGGTTGACGAAGTATTCGGCCACTCTCCAGTCGTCAAAAGCTGACGTAGCCTTGCAGCCCTCGTGAATGGCAAGGCGGCAAATCAGGTGTTCCGGTTTGCACGGACCATGAGTTGTCACTTGTATTGGATAAGGTACCTTAATAAGGTACCTTAGCTGTTTGGAGTTACGGTGACTACCTAAGGTACCTTAGCTCGGTGAAGGTAGGATACAGAGTCGGTACCTACATAAGGTACCTTCCCATGAAGGTACCTAAGGTAGACTAGGTACAGGCAAAGAATCACGTGACAAACCTTCTGGTTGATCCGGTAATTCCACCACGTGACTCTGCTACATCCAGGTCGTCCAATCGCCGACGCCCAATTGACTTGACTGGACCTGGACGTCAAACTTCCGCTCATTCAGCAGCTTCCCTCATAACCGACCAGCACCATCCAACCACCATGGCCGGCGACGAGCACTACCACCCTAAGGACGCCGTCAAGGCAGCCTTCCATGCTGCAGGAGTTGTAGGAACATCAGGCTTCTTCGTTGCCGCAGTTCATAATGCTCTCCAGCGGGAGAACGTTGGCGCCCTGTCCGTCTTCACCCGCAGCGGAGGCATCATCGCTGTCTTTGGTATGCCCATGCGCCTCCCTCTCCAACTACACCATCAACCGGCTACAAGACTGCGTCTCCCGCTCTAGAATTTGTTACGTTTCTGTGCTAACACTCCCCTTCTCGTCAGCCATTGGTGGTGGCGCCTACAATTTCACCAAGATCGCATCGGCAAATCTGAGGCAAAAGAACGATCCTTGGAACTCGGCACTCGGCGGCTTCGTAGCCGGTTCGGTTATTGGAATGACCCGTACGTTATCTCGCCTACAATGCTTTTTCTCTTTCTCCACTGGCTTAGACGAAGCAGCCGCTGACCGATTTTCCCTCTCGTGCAGGAAGACGTATGCCCGTGGTGCTTGGTCTCGGTGCCTTTGTTTCCGCGACAATGGGTGCCTTTGAATTTACCGGCGCTCGTCTGCGTGGCTGGGCCGACCGACCCGAGGAGGATGAGTTCGAGCGTAAGATTGCTATGAGGGCAAACAGGAGGCGACCGATTGAGGAGACTATTGCGGAGATTGGCGAGGGGAGAGGTTCGTTTCCCTATTCCCTCGGAGTTTGCCTCGTATATCTGGAACCGGTCTCGAAAGATTTGCCCCTCTTTCTAGGCGTATCGAGAACTTGGCGCTGTTTCGAGAAGCTAACCCACATTGCTCAATATAGGTATCCGGCCAGAGGGCTACGAGGAGCGGAGACGCGAGCGCCTGAAGGCCAAGTACGGGGTGGACATCAATCCTGTCAAGGCAACCGTGGAATAAACTTGGGCTTCGGCTCATGCCTAGTTACGGAAGACAATCTGACACAAGAAGAAGCGATTTCCATTTGTTGTACATACCACACTGCTCGTTGGCACATGGGCAGGATACAGGAGGGAGTTCACCGGCTGGAGAGAATAGGAGAGCTGTATTAGTTTCCACCCCGGGGCCCTCCCGTGTGAGAGCTTCGCCGATGTGACGTGTGCTTCTGCCAAAGCCAAATCCGCCCAACATGGTCACGCCGGGGACTTTCAGTTTATCAAAGGTATGTTCTCTGTCACGTCTGTTACCATTCTTTTCCCTACATGATGAAACACTTGCTTCAGAGGCTGTTTATGAATTTTTCCATGATTCTACCCAACACCGTTCTATCATTTCTTTCTGATATAACAACGTAATTCCTGCATCGCTGCGCCATTTTCTGTTTGCTTGCATCGATACTGACTTGCAACTTTTAGGTACGTTGCCCGAAGGCTTATCCCGTCGTCTCTCTTGTCACAAGATGAAAAATAGCTTCAGAGGCTGTTTATGAATCCCGATGATTCAACATTACACCGTTCTATCACTTTCTGAAAAAGATACTTCCTTCCCTGCCCTCAATTTGGCTTGCTGTCACTGTTTGGGATGCTGACTTGCAGGGGTAACGAATAGCGGTATCGGCGGCGGGCTCATGTACTCTTCGCCCTCAAAATTGAACTCCAATGCAGATTTTCAAAACAGTTAGTCCAAGAAGAAATTTGTTGTGTATTCTCTTAGTCAGGACGTGTTACTGGCCCGTGTGATATTACCACATCTGTCGGGCCGTCAAATTCCTCATCTCGGTCCCAAACGCCAGTCCAAGAAATCCCATCCCACTGTGTCGACATTGTTTCGACCATAAGATGCAGCCGATAGTTGCAGACCTCGCCTGAACCATAATGCTTACTTTTGTACATACAATTACAGTGTCTTAATCGATTGAAAGAAGGGGTTGGCAAGCAGCTTATCGTCCGCCATGACGAGTTCCCTCATCTTCTGCACCATTTCCTGCTTGCTCATTGCCCCGGTGTCGACCTCGTTTTTCCACCTGACCAAGATGTCTTTCAGCATGGTGCTGCCTTCCTCGACGTCGCTCTTACTATACTTCAGTCCCACGTCCTGGTGCTTAGTCGTAAAGTCCTCGAGCTCGTCCGCCTTGTGCTTCGCCATGCGCACCACTTTCTCCGGGAATCGCACCAACTCCGCGACATGGATACCGAAACTCTGATCGCAGATACCGTCCTCGACCTTGTACAGGAGCGTCACCTCCCGTTTGGCGTCCTGCTCGCCACCTTCGCTCTTGCTAATGTGTGCCGTGACGTGCAGGTTCTTCACCTGCGGAAACTGATCCGCCAGGGCCGTGAGCTCGTGGAAATGCGTCGCAAACATGGCGAAACAGCCAATCTCTCTCACGATATGCTCGGAAATGGCCCAGGCGAGACCGAAGCCATCATAAGTCGACGTGCCGCGACCGAGTTCGTCGATGATGATTAGGGACGAGGCTGTCGCCGATTTGAGGATGTTGGCCGTCTCCAACATCTCGGCCATAAAAGTTGAAACACCCTTCAGCTGGGAGTCGCTAGCACCGACGCGAGCCAGAATCGAGTCGAAAATGGTCAACTCGGCTTCGGTGCAAGGTACAAAGCAGCCGATCTGCGCCATGAGGGCTATGACTCCGATCTGTCGGATGTATGTTGATTTACCGCCCATGTTGGGACCGGTGATGATGAGGAAGGAAGAACGATCTCTCGTGAGCTCGACATCGTTCGTGATGAACTGCACGTCGTCCTGCATCTCCAAGCAGGGATGACGGGCCTCTCTCAGGATAGTCTGTCCCTCGCCCTGGTCATGCATCTTGGGTCGTACGTAGGTCGTTGGTGCATGGACCGAACAATGCGCGAAGGAGACGATCACGTCGAGATGGGCGATAACAGCAGCGAGCTTCTCCATCACGGGGCAGTAGGACGCGGCCACGCCAACAACCTCGTTTACCAAGCTGGCCTGGGTCCTGTTGTAGTTCTGTGACTGTTGGTCAAACTCCCGGCGAAGACTCTGCAGATTCCTAGTCGTGAAGTAGACGCCGTTCTTGAGGGTTTGGCATTCCTGATATGCTGATTTATTTCGGATACAGCCTGCCTCGGTTCTTGTTAGTCGCAGGCAGTAGCCGTGGACCTTGTGGTTTTCGAGGAAGATCTTCTTGTCCTTCTCCTGCCCTAAATCCCGGGCCGCCTTGTCGAATTCTTCGTCAATCTCCCTCTTGGTCCTATCCAGTTTCTTCCGGATAATCCTCAGGCTGTCATCAAATTCAGGCTTGATAACGTATTCGTGCCTATCGAGGGCATCGAGGTCGACGGTGGTCTCGACCATCTCTTGTAGTTTCGCGAAGCCGTCACAGAGTTCACGAAGCTTAATCGTGTACGCCTCGTCCAGCGGATCGCGGTATGTTTCGTCCATGACTCCCTCTAGCGTGCCTAGAAGACCAGGAAGACGAATGATGACCTGGTAGGCCCTGACCACGTCCTCCAGGTTCGCCCTTTTCCGTTGAAAACGCTTGGCCAGCCGATAGAGGTCGGGGATCGAGCGGAGGTGCTCCTCCTGCATGACTTGACGAAGTTCGGTGTCGTTAACGAAGGCCTCGACGAGCTGTTGGCGCTTTTCGATGTCCTCCTTGCACATGAGGGGCTGCTTCAGCCACTGCGACAACAACCGACTGCCGAGAGGAGTTTTGCAGTGATTGAGTAGACCGTAGAGACTCATCGTCTTGGACCCATCGCGAGGTCCCGGCATGAGGTTAAGGGCTTTGAGAGCCGCGGCATCCAATTTCATGAACTGGGCGAGATCGTGCTGGTATAGCTGGTACTGTCCGAAATTGGAGGGGTCATGCAGCACGCCGAGATACTTGATGAGGGCGGCGGCGGAGCCCATGGCTAGATTAAGATCGGTCTGCGGCATAAGGGTCGCGGCCTTCTCGTCCTTCAGGAGCCGGGCTAAGTCTTGCTCGATATCCTTGATGCCAAAGTCGGAAGCCGGCCGCTCAGAGATGGCCACGCCGCAGTTGTCAATGATCTGCCTCAGCTTTGCCAGGTCCGGGTCTTTTTCCTTCTCTCCCCTGTCTACCTGGATGAGGCATTCCCGAACACCAAGCTGAATGAGCAGGGACTCAAAATTGGAGTAGAGGTCGTTGTCGAGGAATTCGCTGACGCCCAGTTCCCGCACGCTTGCGTCAGCAAAACACACGCCGACACTCCGGGCCTCAGCCGCCTTGGACATGACCTTGACGGCCAGAATCATGGGTGCGGCCTCGAACTGTCCGCCCAACTCTTCTTCGACATCCTGGAGATTTCCTGGTGATGCTTGCTTGACGACTTTCCAGTTCATCCGACCACCTAAGCTCTGGTATATCTCGACCCGTTTGCTGAGCTTGAATAGAGCTTCTCTGAGAAATTGTCGGAACACTGTTACGGTCATAGTAACGGAAGCAAGCCCCGACTTGTCGCCGCGTCCTAGCTGGCGAATGACCGAGGTTGTCTTGTAGACCTTCCCACCATGTCAGCTGTGACACCAAACTTAGACGAAGTGCAAGAGCTTACTGTCTTTGCAATGAAGGTGGCATCTTCTCCATGTGCCGTGTACCAATCCCCTCGATCAAATATCCTGACAGTATCTTCGTGGACGGTGGGTAGAGACTTGAAATAACGGATAAAGCCATGTTCGTCGTCGACCTGCCATGAACAAAGTTTGGTTAGAGAATTGCTTTACTCGATCTGAGTATGGAACTTTCACACCTTCAGTTCTGGCCTGGACGACATGTTGATGGCAAAAGCGTGATATGGCTAAGGAGGTTACCCAGAAGGGAGTGGTGGGAAGGGATCCGACCGAAAGAGTGATGTGACGAAGCGATTGCTCTTTTATTTACCAGCTTCAAGAACGTTATACAAAGACCGAAATGCACGGTTGCCTGCTTACATCGCAAGTCTTTGAATGTTGAATGTTCTGGTTGATGATTCCGCAAATTCGTCCCATGCCTCTGCTGGGGAAAGTTATCTAAGGTACCTTACCTACCTAGGTAGGTAGGGTACTTGCGTAGGTACCTTATCCGTTGTACCTCCCCGCGACGCGACGCGACCGCGTTTCCGCCTCTTAAACAGAACAACCCAACCCCACGGATACTATTAGAACAATCGGGTCAAGCGACTAAACACTGAAAACAGCGCTTTTGGCACAAACAGCCGCGCTTAAATTGGAGTTGTGACGGCTCGTGTTCTCCGGGATCCCCGTTTTAATTAATTGAAGAAACGCGACGTGACCGCGCTATACTGCTTTTTGATTAGCTCGAGTCCGCCGTCATGATTAGTAAGTACGCCGAAACACTTGGTTCGGTGAAAGATCAATACGGAGTACATCTGTCAAGCTCAAAATCACTCATGACACGGAGGTGAGTTGACCGAAAATTTGCACGTCTCATGATTGTACCTGTGAAATTGTTCCGACACTCCAGTCAGGTCGTTGATGTTCTGCGCCTTCTTACAGTGAACGACATTTGCTCAAGCGCCCAAATCTTGAGACCGAAACGAAATTGTAACGTCGAATGTTTGCAGACTAGGACGACTTTTCTTGTTCAGAAGCGGTTGCATTGTCACATCAGACAAGGCGAGAGTCCCTCTCATCACAACTCGGGAATCAAGCCGATACGGTCTCATCAGAAGCGGGTCTACTCGGTATATCGGTCAGGAGAAAGTTGCCGCGATTCAATGGCAGACGGGAGCGCTCTTCCTCCACCTAGGGGGATCAATGGCGGGGAGAGTGGTTATGAGTCTGGCGTCAGCTCTGAGCGTGCAGAACAACCTCCTTCACGTCTCGAAACCACAGGCAATAATGGAGTAGAGCAGCAGCAGCAACAGGAAGACCAGGAACAAGAGCAGTCCAAGCTCTCCAAGAACCAGCTCCGCAAACTCAAGCGCAAAGCTCAATGGGAAGAAGCGCGCGAAGAGCGCAAGCACAAACGCAGGGAGAAGCGCCATGAACGGGCCGCCCGCCGCCGCTCCGAGAAGGAAACTCTCCTTGCCGATGCTGCCGCGGCCGGCCTCGATCCAGCCACCGTTCTTCCCGCCAAACCTAAGCCTGTCGCCGGCACGCGGGTTCCTGTCGCCCTCATCCTCGACTGCGACTTCGAGGAATACATGCGCGAGAACGAGCTCATCTCCCTGGCCAGCCAAGTCACACGGTGCTACAGCGACAACCGACGATCCCCGGTCCAGACGCACCTGTACATCAGCTCGTACAAGGGCAAGCTGCGTGAGCGCTTCGAGACCACCCTGAAAAGCCAACACGTGCATTGGAAGGGCGTCAAGCTCGTCGAAGGAGACTACGTCGAGGCCGCACGCGACGCGGCGGAAGCCATGCGGGGCCCCCACGGCGGTGAGGTCATCGACGTTCTCAAGGGCGACGACGGCAAACCGGCATTGCGACGGGATGAAACGGATCCGACCCCCCAGGCCGAGCCGGAGCCGGAGCCGGAGCCGGAGCCGACGGAAGAAGAACTCAAATCCATCGTCTACCTGTCGGCCGAGTCGCCTAACACCCTGGATCGTCTGGAGCCCAACACTAACTACATCATCGGAGGACTTGTGGACCGCAACCGGGAAAAGGGCCTGTGCCACCGGCGTGCACGGGAAAGGGGCATTCGCACCGCCAAGCTCCCCATCGGCGAGTATCTTCAGATGGCCAGCCGGCGAGTGCTCGCCACCAATCATGTCGTCGAGATCATGCTCAAATGGCTCGAGCTGGGCGACTGGGGCAAGGCGTTTCTGGAAGTCATCCCCAAGCGCAAGGGGGGCGTTCTCAAGGGGACTGCAACGTCAGAGGCGGGCGATGCCAGCATTGCTGACGCGGACGATAGCAGGTTTGACGAGGAGGCGGACGAAGATATAGATGCGAGACACACTCTCACCGAGGGTGTGCAGCCGGCCATGGAGCCTGCGAACGGCGCAGGTGGTGTACAAAAGACAACGGCGACAGACTCATGGCCGATAAAAAAATCATGAGAGATATATACCAACCCAAATATCCAGTACTACATACGTACATGCTATCTAACCATAGTGAGCCTGCTGCCGTACCCGTCATGATGATATACATACGTGCCCTGTGCACCAAGTAATACCAAAGGCGTATGTGCACAAATGCGCCAAGGCCTGAGGCTGCCTGCTGCTCGTTCGCCATGCGTAGATCAAAATTGGATCGACTCCTCGTGCTTCCGCTTGACCTTCACATCCCTCTCATCCTTCATGAGACCGACGACAAAAGACCGGAAAAGCTCGACATACGGCTTCAGGCTCGTCTTCTCCCAGTCCTGCACGCTCTTCTGCCCCTCCACGCCCTCCACGCCCACACCGTCCTCACCCTTCCAAGCATCAATCTCGGCCAGCAGGCTCTGCACAGTCGGGACATCTGTGGGGTCGAATTCATCAAGCGCCCGCGTGTCGATGGGGACACAGACGCGGCCCGTTCCAGGGTGGACGACGAAAGGCGACTTGAGCAAATGGTTGAGCTTCTTTGATACCTCGATATCGAGGCGTGGGTATGTGTACTCGAGGACGATGTCCTGCTTAGCCTCCTTGAGGGCGGTGGCGTCGAGTTTCTTGCTGACGCCGCTTTTGGCGACCGTGTCGATATCTGCCCACTTGGACGTTGAGGAGCGGCCAGGCGCTGAGTCCCACTTCTTGCGAAGCGCTTCATTGAGCAGCTTGTCCGGTAGGAGCTGCAGAAGCCGCTCAGCGCGCTCGGGGTTAGCCCAAGGGTCCTGGGCTTCGAGGACGTCTTCTTGAAAGTGCGTCTTGAGAATTTCCAAGCTCCGCCTGCAGAATAGCCCCCGTGTTAGTTTTCCAGCCGTGTTGGGGGGACCAAGGAAAAAAAAAATTGAATGGATGGGACATACACAAGGTGAGGATGCAGCGGCCTCCAGAGGTTGACCTTCTTCGAGCTCTGCGCACCACCTTTGATGACTTCAAGATATCCAGCGATGGCCTTACGCATTTGATCTGGCATGGCTCTCGCACTCTTGTCGCATACCCATGCGTGGACACCTCGCCGACCTGAGTACACCCACATGATGTGTTTGAAACCGAAATCGTCCCGTAATGCCACATCGAGGACTTTGATCGCCATGGTCATGAACTGCCAACACTTTTTGCAGATATTAGCCTTGTCGCAGCACGTTCGGATCTCGTCATAGTCCGTCAAGTCGATATCGAAGCACAACTCCTTGGCCAGGGGCTTGAAAGCGCTCGAGTTTCGCAGGGTCTTGCGGTCGCGGGGATTCGTGGTGTAGACAGGACCGATTTCGAAACGGGAGGGCATCAGTCTTAGGATGTCTTTGCGGAGTCTATGAACCGGCCCGAGTCAGAGGGCACGTCATCTCGCAGAGTGGAAGGACAAAGACGTAAATAAATGAATAGAACGTACAGGTCGTGGGTAGGAAACGCTTGGTATCGCAAGTAGGCGTCATTCTGTAGAGTGAAGGCAAATTCGCGGTGGGCAAAGTCGTTGGTAGGTGTTGGGCTGTGGTTGAGCCATTGGAAGAGCTGCCTCCATGGAAATAAACGCTGATAGAAGGCGCGCATTATCTCGGGATCGGATGCGTTCATCGCAATGACGTCGCTTTCCCGCTATGTCAGTCAAGTTCTGCCTTTCTTTCTTTCTGGGTATACTGCCACATACGACGGGAACGGAGGCAAAATAGCAGGAGGGGAACTCATTGGAGGCACATCGTTTGGCCTCGAGCTTGGAAACTCCTCGTCCGAGTCCACATCTGCAAACAGGTCCTCCAGTTTGACGTCTTTCTTCGGATGCGTTGCTGCTGTTGGTGCCTTTTCAGCTGTGGGTTCCTCTGTGGTGTCTTCCATGGCGACATCGCCATCGGCGGTATCCTGGCTGTCGCCATTGCTGGTCGTGGGCTCGACCATAACGGCTTCGGCCGGGTCTTCTGATGTCGTTGCTTGAGGGTCAAGGGCTACCGAGTGTGGCATCGCGATACAATATTCAGCGAGTACAGTTGAGTTTAGCCTGCCTACACTCCACTCTGAAATCGCAATTGCGTCTCACAATTGAGTACTAACTCAACGATTCGTTGTTTGATGTGGAATGCTCTTTTGGGTTGGTGATTTGTCCGGGTATCTGTCGCGTCCTTTGGTTGTGCAAGCGCGTTTGCTCGCGTACAGTGGTTTCGTGTCGATTAGTCATCAACGCTATGTTGAGATGTGATCGGGCAAGTCAATCACTGTTCAACCAGAATCGAACACCGCTTTCATTCGTTTTGATTTCTACGGCTTCTCTATGCACACTATCTCTTACGAATCGAGTAAGAGATGAATAGCAACGTAATAAGCATAGGACCGTTTTTCTTTTTCTTTTTTTCGAGAACTCTGAAGGGTTGATTTTTCACAGGTGTATGCATTGATCATGTTCACGCGCTTGCGTATATCTCGACCGTGATCGACGACCTTGCGTATCTTTCGTGGCACAGCTGAACTATCAGCGGAGCCTAGCTCGAGTCACTACCTACGACCAATCCCATTTCGAGCTTTGTGGAGGGTGCATTGTCCGCCATGACGAAAGGCATGGTCTATTAGAGATGTTGAGAGACTGGGAGGAATGGTCCTTTCGCTCGAAATTGGAAGCCTTTCAGGTCAGGTCAGGACAGGCGTACTAGCGTTTACGTAGCCATCCGGAGCCATCCCAACAACTCCAACAGGAAACAATCAAAACAATCAAGTATAGTTCACCCCTAGACTGATACAGGAGCATGCGAATTCAGTCAGGGCAACTCAACTCTCCGCGATGCGAACAGAAGTTTGTTGGCGAAGGCCAAGGCGAGTCTGCTCGAGGTGGACAGCGGAGGCCGCCAGAATAAGCGAACGAAAAAAACCAAGATCGGCGGTGATCTGGTCACGGTCAACCTATGGGACAAAGCAGAGATATCAAACGCATGGTGTATCCCGTAGATCTTGACCCTTGGTGGATCTTTCCTGCTAGGGAGAGAGCGGCACAGGTTGACCGCTAGATGTACTTCGTACATAGCGGGAAAATGCTGGGGGCCCACATATTGTACAGAGTAGGGTATCCGTATGTCAGGCAGAAAGGTGAAACGAACGTCGGGCCTTGGTAGGAAAGGTCATTATTAGCCAGAGTCCTTGTTGCGATGCCTCGTTTTGATGACTGAGACGTAGACGAATTCCGTCTTGCTGGGGCCGAATAAGGTAGATGGCAGCAAGGTGAAGTGCAGAAGTCGGAATCCCTTGACTCCATAATAGGTTACGCCTACCTACACGTGTAGCAGGCAGGGGTATTAATGAAGGCACGTGTCTGCTACGGAATGTCTGGGCAGTTCTGTCAATGTTCCCGCTTTGATCCTTAAACCAAGGATCATGTAAGTTGCATCCGTCGTCACAATTTCATCCGCTACGTTAAACACAACGACCACGCATTCTCCCAGCATCCTGATCTGGCGGCACCACCGCCGATGCCTTGGTATTACCTAGTCAGCCGTCACTCATCCTTTACAGCAGACTGCTACCAAGTGGTATTAAGATGAATCAGTATAAAATACCGCAGATCGAGTATGAGCCAAGCCAGGTTTGCTTCGTACTAGATTTGGTAATCATCCGAACTCTTGTGAGACGGGAGTAATAAAGGACTCGGGGGCTGAATTTCTTAGAGGCGAGTTACCAACAACAACAGCAGCAGAAGCAGCTACCACCACCACCACCACCACAGCCAAATACCAAGATCACTCATGATAAAGAGACTGAAATCACCCGTAACCGGGTGGCACAGCTCAAGCAAGGACGTCGTGATGGCCACAGATAGACACAGTGTGGATGATGTTACTCAGAAAGTTGCGTCATAGCTTTCCTCTTTTCCACTGACAGTAGCTGGGCCAAGCCGGTTCATTCGCATCAAGGAGTCTTGGCAGCATGGGCCCCCTTGTACGTACAGGCTGTTGATACGAGAGCCCCGTTAATATAAATACAACTTTGCCTTCCGGTTTCCGCGCCACGCACAGAGGCGAATGCAATACCTGGACAAATAGCGCGACCCTGTTGCAGCCTCCAGGGTACCGGAAGTGGTTTATGTGCGAATGTGACGACGGCACGAGAGGGAAGGAAGCATGCCATTTTCTTCAACACGACATCAGCCTCTTCTCTGCTGCTGACCGAAAACTCTTCGTGGGGTGGAAATACATACACATACAAAACCTGATGGGATGAAAATCCCGAGATTGTGTTGGTCCGGTCAAAGCGATTTATCGGCCGTTGATCCATTGTTTGTTGGGACCGAGTTCCTTAGCCCATATATGTACTTCGTATGTAATATACCTTATGTAGGTATCGACCTGGTATCGACTCGGCATTTGATTTTCCCTCGGATAGCACAGGAAGAACATCGTAATAAACGGAGTGCCCGAGAATGTGAACTGTCAGATGCCCATAGCCACCTTAACGAGGTGTGATAAACCACATTGTCAGATGGATGACTTGATAAGCAGCGAATCATTGGGCATTGCCGCAGATGTTGGAGATATGTAACTACGGAGTAGAGGCATGCAGGAAGACACTAGGTACCTACCTTAGGTAGTGAATTGATCTATAAGGTACTAATAAGGTAGGTAGGTCAGGTAAGGGAGGAGGGGGCCTTAGGTAATTTGTATCAACAAAGTACCACTAAGGCGCAAAAGCCGAGTCGAAGGTCGCATCGGACCAACCAGTATAATCTGGGCATTCAAAATATCCGGGCCTTAATGATGCGAGGAAGAAGAGCGAGTGGTCGATGTTAAGATACCTAGATAGCTGTATCCGTACATTACGTTGTACAGAAAGTGCTTCCAACGCATGCCTAGGTACTAAGGTATGCAGCAGGGTGTGGTGTTTATGTGTACCTTAATTATGTAAGGTATATAGAGAGTGTACGTTGTATGCTGTATGGCAATAATCGCCAAAGAATTTTCCCGTCACAGTGTGAAAACCCATAATTACGGAGCATTTCAGAACAAAAACATCGGATTTGGTCTCCACCTCCCCTGCTACGTCCTTTCACATCCCTTCCAACCCCCCGCTCCGTCCCTGGCCACTATTGACCTTAGCTTTCCCACTATTCCTCACTGTCCTTGCCCCTGCCCACTGACCCCAAACCGGAAATGGCATTACGAAGCACAAAGTACAAGTACTCATGTGGAGGTTACGTGCCATTGTACACTAACTACACTAGTGTAGTGTACAAAGGCTTCAGAGATCCTCTCTGAACCCAACCCAGGACGTTCCCTCCGTTCCTACCTAGTGTGGTCCCCTGGCTCGTGTCAACCAAAAGACCTCTCTGCCTAAGCCAGCCGGGTACCTTAACTTGCCCTTTTCACTGTGCCCGACCCGACCATTGGTCTGCCGGCCCGCCTCGCGTCTACATTTTCCGAAGTCAGTCAGCCAGCCAGCTAGCCCGCTTGAGCTCGCCGCAGGATCTGTTTGTTCCCCCTCCCGGTTTGCGGATACCGTCATCTGTAACTACGAGGTACGAGCAGGTACGAGGAAGCGAGGAAGTCTGCACTCTGCAGGCGAGTCCCACCACCACGACCACTACGACCTACGGCGACTACCGCGACCAACCACGACCATCTAACACCATTCTTCTCCTCCTTCCTCTCCACTTCAGAATCCTCTTTTTATTAACACAACTAACTGCCTGGACGCGGCATCCCTCTCTTTTTTTTTGCTTTATTCGCCGGCTGGTGCGACTGCCTCTGTCGTCCCAACCCAACGTCTGCCTCCCAGCCCTGTTTCTCTCCCACGGTCGCTCTTCCAATCGCTCGCGCGTCCTCCGTCAGCATTTTTATCACCTACGTCCACATGCATTACAACATTCTCAGGTTCATGCTGGTACAGTCTTGATTTGGGGGATTCCACCAGCCGCCTTCCCAGTCTTCGAATTCGCACGCTACGCTTTCATTGCCGCGGACTGCTTCGCTCGATCGATTCCTTTCGTGTTGCCGAGGCAAAGAGACTATCCCGGCCGGGGCGCATTTGGGTGGAGGGTGGGAGAACGGTCGGCTGTCATTTGGAATTGAGACCGACTCGGATCATCAACATCTCTCTCGGCGACCTGGATTCAATCATCGTCGTGAGAGATCTCTTGCCGTTGGAAACCCGATCGCTCTTGACGATATTTTACGACCTCTCCGCGACCAGCCATCATTAGCTTGAATACCATACCTCTCAAAGACCTCTCAGTTCTCGAAAACATAAATTGCCATGGCCCCAGAAGGCGGACGTGCGCCTGCTTCTGCTGCGTCGGCGCCCACCTCCGCGGCCGCGTCCGCGACGAGCGGGGGCGGCGGCAGCAGTAACTCCAGCGACTTCGTAAGGGAACCAGCCCCCTTCCTTTTCTGCCCTCCCCGACCGAACAAGACATCTCTGATTAGCCCGTGCTGACCAATGGCCCTTGGTACAGGTTCGTAAGCTCTATAAGTCCGTCAACCTCGCCATTTTTCTCTACGCGACTCGGCCAGAACTAACCAACGCGATAGGATGCTCGAGGACCCTGCATATTCAAACATTGTGAGATGGGGAAACGAGGGCGACACCTTCGTCATACTAGAGGTACACATTCCAACAAATCCGTGGGAGTGTTCTTGCGCCAGGACAACGGCCGTACTGACCATACTACAGACTGATAAATTCACCAACGACATCCTCCCTAAACACTTCAAACATAGCAACTTCTCTAGTTTTGTGCGACAATTGAATAAATATGACTTCCACAAGCTACGACGAAATGACGAGAACCACGAATCGCCATATGGGAAGCAGGTATGTTCTCGCATGAGAATGGCTAGCTCCAAGCCCTGTGCCACATGGTTCCTGCTAATGCGTGAATCCAGGCGTGGGAATTCAAGCATACGGCCTTCCGAGCTGATAGGAAGGATAATTTAGACAACATCAAGCGCAAAGCCCCGGCCCAGAGGAAGAGCCAGGTTGCCGAGGACGCCTTTGCGACCAACCAGTCTATCAACCTGCTTCAGGAGACCCTATTCGCACAGCAGCAACAGGTCCAGGCCTTACAGGAACAGTGCGTCGACTTGTCGCGCGCGAACAAGACGCTCTTCCATGAAGTGCACTCGTTGCAGAAGATCGTGGAAGCCCATAGGCAATCACAGCAGGAGCTGCTGAATTTCCTCGCAAGCCCCGACGACCGATGGCGCAACAACAGGTACCAAAGCCAAAACTCGGCGCATATTAACGGCACCACGATGGAGGAGGCCCCCGAGCTACGTCGAGCCCGGGAGATTTTGACCAACGTCTCGACCAACCCCATGGTGGACCGAGAGTTTGAGAGACTGAACGGGATATACGCTCAGGGCTCGCCGCCGGACTCGGCATCGTCGCTTATATTCCATGCCACCGGGTCCATACCGGCCATGATGGGGGAACAAATGAACATGCGCCACCTTGTATACCCAGTGGGCGAGAACGTCGGCATCGATCCCCTCTCCCAAGATCACTTCAACAACATCCCGTACACCCTCAACTCGTTGCCTACGGTAAATGAGTATCAAGCCCAGAGCACCGTTAAGACTGAGACAGGGCCAGCGACGCCGGCGGCCCCGCCAAGCGGCCAGCGATCGGCGACGCAAGACAATTCGCTATGGGGAGCGAGGAAACCGAGGGTGTATCTGGTAGAAGACGATCGGACCTGTTCGCGGATCGGATCCAAGTTCTTGACCCAGATGGATTGTCAAGTCGAGCTTGCGGTACGTGCCACGCGCCCCCCACCCCCTCCGGTATGTTGCTCTAACAGAGAATGCCAGGAAAACGGAGTCCATGCTGTCAACAAGTGCAAAGAGGTGGCGGCCGGGTATTTTGATCTCATCTTCATGGACATCGTCATGCCGCACATGGACGGTGTCTCGGCGACGCAGTTGATTCGCGAGGTCCACCCGGACGTTCCTGTTGTTGCAATGACATCGAACATTCGGCCTGAGGATATAAGTCATTATTTCAATTGGAGTAAGGTTTTCCCTTTTTTTTTGTCTTTTTCTCTTTTTTTTCTTTTCTTGAAAAATATGATTGCTAAACTCATCCAGGTCTCAATGATGTACTCGCGAAGCCCTTCACTAAAGATGGGATGCTACGCATCCTCAAGAAGCACATCCCGCACTTGATGAAGAACCCGCCGACCGACGAGCTTGCCGTACAACAGGGCAACCCCTCGATTCCGAACATAGCAATGCCACCGGGGATGAATCCTCAGGTGCGCGTGGACACGCCGAGTCAGTCGCCGGCGACATCTGCGTCGTGGCACTCGCCGGGACAGATGCACCAGCAGTCTCCTAACGTGGCCAACATGGAACCTGGATATGCCATGGCCAACACGCATCAAATGGTCGTGGGACCGGGTTCCGCCCAACGGTCAACTTTCCCACATCTGCAACAAATGCGGATGGCTGCGGATGGAATGACAGGCGACGATCGGCCCGAGAAGCGACAGAGATTATACGCACCAGGAGGTGGATATACCCAATGATAACAAAATGGGACAAGGGTTGGAGTATTTGAGTGGAGGGGAGGGTCACAGAGATATTTGTTCTTCCTTTCGTTTCTTTTCGTTTCTTCCCCCCCCATTTTCTCCTTTTGTTTCCCCACTCCGTATAACGTTCAGCTGCTAGGTGCGGCTGCTGGTGAAACGTCCGGCATCATGCTATCTATACCTTGGGCGGTTCGGCGTTGGCCGGTGGTATTATCAACACCGATGATCAAAGGGGTTGGTCGTGTAATGGCGGCAGGGCCCGTCTGTGGAGTCTCATGTCAGGCGCCGAGAGTGGCATAGCCCATCGGCCTTGGTGTAAAAGCTTTGCATCGGGTTTGGTATGGTATTGTTTATGCACTATAGAATAGCGCGTCGAGGGGGGATGACGGATTCGGCAAAACAAAACATTACACATTTGAACACGGGCTAGAATGTCGAAATACCGAACGACAAGATTCTTCTCGAGCCCTCCGCAACCGCAGCTGTACCTTGTAATAACAGCTTCCCGAGGGAATAGGGAGGAAGAGGAGAGAAGAGGGACTTGGACTTTGGTGTTTACGAGGGGAGTTGGGTACCTTGGGCAGGGAGGAGGGACGGTGAGGGAGTGGTTTTGAAGTGAATCCCAAACGTACCAGAATAGCCCGAATAGAGAAGCGTCCGACCCAAACGGTCGGGTCGACGAACAGACAAAAATAGGCAGCAGAACAAGCTTTCCAGGAAGCGGCTAAGGGATGCGGGAAAGCAAATCCCCCCCGCCTGTTCCTCCGATCACCCGTGCTTCCCGTCATGGCAAGACGCTATAGAGGCGGGCCCAGGGCCCTGGATTTCACTTGGGCCGGGGAAGGCCGGAAGTTTCATCCTTACTTTCCCTCTCGTGTCTCTCGCCCTGCAGTGTGGCAGTCGCGATATGTCCCCTGCACTGGGGACTGGTCTGGACCCAGCTGTGCAGCCCTCTCGGGGTGTGCCAAGCCGTTTGGGCCTCGTCTAGGCCCCCTGTGGGGTAGCTGATGAAATGAATTCATGCATGCCTGCCATCAAACGAAAGGGAAGGGAACGGGGAGATAAGCTGAGTAGGTAGGGTAAATGTGAATGCTTCGAATTGAGCCGAAGGAGGGCCAAGTTGCAAGTTGCAGGTGGCTGCGAGGCTGCAGAGTGAGACGAATATGGGTCTGAGGGTGTGGACGTCCACGTCCCAGGGTCGTGAGAAGAATAGGGCGCGGAGTTTCCCAGTCTACCAATTCTCGTATTTCGTGTCGATATATTGGTAGGAAGGGATCCTTGCTGTCTGGTAGTCGACGCAGAATGACGAGGTTCATGATCCGACGTTATGGACCAGGCTGCCTGATACCAGCCCATCCGAGCACTTTGCTTTGGATTCTGAACTCCAACACGACCACAGAATACTACAATATAGTACCAGACGTGCGGAGTAGGTAGAGACTACTCGAAACCAGTGAGCATACCTATTTTGTGTTAGCACGGCGGGGACGGATCCGTATGGCCCGGAAAGATGGTTGACTACCTAGGTATTAGACGTTGCATGACAGAACGAGTTTGACCCTTTACTCGCGGCTACGAGACCTCTAGACGTCTAGTTTTCTCCGTACAAGTTGAGCCTCGTTATCTGACGTAGAAAAGACCATAAGACGCAACTTACTTGGAAATACTGTCATGCCGGCCCTCGCCGTGGGTTTTATAGTCTAAGTTGTGGGATTCACTGCCCAACAGGATATGCTATTTTGAGTGTAGATAAAAGAATATTCCTCTCCTAAAGCGACTTCTTAGTCAAAGTGAAGAATAAGAGCTAAGAACAAACGAAAACAAGGTGAAATGCAAAGTAAGAGGGGGTGTGAAAATGAAAATGGAAATGGAAATGGAAATGGAAAAAGTGACACGTACTAACCAGGTCCTCGGTGAAGAGATTCACCGAGACCATTTCACCGACAGACCGAGGTGTGATGACGGCACACCGAGGTATATACCGGAAACCCCCCCCCCACCTTGACTCATATTCCATACATCTGAACTTCTCCCACGAATTCACCTTCCACCAGAACACGAGTCTCCGTCTCATATAACGTGTGCAACTTTACTCCAACATAATCTGAACAATTGGCATCATCATCTCAAACCCCATTGATTTCATTCAATATTTATAAGCGCGCGACGGCTCATGTCGCACCACAAGGGAAAATCGGGCAAGAAGCCCGCACGAGCTGCTGAAGCCAAGAGAGAAGATGTCCTCCAGGCAGTGGTAAGTGCACGCCAAAGCACGCCCTGTTATAAAGAAAGAACAATATTTTCACACTATACGGTGCTGACGCGCTCTGTTTAAACACTAGATCATTGCCGATTCCTTCCAGGACAGATTCCAGCCCCTCACCATCGACAAGCCTCGAGTATGCTCCCTTCCTCGAATCCCCACGAGTCCTACGCGTGGGCTAAAGCACCCTCGTCACATGTACTCGACATTATTATATTGACTGTGGGCCTCGATCATAGTGTCTCCTTCCACTTGCCAACACTCCCCTTATCGAGTACACCCTCGAGTTCTTGGCCATGAACGGTGTCCAGGAGGTCCACATCTACCCCGGCGCCCATGGTGAACAGGTCGAGGACTATATCAACAGATCGCGATGGGCCACCGAGTCGGGCCGAAGCCCCTTCTCAGGCATCTCCTTCATCCGCGTCTCCGACGCCCGTTCCATTGGCGACTTCCTCCGAGATCTCGACAAGCGCGGCTACATCGATGGCGACTTCATTCTCGTCCACGGCGACCTGGTGTCCAACATGTCGCTGGACCGGGTGCTTGCGGCCCACAAAGCTAGGAGACAGGCTGCTGCTACTAACATCATGACCTTGGTTCTCCGATCTGGCGGCGAGGAGCAGCATCGGACCAAGGCAAACGCCATCACCCCCGTATTTGTGGTGGACACAAAGACGAAACGCTGTCTGCATTACGACGAGACCCATCCGCTGCAGAGCGACCACTACCTGACCCTGGACCCGGCCGTCATTGACGAGCTGTCCACCGACTTTGAGATCCGTGCCGACTTGATCGATGCCCAGATTGACATTTGCACCCCCGAAGTCCTGGCGCTGTGGTCCGAGAGCTTCGACTACGAGCTGCCTCGAAGAAATTTCCTACATGGCGTTCTCAAGGACTGGGAGCTCAACGGCAAGGCCATTTACGTCGACGTGCTGGAGGAAGGATACGCTGCTCGCGCCAGCAACCTGCAGATGTACGAATCCATCAGTCGCGACGTCATGGGCCGATGGACCTTCCCCTTCATCCCCGAATGCAATATCCTGCCCGACCAGGGCTACCAGATGCGCATCTATGGTGTCTCCACCGAAGACGGCGTTGAGATCGCCTCGAACAGCAAGCTTTCCAACTCCATCATTGGCCGGGATGCCGCTATTGGCTCCGGCAGCACCGTGATCGGCAGCGTCATCGGAAGGCGGTGCAAAATTGGCCAGAACGTCGTCATCGAAGACAGCTACGTCTGGGACGATACAACAATTGACGACGGCGCCGTCATTTCACGGTCCATCCTGGGCTATTCCACCGTGGTCGGAAAGAGGGCCTCTATCCCCGCTGGCTCGGTTCTGTCCCGCAACGTCGTCGTCGGCGACGACGTCAAGCTGCAGGAGCCCGCCGTCCTATCAGTAATCTCGCACGACGGAAGTCCAGTAACCACCGACACGTCGCTCCTCGGTCCCTCGGGCAAAGGTGCCCCGTACGTCGATCCCGAAGCCGAAGAAATCGACCCGGAAGATCCTTCGACCTTACAACGGTCTCTCATCTATTCGCTGGCCCATCTCTCCCTGTCGTCCTCATCCATTTCCACGCTAGATTCGGAAGGCTATGCCGACTCCGACGACGACTCTCTAGCCACACCCTTCTCCGGGGACACTTCCCGAACCCGTCTCTCCTCTTTTGCCTCGGACGACTCCGGTGCCGCCCTCGGGAACACCTCCTTCCACCACGACGCCGTGCAGGGACTCCTCGACGCCCTCCGCGACGACACGGGCGACTTCGAGCCCGCCAAGCTCGAGTTCATGGGCCTCCGTCTCGCTAATGACGCTTCGGATGCCCAGATGCGCCGCGCAGTCGCCGTCGCCTTTGCCCGCCGCGCCGCCGAGCTCCTCACCCCCGAACACGGCGGCCTCGACGCCTCCAAGGCCGCCGACCGCGCCCTCTCGCGCAAGGGCGCCTCCACATTCATCCACGAAGTCGGTGTCGGCGACCCGGCCAGCGATGCCGAGCAGGTCGAGTTCATCCTCTCCCTGCAGAAGGCCCTGGTCTCCCTCGTCGGCTCGTCCCGGACACTGGCGCTCGAGAAATCCCGCGCCGGCACGCTGCTCGCCGCGCTTCTGCAACAGCTGTACAACCTCGACGTGCTCGAAGAGGAGGGCATCTTGGCCTGGTGGGCCGAAGAGCGCGCCCTCGGCGGCGGCGGCGGCGGCGGCAAAGACGGGGAACTGGAAGATAAGATGAAGGCGGTGCGAGAACGCTGCCGTGTCCTCGTCGAGTGGCTCGAGAACGCCTCGGAGGAGGAAGACGATGACGACGATGACGACGAAGACGATAGTGACGACGAGTAAATTTGTTTTGGTGACCAGGGTCACCTCACGGCATGGCCTTGGCTTTCTGCCTGCGGGCTTCTTCCTACGCGCTTTTGCTTGTCTTTAGGGGGACTTTTTCTTGCCCTTTTTTTCTTTTCCTTTTTTTTTTCTTGCTTTCTTCGCCGGGTTTCCACGGACGTCTCTGTGGATAGGGGTTGGGTTACGACGAGGATAGAGAAATGATCAGGCCGGTTACTGGTGCAGCATATCCACTTTGTATGTGGGTGAGCGGGAAGGGAAAAAGAGGGAAACAGACGAAAAGAAGTTGGGACCTGGAGGCGCTTATGGGCCCTCCTTTCCACGATGCATGCACCACCAGATCCTGCGAGGATAGAGAAAATAGGCCCCAAAGTTCCGAAGGGGCCGGGTAGAGCAAATAGGACGGACAGCATATCCGAGTCCTTCCATTGTGATCAACATCCTTCCCAGTGACTGACATGTCACCAAAACGTACCTGAGTTTGGAACCACATCCTCCTTGATCAAGCAAGCCGTAGTACCCTGTACAGAGTATGATCGAAGCGTGATTTGGCAAAGGAAAGATATCATGCTCACATCATACCACACCAGGACCGGTGCGTCCGTTGACTTGTCTTAAACCTATCCGCCAAACGCCGCTGCGCCTGTCTGTGCAAAGCCACTTAGGTACCATACCCCTGACCCATCCTGCTCTTTCTCCCCCCCTTGCCCTAGGACTCATGTCAGCAGCCTTGATCCGTATCTGACAGCTGCCCATCTTCCCAGAATGTATGTATAGCTTTTACCGTTAATAAGTAGAGGCGCTCTATTATGGAGCAACAAAGATCATGCTATAATGGCGCGTGTGTCTGCCATGGCCCATCATTTATTTTCCCCAGCCCACTCACAAGTCTCGAGATCAAGAAAACTCTTAATAGTAGCTTTGCAAGTCGGTACCGCCGGCGGTGCCATGTGATGAAGGTCCTCCGCCACCGCCACCGCCACCAACGTCGTCTAGACTCCGGTAGCCGTGGAGGCCGCCGCCGCCACGACCACCGCCGCCCCTACCACCTCTGCCACCGCCACGTGGACCCCGGAAGTTGCCGCCGCCTCTAGCTCCGCCACCTCCGCCGCGGAAGTGGCCGCGACCCCCCCTAGGGGCCGAGTGGTAGCGCTGGCCGCCGCGATAACCAGGGTGGTGGTGTTGGTGGTGGTGGTGGTGCTGGTGCTGCTGCTGCTGCTGCTGCTGCTGCTGTTGGTGGTGATGTCCATCGTGCGCATGGCGGGCGAAACGTCCGCCATCCTCGCCGTGTCTCCTCTTGGAGGACTTGTTGACGAAGAGTGACTCATACTCGTCCTCGCGGGGATCCTCGGGTTCGATACGGAGCAGCACCTTTTCACCGACTTTCGTGGTGAAGCTGAGGGCATTTTCCGGGGCTACCGGCGCCCAGTTTTGTATCTTGGCGGCGTCAATCGGTCGAGCTCCTTTGCGCAGCGCAAGAACGACCAGAGGTAGCGGGTTATCCGTGTGGAACTTGGCTGTCGCGGGCACGGGTCGCAAACATGCGGCCCAAACCGAGTTCTCAAAACAGGACGTGCCGGTGACCTCCCAGCGCATCTTGGCACCCATGCCGCCCACCTTTTCGAGGATGGACGCGGGGCACGGCCTCGGGCAGATGAGGATGTTGTTGGCGTGGAACTTGAGATCATGGCCAGGTATGTCAGCGGGGATCAGAGATTTGGCCAGCTTGGTCAGGACCTCCGTGTCCTTCTTGTCAAGCATGTAGCCGGTGAAGAAAACGGTCTTCTTGACCCTTAGTCTGCGCGGGCGCATGTGATAAGGCCGGGATTTCTGTTGGGGTAGGGAGACGGCCGCGTTGTGGGCGTTGATCATGTGCTGGACCTCGGCCACCTCGACGACGGGGTCGAGCGTGGTGGAGATGTCGGCGACCTGAACAACTTCGGCCGAGATGGGACCACGCGCGCGCATGTGGGGGATCTGCTGGCGCTGGTTGTATTCGGCCATGAAGTCGCGGAAGCCCTTGACATGCTTGGGGCGATCCTCGTAGATACGGATTTCTTCGGCGTTCTTATACGTCTCCATCATAGCCTCGAGGAAGAGCTGCTTGAAGTGCATGGTGCTCGTGAACTGCTGATTGGTAGGGCTCACGGCGGGTTTGAGCCCGACCATGTCGAAATCGAGACCCTTGCTATTGATCATCTTCTTAATGAGTTCGGCGAAGCCGCGTTCGGATCTCCCTGTCAAAAGCACGCAAAGGGCATCCTTTTGCTTGTTGCTTAGGCGAACAAGGGAGACGATCTTTTCGTTCCACCAACCATCCCAAGCGCGCTTCTCCTCCACGTCGACGCCCTCACCTGTCGCCGCGAGAATGCGCGAGTCGTGCCACCAGCCTCCGTTGATGATGACATCCTGACTGCTTAGCGTGCCGATGCTCAGTCCGTTCCATAGGGTGGGGTTCGGTAGGGGGGTTTTGAAAACTAAAATATTCGCATTCGGATTAGGATAAAGGAGGTCGATGCTATCGCGGCGATGCGGGGGAGTGTAGGGCGGGGAACTCACGAGTATTGTCGAAGTCGTAGATGTGAAGCGCTTTGATGGCATCAACGGCTACACAAGCGGAGCCAGTCAGCAAGGTCTAGGAGTGACAGGAGATGATCAAACGGTGATATTGGAACAGGAGACGCACCTGGAAGCTGTTTGTTCGCGACACTCCATCTGCTGAGAGCCGTGACCGTGGGAGACAGGGAGCTCGATGACGCTGATAGACCTTTGACAGGGCCATTCTGCGCTAGGGAGGCGTACGCGGACGTCATGGTTAAAGAGCACCGAGGCTGCAGATTGGAGAAAATGGGATAAGCCGGCACGGCGCGGAAACGGTATCGATATCGGTTAAAGAGAAGACTGCGGCGGGCGAAGGTCGGAGCTGCGAACATCAAGATGAAAGTGCCCACATGGTAAGGGAGCTGAGCTGTGTGTCCAGTCGGTCTTCGGATCTCCTCTTGGTAAATAGGACTGGACTGCAGCTTGAGCGCGTAGCTCTTCTGGCCAATTCTGGGGAGTTCCTGGTCGTGGTGATTGGTAGCAGAGAAAGAGGAAGGCGTTTAGGATGTGAGTCTGGCAGGAAGGCCTGTGAAGGCAGTCTTGGAGTTTACGGATACCTACCTTAGTGTACTTCGCGTCAATACAGGTACGTACCGTGGTGTGGTGCCTGACTCGCCAACGGTGGATAGGCTTTTTTCCTCCTGTTTTTTTCTTTTTTTTTTTCTTTCCTCTCGTATTTTTCGCTCGCACCGAGGCTTATTAGTAATTAATATAGTTTCGGTGTGTTCATATTCCATTCATCGGTCCCTCGTCCTCCTCTCTACACCCCAGAGTCCCTCGATACCCGGATTTCGTAACACCTAATCGCAGCAAATTCTTACATTGACGCCAACCAGGTCACACAGAAAGTAGAGAAAGTAATGCCGCCCTCCTCAACAGCAGCAATCCGCTACGTAGCCGCTACCTCCAAGAAACCCCCCTTAGGAACCCTCTATCTCCGATGCCATGTGAAGCCGGGCGCTGCCAAAGCCCGCGAGGGCGTCACTGCTCTCACCGAAGACGCCGTTGAATTGTGCGTCTCTGCGCCACCTCGAGAAGGGGAGGCTAACAAGGCCGTCATCAAACTACTCAGTGAAGTAGAGCTCCCCAGGGCGGGGGTTGTTCTTTGTATGAACTGACCCTGACAAAAATGGTAGGTCTTACAAATTCCCAAGTCGGATCTTCAGATCACACAGGGTGCCAAAGGACGAGACAAGACTGTGGCTTGGTCCGGCATAAAAGACACTGAGGGTGAGAACTTGGTCGTGCGAATCGAGGAAATTCTCAGACAGGCGGTAGAGAAGTAATTTGTGCATCATCCGACCTACATAGAGGCTCCTGAGCTGCTCCTCGAGGGTCTTGGCGCGACTCGATACAGAGACTACCTCAAAAGGCGAGTTGTGGGACGATATCCAGCGGATTTGAAGTCCTCAAAAAGGCCCACCCGAGCCTGTCTATGAACAAAGGCTGGTTCGCCGTACACATGATATTATATACAAGCTTTCGGAGCATCCGAGCATACCATATGCAACAGCGAGACAGTCCACGAGGGATGCTGACGCTGCATTCACATCGCCACTTCTACTTCTACTCCCTTTTCCCTTCCTCCTCTATCCTTGCCTCGCCCGCCTTCTCTGCCGCTCGAGCCTCGGCCCGCACGCGTCGGCTCTCATTCTTCTCATGATCCTCCCTCAGATGTCGAATCACACGGCTCTTCGCCCGAATCCTGTCGCCATAGCGCCAGAACACGAACGGAACAGGCACGAGCGCCACCTCGAGCAGACCAAGAAAAGTCCCTGCCCACTGCGGTGTCATGGCGGCGTACATGGACGGGCCCGCCAGCGGGAGCAAGCCACCGGCAAGACTACGGATGACAGCATTCCCGGCCAGGGCGCTGGCGGAGTAGATCCCGTACGCGCCGGCGAGGTAGTTGGAGGAGTAGACGAAGACGAGCGTGTTCCCCGCGCCGAAGGGGATGCCGAAAGCGATGGGGATGGCCCAGTGGATCGAAGTGGGGAGGCACGTCCAGGCGAAGACGAGCTGGCCGATCGGGGTGAGGACGGCGCCGAGGGCCAAGGCGCGCGCGGCGGCCTCGGGGGGGATCCGACCCGTCTTGGGGTCGCGCGGGTGCGCGTTGATGATGCGACGAACCAAAGGCTCGCAGGCCACGGCGAGGAAGGTGCCGATGCCGATTCCGGTGAAGGCAAGGCCGGACATGCCCGGGCCCCAGCCACGGTTCTGGGAGAAGACGATGGGGTAGGCGACGAAGCAAAGGTACAGAATGCTGTAAAGGGTAGAGACCCTACGCAGCTAGTTGTCAGTAACGTCAAGGCCAAAAAAAGAAAAGAAAAAAGAAGAAGAAAAAAAAAGAAAAGAAAAAGAATTCCTGACTCGCAGGTTATGAGGACCTGAAACGCAAGGGACGAAAAAGTTGGTGCCTACCAGATATTAAATGCCCAAAGTATAGGCTCCGTGGCAGCCAGTACAAAGGGACGACCAAGACTAGTCTTGAAGACCTGCATTGTAGACACACGGTTATCATATCGACACCACCACCGCGGATCATCGGTCTCTTTCCTAAGGCGGGCGACCTTGGCGCGGAGGATATTAGGGGCGTATGTCTCCTTGACGGTGAACATGGCAAGGAGAATGATACCAGTCATGATCAGGACAATCCAGTTACACCAGCGCCAGCCGAGATACTGGAAGACGAAACCGCCAATGATGGGCCCCGTGGCCGGGCCGTTCATAGGGGCCATGGACCACATCGACATGTAGAAGGCGCGGTTATGATCGTCAGTAAGGTCAAAGACGCTGCCAGGGCAATTGGAAATGAGGGACGCCCCAAAAACGGCCCTATAAAAATGCTTTAGAATGTAAACGTTCCGTGGCGTCTGTGTGCGACTGACAAAGAACAAGAAGAACTTACCCGATGAAGCGGGCGACGAAAATTCCTTGGATGGAGCTGGAAAGCCCAGATGGGACAATCATGACCATAAAGACAGAGGTACAAACGAGGTAGACCTTTCGGCGGCCAAACAGCTCACTCAGGGGCGCCACAACGAGACAGCCGGTGGCAAGTCCAATCAGGTACGTGGTAAGGCCAAGGGTGGTGTACGACATGGACGTGCCGAACTCCTCCATGATACCGGGGATAGAAGCGGTATAGCTCGTGCTGTAGAGAACGACGATCCAAGTAGCGATGGAGAGGACTCCGAGGCTCCAGCAGCGATACCACAAGGGCCAGTTCCTGGGGTTCTCCGGGTCGTCGGGCGCGAAGGCGACCTCGAAATCGGGGGGGCGGGAAGCTGTGCTGGCACCGGTCCGGGTCTGTGCCAAGGTCGCACCGCCGGCCCCGGCTCCGACCCCGGCGACGGATACGGATACGGACTGGGTTTTGACGGCCTCTATTTGTACGTCGAGGTCGAGGTCGAGGTCGGTCGGTTCCTGGACATCGGCATCCACGACGAGGTGGTGCGCCGGATCTGAGAAGTCGAGCCGATCGGGAGGTCTCTCCGGGCCCGTGCCATTCTTGATTTCACCGTGAATGGAAGTTGACGAGCTGGAGCCGTCTGCGACGTCGGTGCCCTTCTCGGGATCGGAAATGGAGGCCACCATGATAGACGCCGCCGGTTTCACAATAACGGTAGTAGCTTGAATCAAACACGCAGACCGACCATGCTCCAACGAGTCAGGGTTCCTCCTCTCAGTCACGAGCCGTTTCGGAGTAAGCTGGGGACCTGAGAAGCCGCCGTTGGTTGGGAAACAAGAGTCGGTCAGTCACATTGGGAACCGAGTATCGACAGGGAACTCGGAACAATATCGGACAAGGGGACCCCACGACTACTGATAAACGGATGACGAGGACATGCAGACGAGCAACTAGATGGACGGGGTCCCGAGAACAAAATGCGAATTCATCTAAATTTGTAAGCATTGCATTTTCCCCACCTGGACCCCTGTTCAATCAATCATCACCCGTTGATCGTTTCGAGCCGACTGTTGATTCATATACGTGTAAGAACGGACCGGAGTAACGATATCAAGTAATAACTAGAGCGTACTAGGAAAGACATCCGTCCGTATTTACCTCGGGAATCATTGTTTTTTCGGAATGAACTTTAACCTACCTTAGGTATGATACGAAGCTTCGCAAGTAGGTAGCCGGATCCTATTACACGTGTAAGAGAGCAAAGAGACGGAAGCTATGCCATAAAGGGATGTCGGCGGATATTCTCGGCTGTGGCGTAGAACACTCCGTCCCTCCGGAGCCGAATCGGAGGAGTGTCTCCGATATGTTCTAAACTTCTAGAATCTCAACCCCGATGTCTAAGAACCACGTTCTTATATGGGTAAAGCAGCACGAAGACCCTCTCGAAGCGATTCGTTGGAAGGGGAAAAAAGTAAGAAAAGAAAAGAAAAGAAAATCCCTATATACACGCAATACCTGAAATATTTGGATCCAGAGTCGTAGATCATCGCTTATATCATGTATAAAGCAGAAAATAGCAAATAAATCCCCGCAATGCATGTCGAAAAAGGTATTCGGCCGACCTGGCGTTGACTCAATCCATTCACAAAATGAATTATCAAAGATGGGACATCACGGACGAAAAGACATTCGTACATTCGTAAAAACAAGATGAATGTTAAGAATATCAAACAAGACAGAGAGAAACAGGTAAGGGCAACCTCTTCGAGCAATAGCTTGTATCCTTTTCCCTATATACAACGAGAGAGACGAGAAGGATAATCATACGTGTATGAAGCCCTGCCCCATATACAAATCTAGGCTCTTTATCCAGGCAGGCAATGCAGCGCAGGTGAAAAGGCAAGAAACTGTGCCGTAAAAGCAAGCAGACCATATCCAAAGGGCAAGGTCCCTCTGATCTGTCGATTCAGAAGCAACAGGTAAAGAGAGACAAGACGCCCAAAGCGATTATAAAAGAAACCAACTGGTCATGATACTCCGAGAACTGCCACCCAAATTCCTACCCCGCATTAGGAGAAAAGAAATCCAAGAAAATAAGACCCGCCATGCCTAAGAGGCCATTCACAGAATGCCGTCCAAGCTCCAATCTTCTTTTTGGACCCTCTCGAGCACTTCGCGCCCCTTGTCAGTAAGCTCAGGCTGGCCGCCGTTGCCCACGACCTGCCGGAAGAAGACTGGCTGGAACGCCTCCCCAGTGCGTTCACGCTCACGGGCCAACTCGCGCTGGCGCTCCTCCAGCTCCTGTTTGACCTGGGTAGCCTTGCCAAACTGCTTGGCATGGATGGCGTTCGTGACACCGGACCACAGGGTCAGCGACTCGTTCTCCTTCTGCTTCTCCGGCGGCGGGAGAATCTTGGGAGCGACGGCAAGAGGTGCGAGGTCAATGATGGTGATGCGCTCTTCGAGAGGGTGGGAATCCTGATATCGCAAGTGTCAGTGCCAATTATACTTCCAACAACACGGGAAGGTAACAAAACAGCACGGCCATGCACATTATCAACTTGGAAAAGCGCCAGTGTAGGGAAGGGGAGGACATACGAATGGCTTCGGCCCGACGGTAAACTCAATCTTCTCACGCCATGGTCCACTCAGACGCGCCACGATATCCGACTCAGGCACATCCTTGATATTAACCTTGTCGTCGTTGTCGGGGTCGTATCGGAAGATAATGCCCTCAACGCGGTTGGTGGACCTCCCAAGCCAACCAGCCTCGATATAGTGCAGGATCGTCTTCAGTTTCGTCTTGGGGCAGCTGATGTAAGTCATGTCACTGACGCTCACGCTCAGGGTGCCGCGGAAGATTCCGCCTAGGGAAGCGGCAGGATGTGTGAGTTGGTAAGTCTCGTTGTCCCGTTTTTCGAGGTGAATGAAGATGCCCAGGTTGTGCTCGCCAGGGAGCACGCGGACACTGGTGCCAGTAAACTTGGCGGAAATCTGGTCGAAGCCTCTGGCGGTGAGGCCGCGTTCGGGACAGTAGATGGCGTAGGCGCTGACGGGTGGGTGATGCGAAGTCTGCTCGGTGAGATAGGATACTCGGATGGGTTTACCGGCCGGAGTGGCGACGGTGTGGTTCGGCACGGTAAAGGAGACGGCAGGAGCGTTTTTGTCGCCTTTCGCCGACCTCATACTGGACGCACTGCTAGCTGTGCCACTGAGGGTTCCGTTGGCGGCCTTAAGAGGGGAGGTATCGATTCTCGGGGCATTGTCGTGGGTCTCCCAATTGCACTGCGAAAGCCGACCCGGTCAGTCGAGGACGTTGAAATGGGCCTAGCTGGAGACGAAAAGGAAAGGAAAAAGAAACCCAAACCCACCCTGAAAAACTCGCCTAGGCATGAGTTATAGGGTTTGCAAGGCCTGCCCTTGACGTATTTCAAGTCTTTCGTAAACCAGAAGCGGCAGACCTCGAGCATGCGATCGAGGGGTTCGTCCGAGGTACCGATAGCGACGAAGGCGTTGGGGGCATCGAGATAGGTCCAATACTCGAGATTTGGTGTGGGCTCGAGGAGCTGGGATGGGAGAGAGAAGCGAACGGCAGCAAGATCGGAGACACCTATGAATCTATGAGACAGCGGGGAGTGTACACGTCAGCGCTGGCTTCCGCTTTGGGAATTGATACACGGGGTGCGATGGGACTGAGAAGAGACAAGACGTTAAAACAGGCCGGGGGGAAGAAGAAATCACCTCTTGAGAATGCCGATGAAGGTCCTCAGCTTGGATCCATCACTCTGAGCCTCTTCAGGGGGGTCGGCAATGGTTGGCGGCGCGGTAGAGGAAGCCATGGTGGCAGGATACCAAGCTGCGGCGAGGGCGAAAGCGGTGACAGTTGAAGTCGGAGACAGAAAACGAACCGCTCCACTATGTAATCTAAATCGTTCGCTAGTTTGACCTCAAAATTGAGGGAATCACAACGTCACAACGTTGAATATATTATCAGCTCGGCCTCCGCGCGTTACCGGTAGTTGTGCCGCAGAGAGAAAGAGAGGGAGAGGTGGTTGAATTGAGCCGCGTCAGAGGATTGCACTGGGATGTCGAGGCTGGCCAACCGAGGGATAGATTATACGGGCAAGTGCGGCGCTTAGATAAGACAACAGATGGTCTGAAAATGAAGTAAGATTCCCCTGTTCACCTTGTCTTCTGATAGGAGGAGGATGACGGTAAAGATGCTGGTGTTCCTGTGTGCAAGTTCAAGTCGAAGAGCAAAGAAGAAAAGGCTGTATTCTAGCTCGAGACTTTATTCGGTAGGTAAGGCAGCCACCGTCTATTTCGAGTTCTGACACAGACACACGGTACGTATTCAGCACAGTACCTACCTTATTAGTGGCGGTGACGTTCCTACCTATTGACGGGGATCGCACGTGGCAGTGTTAGATAACACTGTGACTACCGTACTGTGCAGTGGCCGACAGCGCTGTCAGGTGGAGGGTGGGGAGCGGGCGGGCTTGACGATAAGCTCTGATCACTTCTTCCGTCTAATTCCAATAAGCCGTCCTCTGTCGTCCACTGTCTGAGGTCAGTAGCCGCCAGTCCTGTGTCCCTGAACCATCGTACAGGTTAAGTACTCGTACCTGGAGTTTGTCTGTACTCACACCGCTGGAACACCCAGTGTCTTTTAGTCTGTCTCCGAGTTGAGTTTTGAGGCCTGAACCTGAACAGTCTATCAGCGGAAAAACAGGGGGAAGGGGGGAAAGGGTCCAAAGGACAGCTTTAGGTTTCTTAGTACTAAAGTAAAGCTTCGTCGGTTTCTTCGATTCTCTCACTGCGAAGCTTCAAGCGGCTAACATGACCTGGACCAATCATTCACGCACATGGGGGATCCAGCAACGGTGACAAGTTCCGTCAACTCTCTGACACCCGCGCGGCTCAGCTGAGGGGAAACAAATAAAAGAAAAGAAAAAGCCAAAAGTCTAGTTTCGCCATCCAAGACTCGCCGGACGCCATGATTTGGGGCTCGGGGTCTGCTCTGCGCAATGTTGGACGGATACTGGCCTGAACTGCGACTGGTCGCACCGCATGTTACGCGCTTTGACTTACCCGCCTCAGAGTTTCGCAAGTCGACATCACATGGCTTTCTCATAAACACTGTCGTCACCTCTCATTTGATTTTTCTTGGCTTCCGATGCCCACGTCTATGGCCTCAGGCGACTTTTGGAAGTTTCTACCTTCAAAAATACCTTTACCCTCTAGAAGTTGTGGGTGTGCTCTGAGCAAGTGCCGTACAACATATCTTAGGTATGTCAAAGCATCCCATCCATGTCAATCTATATCAGGTGCTGCGTGCTTTCACTTTGAAGTGTGTCACCCGAGATACCTGTGGCGATCTTGTGTCTAACAAAGCACTGACGGAGAAATCGCCAATCTCTCCCCTTCGGCATGTGGGTGCTCATATTTCGAATATGCCTTTCGCCAGGAAAGCCACCCAAGTACGAGGGCTGCGCGGCCATGTTGCTGCTGAGTCAATCCTATCGGCCAGCTCGTCGGCCAGCCCAAGCCTAATCGAGAATGGGAAGGAGGGACAGCATTGCTGTTCGAGCACGTCTAAGCTCGCCGAACTTCCAAGGTCTCCCTGATGATCATCATATATTGTGGGGTTTTCGCTGGCTGGGACTATCCTGGGGCCTCTCTTCTTCATTACGACCAGGCCATCTTCGACAAGATGGTCAAAACTCGCCCGATACATGCCCGACATAGGCATCAGACGAGTTTCCGACATTCGTGTTCTATCAACACGCGTGTATGTTTCTCCTGACAAGTCTTTGATGCGCAGCCCTATTCATCATTCCGTGTTTCTTGCTAACATCCAATACCCCCCCGCCCCTTTTCTTCTTCTTTCCTTTTAGCCTCCTATTATATTGTACCCTTGCCATCCCATTAATACATGTGGCTGAACGATACTGCAGGGCGCGGGAAACATCACGGCATGTGCGGCCGTAGATCGATACCCTTTCCCGAAAGGCCTCGTATTCACTTTCAGGGTCCAACGGCAATCTGCGGTGATCAACATTCTGGTACACGTGTAGATCAACTTTTGCGCTTGACCGCACTTATTCGATCAGCCTTAGATCTCGGTTTCCCCGTTCGCCGGCAGCGTTGCATCTAGAACCCCGGGCGATACGGGGAGGCCCAAGACCCCCCTAGGTGGATAGCAAGATTGGGAACGAGACTGGGGCCCCCGTTGAGGGGACCGGATCGTCGGCGGCCAGGGTCCCTCATTAACGGATGGTCTTCTTGAATCCCGCACCCCCTGCTCCGACATTTTTATGGCTATCACTTCGTATTCCTTTTGTGCCGGAGCTATCCGAACATGAGCGCGGATCGGTGGCGATAGTGATGTTTCTCGCGGAGTCCAGGGCCGCCGCATCGGTGTATGGTGGTTACAGGTATTCGTGCGTGTAGGGCGGTGTGGAGTGATCCTACATTTTCGGTGAGCATGGGGAGGCATCTGTTATCCTCTCCCTTGCTCTGCAGAAGATCGTCCATCAATGCCCACCCCCGCGGTTAAATGTTTGTCCTTCCTCTACTTCTACAACGTACTTATCTCCCTTCCACGACCCACCGCCCGGGGTCCATTGTCGCTGTGAGACACGAAGAGTCTTCGACGCATATATTTGTGCTACTCGTAGGGCTCATCTACCAATCATCCGTTCGAGTTACGAAGTATTCCAGTATTCCACGGTGCCTGTCTCATGATCCAGAAACCTACCTTATCGAGCAATGATCAACGATTATTCTGTCCTTTGCAATATCAACCCCACGCGGTATCTACGCTATCCAAAACGGTATTGTATTCTTGTTGTGTGTTGTGGTGGGTTTTTTGTTCTTTTTCCTTTCTTTTCTTTTATCTTTGCGAGCCGCCTCAACGACGATACAGTGTTCATGCAATGTCGCCTCTACGAAAAAAAAAA